AAGACGCAATTGAAAACCGAACCATACCCATTAATGGTCGTAGATGGAGAGCCCATCTCGACTAATGAAGGAATGGTGACCCACGAAACGGTCCCATTGGAAATGGTCATGCTACACGGGCACAAGGAAACGATTCAGTTTGACATCGTGCACATGGACAACCATGCGTGCATCCTTGGTGTGCCATGGCTCAAGAAACACAACCCCCAGATTGACTGGTGGAACGAGAAAGTTGTGATGAGCCAGTGCGCGTGTGAACAACGGACGGACACGCGACAACGGGAGAAACCCTCCCAGGGCCGGAAGGAGTTATGTGCAACCTCCGAGCTCGATGACCTAGCCCAGGCATCCTCACCGACGAGTATACCGGTGGAGTACAAGGAATACGAGCGATTATTCCAGGAAGGCCCTAAGAACGAGGCGCTTCCTAAGCACCAACCATGGGATCACGAGATACCTTTGGAGAAAGACAAGAGTCCACCGTTCGGACCAATATATCAGCTATCGGAAAAGGAGCTGAAGGTACTTAAGGAGTACATCGATGATAACCTAGCGAAAGGATTCATCAGACCATCCACATCACCAGCAGGAAGTCCGGTGCTTTTCGTACCAAAGAAAGACGGCTCCCTACGGTTATGTGTGGACTATCGAGCATTGAACAACATCACAATCAAGGACAGGTATGCCCTGCCGTTAATCAACGAACTACACGATAGATTTCAAGGAGCAAAGATCTTCAGTAAGCTAGATCTGCGAGGAGCATACAACCTGATCCGAATCAAGGCTGGGGAAGAGTGGAAAACAGCATTCCGCACCCGCTATGGCCTATTCGAGTATCAAGTCATGCCCTTTGGGCTAACAAACGCACCCGCATCCATGCAACGACTGATGAATGATGCTTTGCACGAATACTTAGACATCTTTACCATTGTCTACCTAGATGATGTCCTGGTGTATTCAGCAACCAAGGAGGAGCATGTCAAGCATGTCAAACTCGTCCTGAAGAAACTAAAGGAGTACAGCTTACTCCTCAAACCAGAGAAGTGCGAGTTCCATAAAAACCAAGTCGAATTCTTGGGTTACATTATTGGAACGCACGGCATCAAGATGGACCAAGCAAAAGTAATGGCAGTGTTGGAATGGCCAACACCGACCACGGTCAAGGAAGTGCAAGCCTTCCTAGGCTTCGCCAACTTCTACCGAAGATTCATCTCGGGATATTCCAAGGTAGCTCAACCACTCACGGAGCTTACCAGAAAGGATCTCGAATTCAAATGGACGGACAAGGCAGAGGCTGCTTTCCAGGAACTTAAGACGAAGTTCACGGAAGCACCTATCCTTGCTACATTTGACCCTGCAAAGAAGATCATCCTCGAAACGGACTCTTCTGACTTCGCAATTGGAGCATGTCTGAATCAACCAGACGAGAACGGTAAGTTCAAACCAATCGCGTACTACTCTAGGAAACTGTCACCCGCGGAACTCAATTACGACATCCACGACAAGGAGCTACTGGCTATTGTCGTTGCCTTTGAGCAGTGGCGAGTATATCTTGAGGGACCCACCTACCCTGTGCAGGTATGGACGGATCACAAGAACCTCATATACTTCACCACGACCAAGGTTTTAAACCGCAGACAAGTCCGCTGGGCAGAAACCCTCGCAGCCTACAACTTCACGATAACCTATCGCAAGGGCTCCGAGAATGCAAGAGCAGACGCTCTCAGCAGACGGACCGACTACGCCGGCCCAAAGGAAGAAAGACCTAGAGCAATTCTGAAGAAAACAGATGCAGGAATACAGTACAACGAGTTACTAGCGACGATCTCAGTCATCGAAGATACAGAACTCGAGGAAAGACTCAAGAAAGCTTACGCAACAGACGAATGCGCCAAGCGAGTCTTGTCCAAAGTCGAAGGTGACTTCACCATCGACGAACAAGGATTGATTCGATACAAAGGGTTAGTGTATGTCCCAAGTCAAATGAGACGCCTGCTGGTGCAAGAACAACACTCGTTACCAGCACACGGTCATCAGGGAGTAACACGAACCTTCGAACGAATCACCCGACACTACTACTTCCCAGGTATGAGGAAGCAGGTAGAGACAGTGGTAAGAGAGTGCGACATTTGCAGCAAGTCAAAATCCAATAGGCACCTGCCATACGGACAACTCAAGTCGACACCAGTACCAAAAGGAGCGTGGAAATCAATAGCTTTGGACTTCATCGTCAAGCTTCCACCCTCCAAGGACCCGTTAACAGGAATAGAATATGACTCTATCCTCGTCATCACGGAAAGACTCACGAAATATGGGAAGTTTATACCATATCTAGAAGCTAGCGACGCCGAGGCGCTCGCATATACCTTCATTCGAGTCATATTAGCCGATCATGGGATGCCAGAAGAAATCATCTCAGATAGAGACAAGCTCTTTACTTCGAAATTCTGGAAATCATTGATGGCGCTACTGGGAACAAATCATAAGCTGTCAACAGCTTTTCATCCCCAGACAGACGGCCAAACAGAAAGATTAAATCAGACCCTTGAACAGTACCTGCGAAGCTATGTCAATCATCAACAGGATAACTGGGTTCAGATCTTACCCATCGCACAGTTTGCATATAACAGCGCGATGACAGAAGCAACGAAAGTCTCACCGTTCTTTGCCAATTATGGCTACCAGCCAGAAGCATATAGGCAACCAAGACCGGATGAATCACGAGCTGAACAAGCCCTGATCGTGGTGGAACAACTGAAATCGTTCCACGAACAACTTGCGACGGACATCCAATTCTTAAATGAACGATCCGCCGCATACGCAAACAAGAAGCGCAGTATGGAACCTGCCTTCAAGGAGGGGGATAAAGTATACCTACTCCGGAAACATATCAAAACGAAACGACCAAGCACAAAGTTGGACTTCAAGAAATTGGGACCATTCAAAATATTGAACAAAGTCAGCTCAGTTAATTACAGACTGCAGCTACCCAAGAAGTCTAGACTACACCCGGTATTTCATGTCTCACTACTGGAACCAGCAAGAGGAAATACCCCAATTGCGACCGACACCGAACTCCAACCCGAGAATGAGATAATCGAATATGAGGTCGAAGCGATCCTAGACAGAAGGTTAGTAGGACGTCGAGAAGAGTTTTTGATAAAATGGGAAAATTACGAACCTACGGATAATTCGTGGGAACCAACAAGGAACATCAGCAAAGAACTGCTGGAGGAATATCGACGCCGCCATCCGCCAGCCATTGATCCCAAGATGCAGGGGAGTAGGCCAGTGGATCGGAGGAAGCGAGGGTCCCGGTCACAGACGAGGAGGCAGCGCTAACTGCCTGTTCCTCAGCCTCAACAGCGTCACGCTTCTCAGCAGCCACACGTTCGGCCTCCTCTGCCGCATCAAGCTCGTCGAGGGTTTTCAAACCTCGCCGGAGCATATCTTTACCACGGGTTCGGATGAGGCGTTTCTGCTTCCGCAGACGAAGTAACTTCGAAAGGGTTTCTTCCTCTTCGCGATCCAGGCGATCCTCCTCCCGTTCGAGCTTCACCCAGTCGGGATGCTCAGGACCCATACAGTCACACTTTTCTTTCAAGTTGCGACGAACGCACTCGGCGCACCGCCGTGAATCATTTGGAGACGACACGCAAGTAATGTTTCGCCTCACGCAGTTCGAGCAAGAATCCATTTCGGGTAGTTCGTATCCGTGGTTCTTTATTCGACAGACAAGATCGTTGCGTTCCTGGAGTTTGCGGGCAGTGTAAGTAGGCATGTTGCATGTTGAAGGACTCGCTGAGGAGCAGCAGAGTCCCGGGGACATGGACGTACTTATAGGATTCGAGACGAATGCCCAGGGGAAGGGAGCGAGTGTTACGACGGAACAAGAAGGCTGGCCAACTACAGGACAGGAAGGAGGGAGGTCGCATGAGACCGGCCCTGGTACCTGGAGGGGCAGCGGGGAATAGTAGTTCCGAAAGTATCACGTGACGGACTCGCAGGATGATGAGAAGAGTCCTAAGAGTCCAGGACTCCGAGGACTCAAGTGAGTTCCCAGGAGTCCACTAGGCACGTGATGGACTCGCAGGATGATGAGAAGAGTCCTAAGAGTCCAGGACTCCGAGGACTCGAGTGAGTTCCCAAGAGTCCACTAGGCACGACGCCACTATATAAGTAGATAGTATTTCCTTAGATAGGAGCTTCGTGCTCAACTCAATACAGTATTTGTTATATACTAGTAACGTGTTACTTGAAGCCTTTGTGTCTGATCCCCTGCCTCCTCTGATAAGTAAACCTTTACGCAAGAGAACCTCTGTGTCTTCTATCGTTTAGAAGTCAGCGTTACATATACCTATAACAACCGTAATAACCGTAACAAGCTGTGAGCTGTAATTGTAACACTTTGGACTTCATTGTCAAGCTACCACCCTCTCAGGACCCGTTAACAGGAGTAGTAGTTGATGCTATCCTAGTTATTACAGAAAGACTCACAAAATATGGAATATTTGTGCCATATTTAGAAGCTAGCGATGCTAAAGCACTCGCATACACCTTCCTTCGAGTCATATTAGCCGATCATGGATTACTAGAAGAAATCATCTTAGACAGAGACAAGCTTTTCACTTCGAAATTTTGGAAATCTTTAATGGTGCTTTTGGGAACAAATCATTCCTTCCTTCTTCTTCTTCTTCTCTCTTTAGATTCAATCTAGCTTACTTTACCTGGACTGGCACTATGACCTCCGTGACCATCGTTATCAAACTCAAAATGCCCCAGGGAACAGCTCAAATGAATACTAGTCAGCGGATTCTCCACAGGGATGGCCCAACACTGACCTATACTGAGATTGCCCCAGTTCAAAAGAGAGAGCATGAAGGCGACAAATATGACTCGTTGCTGTTACAATTAAGTATCCTTGCTGGGGTCACTGCTTTGGTACTCACCTCTCTTAACGTACTCTTCCTCTCCTTGATGTTCTTAGTCAACACCATCAGATTAAACATCCTCTCCTTTACAACACCCGACATTGTCATCCCCAGGTAAAAACACTCACCTGCAGTTCATATAAACAAAAGCTAACTTTCAAAGATTTTGCTTTGAGGATCTGTACCGCAGATGACACCTTAACCCAGGCTGAATCGGGCTTTCAAACTCCTTTCAAATTGAAAATTCAAGAAAGAGCTTTGAGCACTCGACATCGCAGATCTCAGTCTTCCATCACCCAAACCATGTCATCAGCATCTCAGTCTCTCACCACTCAAACTATGGCGTCTCCATCTCTCCTCAGTTTGCCCTCCGAAATTCTCTACAGCATTACGAACCATCTCAGCTACGGTTCACATCTCGCCCTCTCACTCACCTGTCGCGAGCTCTATCGCAGAGTCGATGCTCCTTGTCAGCCATACACTCTACCATCACCTTCCGGAGCGAAATCCAAAACCTACACCATGGCTGATCTTCTTGAGATAGAGAACTGGGAAGAGCCCGGCGCCCTTTGGGACACCTACCTCGGATTTCGGAACCCCAAACCAACCGACTTGTTCGCATGCCGCATATGCCTATGTCTCCGCGTGGCCACCAAGTTTATCAACCCACAGAAGGGCTATACTTCCTGGTTCAAGTATATGAGTACAGTATCCCTTGACCTCACGGAGCACAGAAAAGAGCGGTTCTGTATACCGTGTGGGATCAAGCGTAAATGGTATCACCACGGAACGCGATTTAAGGCGATGGGACGGCCAGAGGAGCACCTGCATGTTTGCAATGAGTGTGGTGATTTCGAGGTGGTTCAGGCTGGATCAAAGGGCTTATGGCTTTGCGCTGCGTGCAGAAGATAGGCAGAAGACAATGGAATAGTGGTTTGCGTTAAGTGAATGATTTAGACAGAAGGCAGTAAAACAGGGCACCACGGGGCATTTATTCACTCTCAGGTTCTTTGTTGGACTTTTAGCGTTTGTTTGTTAATAAAATATATTTACCCCCTGCCAGTGCACCTCCTAAGAATCATCCTGGACTCTTACACAAGGTCGCTCTATCAAGACTCGTCACTGCCTCACATTCATCAATCTCACATCTCATGAACTATGGCGACAACAGCAACCCTGCCAAGCTTGCCAGTTGAACTGCTCTATCAAATATCAGAGCAGCTCAGTTATGGTTTTACATTTTACCTTCTCATTCACATGCCGGGAGCTCTATACCAAACTCGATACCCGTCACCGACTGCCTGCTTCCTCAACTCAAAACAAGGCCTACACAATGGAGGACCTCCTCGAAATAGAGGAGTGGCCAGAGCATGACCCTCCACACCCTGTGTTCAAAGTATGCCCGATCAAGTTCATGGCCTGAAAAATCTGTTTAAAAATCCGCAGCCACACCAAGTTTTGCACCAGTTTTAAGGAGTACTTTTATTACAAGAGGAACGCCTCAGAAGATTCTAAGGAGAATGTCATGGAATGCAAGCTTGGGCAGGTTTGCCTAAAGTGCGCGGCTGCCACTGGGATTTATGATTACATTAGGATAGATGGATGGTATATGACCGAGGAGGGGGTTTACTGGCACATGTGCTATAAATGTAATCAATTCTCTCAGGAACTTCGTACAATCTCAGGGGAGTTGGTTTGTGAGAGTTGCCAGGATACATTGGAGGCATAAAAGAAGGAGACACGAGGCTGCAGGGCGTTTATTCACTCTCACTGTCTTTGCAACCCTTGTTAGCGTTTGTCAATCACGAAATCCTCCGCCAAATAACAAGTTACCTCAACTACCCACGCCGTCTCATTCGCCTGCCCCAAGCTCCATGCCAGAGTCGAAAGCCCCAATTGGCGACGCACCATTTCCACTGGCAATGCCATACCCTACACCATGCAAGGACTCCTCGCCATAGAACTATGGCCCGAATTCGCACCATCCCTCGGCGGCGACCGTGTATCACGTCAGATGCCCAGCAAAAACGACTTCTTCGCCTGCCGCTACTGCTGCAAGATCCTCTCCGCCATCAACTTCACTAATAGGCATCTTAGTCGCGCTTACTGAAAACGCGATAGGGATGAGGAGGAGATTAGTAGGAGAGATCAGAGCGCCTGGCGCATTTGTATTCCGTGTGGTGCTGCGGCGAAGATGTATCCTAGAGATCGGAGTTTTCCTTTTGGTGGGATGTCGGGGGGTTATGGGTTTACGTGTGTCAAGTGTCAAGGGTTCGTGTTGGAGAGGCTGGGGTTTGAGGGTGAGAAAGTTGGTTTTACTTGTGATAAGTTACTTGTCGGGAAAGCAGTGATGAGAAAAAAGAGCCGTCTGATACTTACATATGGTGGGTATTCGAATGACTTGCTCACATGAAGCATTACCAATTTATCATCATAGTGCATGTGAGCCACTGCTCAGAGTATAAGATCTCTCCTCAAATAGTGAATCCTTAGATACTTAATCAAAGAATCACGAGCCTACTGCTCAGGGTACAAGATCTCTCCTCAAATAGTAAATCCTCAGACACTCGAATAAAGAATCACTGGTTCCCGTCTCTCTTAGATCATTTAGTGATGACAGGAAATAAAGAGACAGAAAGCTAACAAGTATTTTATTAGTCTTCTCAGAGTTTACAGAAACTACAGGGCGTTTATTCACTCCTATTTTCTGTGCTCTCTTTTTAGCTTTTTAGCGTTTGTTTATCACATACCCTCATACTCCTATCATCAAGCATCGTTCTTCATACTCCAACATCACCTCTAATCTCACACACTATGTCAACTACAACGACCTTGCTCAGCTTGCCACTCGAATTGCTCGATCAAATAACAAACGACCTCAGCTATGGCTCTCACCTAGCCCTGTCATTCACCTGTCATGAGCTCTATGCCAGACTTCTTGATCATAATCAAAAAGCCAACCCCGAAATCGTATACAACATGAAAGACCTCCTAGAAATCGAACTCCGGCCCGAATTCGCATCCTCACATCCCAGACCTCTCGAAAAGCGGCAGCCAGACAGGGATGACTTCTTCGCTTGCTGCTTCTGTATGAAGATTTGTTCTGGCTCGAACTTTTAATCCAAAAAGATGAAAGGCAGGTACGGAAAACGTGGTGAAGCCAACATGAATGCGACGAAGAGGCGCCACTGTATACCTTGCGGAGTCACATGGAGAAAATACTATCTGGGGCAACAATTTCATATCGGGGGGTGGAAGGGGTGCTTCGGATTTGTGTGCTATGGATGTGGTGGGTTCGAGCGTGAGAAGTATAGATTCGAATCTTATAGGGATAGGTACAAAAGATGTGAATACTGCCCCCAGGAATCCGACTACAAGAATGGTAAGTACTCAAATACCTTACTCGCCTGAAGCATTACTAATTCCTCATCCCAGCCCCTTTTCATGTCTCATACGACGACTTAGATCGCTAGATCGCCTTTCTAGATAGTGAGTAGAGCACCCACAATCCAAATGTAGCATCACTAACACTACTATGAGGTCTACAGCAAACACATTCTGCCTTCTTTAAAACGTTGTCGACAGGAGATAAAGGAACCGGGAGCTGCATGGCGTTTCATCACTCTTCTCGGTGTTTATAGAAGCTTCGGGGCATTTCTTCACTCTAGACCTCTTCGTGGCCATTCTCAGCGTTTCTAGAGACAACATGGCGTTTATTCACTCTTCACTTCTTGTTCCCTTGTGACAGCTTCATCGTTTGTTCATTAATGAAATAAATATATCATGCCATTCATCGGGTCATTTTCATCCCAAGTCTCACGGTCGATAATCCCTCCCCACCAACCTTCCACCACACCAACAATGGCGCCAACAACCCTCCTAGACTTGCCCACAGAGCTTCTTCTCCAAATAACAAGCTACCTCCGCTCGCCCTATTCATGAGCTGCCGGCTCTACACTCTACTCTCCCCAACCCCAACACCCCCCCCGCCAAATAGCGTCCCACAACCGCAGCAAGTCAAACAAACCAACCCAGTCCCTACCCCCCAAAGCAACAAAACCTACGGCATGTACGACCTCCTCCTAATTGAGCGCTGGCCCTGCTACATGCCCACACCCCTACACCTGCAGCCGGGCCCGGGCGACTTCTTCGCCTGCTGCTACTGTCTCAAGCTGCGATCCGCGTTGTCGTTCTCTAACGCGATGATGAAAGGGCAGCGCGGAAAGGCCATCTGGGCTAGTGCAGTGCAATTTAGGGTGATGCGGTTCTGTATTCCCTGTGGGATTGAGCAGGGGAGGTACTTGGGGCGCACGCGGATGTATTTTGGGGGTCTGACGGGTGGCTGGGGGGTCGTGTGTAAGTGGTGTTTGGGGTTTTCGAAACAGGGATGGGAGATCGAGTCGATGAATGATTTGGGTTTCGAGAGGACGGATTCTTGGTACAGTTGTGATAACTGTCTGTCTAAAACGAAACTCGGGGATAGGTTAGTAGGGGATAAAGGGGGGGTAGTCTAGGCCAGCCTTTGCCGCTGATGACGCCTTAACGACTCCTCGGTGCTTCTCATACGCAACCACGATCACAGAAATCAACAGTTTCACATCCCAATCACGAGAAACAACAATGCAGACCCCGGTCACAGACACCAACAGTACTATAGTAGTAAACCAGTCACTCGATCAAAAAAATATGGCAGCCAAATCCTGAATTCGCTACCTACCTACCTCAGCCTTCCCCCACACCCTCCTCTCCCTTCCCTCTTCCCATACCAAACTTTTACTAAGTCCCACGGTATTATATCATTTTCATTTTCATAACCCCCACCTCTTTTTTTTTCTAGAACGCCCTTCTGCGTAACTACTCCCCTACACGGCTCGAACCAGCTTCTCTCTCCATTGTTGTCACCCTCCCACTAATTGGGGTTGGGATGGATGGAAGAGCATTTATTTCGTTCCGAGACCCTCGCCGGCCTCGAGCTTGGCTTGGCCGTATTTCTTGAGGCGGATGGCGTTGATGTTGATGAATCCGGCTGGTAGTGTGTTAGCGCGCCCGGGGAAGGTGAAAGGGGGTGGGGGGTGTGGGGGGGGAGGAGTTGGGACAACAGGGTGGCAAAGGGGACGTACTGGTATCAACAGGGCTGAAGTCAACCAAGCTGTCCATGGAAGACTCCTCCTCCGAGTAAAGCTTCTCGGTCTCCGAGGAGCGGCCGAGGATGAAGACGTTACCGCGGTAGCAGCGCATCCTGACCTCACCATTCTACGTCAAATAGTTAGCCCACACTATTTCCTTCTCACAGAGGTGGTTAATGGAGGACATACGACGCTCTTCTGGGAGAAGACGAGGGAGTTCTGGATGAACTCGCGCTCGGGGGAGAAGTAGAGACCGTTGTAGAGGATCTCGGACCAGGCGTGGGTGACGAACTGGTCGCGGAGGGCGCGGACCTTGCCGTCCATGACGAGGCCCTCGATGTCGAGATGGGCGTCACGGAGCTGGGATGGGGGGTTAGCTTGGGTGTGTCCCAGAGAGGGCAGGGGTAGGGGGACGTACGATGGTCATGGCTGGAGAATCGTAGCAGCCGCGGGACTTGATGCCGACGTAACGGTTCTGTCACGGAATCAATTAGCAAGCAAAACACAATGCGACCGGACACGCTACGAACCTCGACGATGTCGATGCGGCCGATACCGTGGAGCTTGCCAATAGCGTTAAGAGCAATGAAAAGCTCAAGGCTGTCGGTGATCTCCTTGCCCTCAGTGGTGAGCTTGACGGGGATACCCTTCTCGAAGTGGATCTGGATGTCTTGTGGGGTGGCAGGTGCCGTCATCGGGTCATCAGTGCTGTTAAAGTTAGCAATTGTATTTATTTCTGGGTTATTGGCCCGTTCGATTTTCGCCAGTGAGTACGCACCGAGTCCACATATCAGTTGGTGGCGGCTTGGATGGGTCCTCGAGCTGACCGCTCTCGTAGGAGCAGTGAGCGATGTTGTCGTCCATGCTGTATGGCTTGGCCTTGGTGGAGGTGACTGGGATGCCGGTGGAGGCGGCGTAGTCGAGGAGGTCGTTGCGGCCCTGGAAGCGCTCGAAGAACTCGGGCATGCGCCATGGGGCAATGATCTTGATCTTGGGGTCGATGGTGAGGAAGGCAAGCTCGAAGCGGACTTGGTCGTTGCCCTTTCCGGTGCAGCTAGGTGATGATTAGTTGGTAGTTCTTGTGTAACGCATTTGCGGGGTAGTAGATTAAAGGTTGATGGCTCAATGGATGGCAGTCTCATAATTTATGAGAAGCACATCCACCTCACCATCGTATCCCTATCCATAACCAACTCAGGAAATTACTAACCCGTGGCTAACAAATTGACCTAAAAACAAAAAGTCAGCAAAACACCTCTTTTCAACATTACCCCGCCCCAAGAATGGAAATACTCACATCCCTCCTCAGCGGCAACCTTCATCTGCGCCCTGGCAATGACGGGCCTGGCCAGACTGGTGCCGAGAAGGTACCTTCCCTCGTATATGGCGTTGCACTGGACGGCGGGGAAGCAAAGCTCCTCGACGAACTCACGGCGCAGGTCGGTGATGACCATCTTCGTGGCACCGATGGCGGCGGCCTTGGAGCGGACCTGGTCCCAGTTCTCCTCCTAGGTGGGGAGTTAGGTTGTGTATCCATTGATAAGGTAGAGGGCTGCAATTGGGAGCGTTGCTGGTGGACAGGGAGGGAGATGAGGGATTGGGGACGTTGCACATACCTGGCCGACGTCGGCGAGGAAGCAGACGACCTCATAGTTCTGGTCGAGCAGCCATTTGAGAATGGTGGAGGTGTCAAGACCACCAGAGTAGGCGAGGCAGACCTTTCCCTTGAAAGCCATAATGTTGGTTATGTGTAAGGGGCGTTGTTGGAGTTTTGTGGTGGAATTGAGTGTATAAACAAAAGGTGGTTTAGGTATGAGTCGGAGGGGAAGGGTGAGAAGGGATCGGGTGGGATGGGGATTATGGGGGGGGTCAGTCGAAATTTGTTGTGGGCAGCGATAAGATAAGGTCGGGTAGGCTTATCGAAAGGCGGTCAGGGGATGCAGATGCAGGAGGGGGGGGGATGCAGGAAGGCGGTAAGCAAAGGGGATGGATCAATAGTTTCAAAAATTGTGAATAAATGTGAATAATGTGAATCATAGGAAGGGTAGAACCGGAGGTACAGAATAGGGGGTACAGTCGCTGGCCATGGCCGCTCACCTTATAGAAACTCAGTGCTCACCTGAGGAATACTACCTTTCATCCTCTCTATCCTCTTATCCATGATAATCCAGCTTCAATTCCACGCTATCACCTGAGAATTACCTGACGCTAACACCTGATAGCTTTAATCGTCCCTCTAATTGACCAGTAGCTGGCGCCGAAAGTCACCGGACTGTCACTCTTCGGGCGCGCGGTGCCGATTTTCCCGACGGATGCTAAGGCAGTGTTTGACCTCGCTGCGGCGCAGAATGGGGGCGTGGCGCTGTCGTGTAGTGATGAGCATTTTGGGGTGATTTCGAACCTGCTGTTGCCAGGGAGGGGGAAGGATACGGGTGATGGGTGGGAGACGAAGAGGACGAGGGGGGAGCATGTTGATTGGGCGATGGTTAAGCTTGGTGCTAAGGGGACGATTGAGAGGGTTGTGGTTGATACGGCGCATTTTAGGGGGAACTTCCCGCAGAAGGCGAGGGTTGAGGGGCTGAATTGGGGGGGGGGGAGGGGAGCCGGGGTCGAGCTTGTTGTGCCGAGTAAGACGGGGCCGGATGCGGTGCATGAGTTTGTGGCGATGAAGCTGGTTATGATCCCTGATGGTGGTGACAAGAGACTCCAGGTCTGGGGTGCCAGAGCGACGAACTGAGTGGTTCCGTTGGAGAGAGAAAGAAGGGGATGGAATAGGTTGAAGAAAGATCCTATCTTGGACTTTATAGCTAGACTGATCTGTATTCAAGGTAAAATGAAAAGGTAGAAAAAAACACTCGAATACGAATATTTAAAAAAATAAAATATAACAAAATAAACTAAGTTATGGGAATGTTGTCACTAAATAAAGTATTTTTATAATTGAGCCCCAAAATAATAATAGCCATTACTTTATCCTCACTCAAATCAAACTCAAACCCCAGTGTTACAGTACAGCCCTTCAAATAAACAACCCCGTCCATCAAATCGAAAATAGCAACACAAACATCCTCATATTAAGATTCAAGACCCGAGAGATAACCATCACAGCAAAAGTCGTCCAAAATACTACACAAGATTTAATTCAGAGTAATCAATTCACTTCAACCCCCTTATGGAATACCCTCCCACAACACCATCGCTTCCCTAAAGTAAAATAAAAAGTGAAAAAGAAGTTCATCATCAAACACCCAATCAATCCAGTCCCATCCTACCCATCCCCCCCGGCCGAATTCCAAACACCCTTCCCCATCGCCAAATCCAAGTCCACTCAGATAGGGCTTCCCTTTTTGCTCTCGCTCAAAGACAACAGACAAACAAAAACACAACACAAGCAAAATATACAGTATCCCAACAACTAAGCAGGCTGCTCATACATCACTACTCCCCTCCCCTCCGCCCCCACCGTCGACTCCTCCTCATCATCATAATAGCTCCCCTCCTCCGACTCGCTATATTCGGTCCCCTCATCAATGCTCCCACTAACATCCGTCCCCGTCATCGTGCTCACCGTCCCACCACTCTTCCTCCTCAGCGTCCCACTATCACTAACCTCCCCATCGTCATCATGGCCACTCTCCTCATCACTCTCCTTCAGCGCCAAGTTCTCCTTATTCAGGTCTCCATACCCGTGTCGGGGCATACTACCACCCCAGCTCGTCTTCCTCAGCGCCCCGCTGCCACTCGAGTTCTTGACACTGTGGCTTCGCTTGACGCCACCGGTGGGGACGTTATTCGTGATCTGGTTGAGGGAGAAGTTGCGTCTCGATGCGCCGGCGGGGTTGGAGATGGGGTGAGTGACGATAGCGCGCGGCGGGGCATTCATGGCCATACCCACAGCGCTGTGCATCGTGCCTGCGGAGCGGTTCCTCGAGGAGCTCGCACCGCTCGTCACCGAGCCGGTTGTAGATGCCGCGTGGCTGGGGACGCGCTTGAGGTTCATCAGGTCGCGGCCTCTTGTCTTGCCGATTAGGAAGGCGCGGGAGTGGTCGATGACGCCTTCGAGGATGCGGCGCTCGAGTCCCTCGGCGCGGGCTTCCATGTTGTGAAGCTCCTCACGGCGGATGCGGAGGGCTGTCTCGAGGCTTGAGACATCGGCTGAGAGACGCATCTTCTGCTGGAAGAGAACATCTTGCTCCGCTTTGAGCGAGGCTACAGAGTCTTTCAGCCGGTGCTCCTCGGTGCGTTGTCTGGCAATATCTGCTTCGACACGTTCCTGTTCTGCCAGTCTTTTCTCGAGCGTAATCGCTGCTTCATCAGCCTCCTTGACTTTGTCCTCGTGATCATTGGATATGCGCTGCGTTTGAATAGACACAAATTCGGAAACCTCGGCAGCTGTCTGCATTACCTTACGGTGGATCTCGCCAAGCATATCCAGCTGGGCAAACGACTTCCCCGCAGAGTGCATATGGTCCACAAGCTTGTTCAACTTCTCTTGAACCTCTCCGTCATCATATTTGTTTGATGGCGTATTTTGCAGCAGACCTTGAACCGAGGACAATGAGGCAACGTCGCGCTCCTTGATCTTTTCCTGGATGGTATCGGTTGATGTCTTGGAGTGTTCGTAATGCTGGCCGACAATCAATAGCACATCCTTGATGGAATCGAGGATCTTCGGGTTATAATCGTTGACGTTGGAATGCACATCTTCAACTGCGCAAAGGGTTTTCATGACTTGATCACGAGTGAGCTGGTTCTCGGTCCTAACCTCAGTATGGGTCTCTTCGAGTTTCGAATAGGTATCCTCAACACGATTGAAGACTGTCTTTGAAGCCTCATCCATCTTATCAACCGAGTCAGTCAAGGTGGAGCCGAGCGTGTTGATGAGCAACTTCAGCTCTTTCGCAATCGCCTTCGTGTCCTGGAGTGCAGCCTCAGACTCGACCCTCCTCTCTTCACCCGATTTCTCTTTGGACTCGGCCGCTAGTTGGGCATCGTCATATTTTAGCATCAAGTCCTCGAATTTCCCGTCAATCTTTTCCCAGGTCTTTTCGAACTTCTCCTCGGATTCTAGCTTCGCGCCTACAACCCCATTATTGGATTGTTCGAACTCAACTTTTATGGTTTCCAAGACCTCCTTGACATCTTCGGTAATGTTGGCATTGGAGCTGATTACAGGCCTTAGACCTTCCAGGAGCTTGCTGATCGAGTCTACGCCTGCAGTGCCTTCTTCGACCTTCGACTTGATTGCGTCTCTAAACTCCTCGAGGAGTGTTTTGACTTCGCTGACTCGCTCGCCGACACCGACAATTTCTGCCTGGCGTTCCTCGAAGGCGGTATTGTTTGCACCCTTCATGTCTTTGATGATGTCACCGAGGGTATTAACATCCTCTTTGCTAGCAAGCCCGGCAAGATCGTCGGTGATCATCTTGTCAATTTGATCTTTGACGCCGAGCAAAATGATTCCAACGTTACCATCATTTTCTGAGACATCTTTGACATCCTGGAGCATGACCATAACGTCTTTTACCAGAGCCTCCACAATGCCAACATCCTCTCGCTTTGCCGTTTCTGGAATTTGAGCCAAGATATCGCTGATCGAGTCTCGAGTCTCCCTGATAATATCCTCGACGGCGTCAAGGTGATCCTTCTTGACAAGGTGTTCCGGGTCCAAATCATCGATTTTAGCTTTGGTGTTCCGAAGGAGGGTCTCAATGGCCTCAAAATCCTCTTTGTGCACGCTCTCCTCGCCGACCTGAGAAGGCTGTCGGCCTGACATTTCCACGACAGATTCCTGCACATGGCGTAAGGTCTCCTCCAGATGAATAATATCCTCTCTACACACCGAATCCGCTGGAGGCACTGTTGACTGGGGAGGCATATTTTCGAGTGACTCAACTTTAGCCCCCAACTGAGAGATCAACACTTCAAGGTTCTCAATGTCGTTCCGTTTGAGGCCCTCGGTGGCAATTACCGCACCGCTAGTAATCGCGGCAATGTCCCTGTCGCCGTTGCTGCTATGGTTGTCGTGTAATCCACTGTCACGTAGACGGTCGATGTCAAGCCTCAAGCCCTCCATGCCGGCCTTCAGAGTATCCAGAATCTCGTAGTTCACCGTCATATCAACAGGCTTGCTACCGATCCTCTCAACTTCGACCCTCAAGCTATTGAGTCCGTCATGAAGAGCGTCTAGAATCTCCCCTGTTCCAGATAAGATGCTCTCACCACTATCCCTCGGCCTCTCCATATCTGCTCGGAGACCATCTAGCCCGTCTCTCAGGGTAGAAAGGATCTCGTCCCTATCAACACTCGATCCCGCTGGGACGACAGAGGTGGCCATTGCTTCACGGAAGCTGTTCAGTTCGTGCCTGACAGATTCCATTGAAACATCCGAGCCTTGAGCCATGGTGTGTGCTAACTCTTCACGTAGCCCATCGAAGTTGTCTCTTATGCAATCAATAATTTCGACCTTTCCGGTAACATCAGCAGCACGATCAACGTAGGTCTCGATGTCGATTCGGAGCTTCTCGAAACCATCCTTGGTCGCATCAAGAACTTGTTCGGTGTCCCGTCCATGAGCTGCCACATTTTGCTTGGCTTCGTCGGAAACAGCCCTAAATTCACTGTGCATAGCGTCAAGAACTTCTTGGAGACGTTCATGGATTTGCTCGCCGTAGGCATCAGAAGTTTGTGGTATATCCTCTAGACCCGCTTTGATGGCATCGAAAACATCATCTTTCGTCAGAGAATCTCCCCCAATATCGCGGCTAAGTTCGTTGCCTTGCGCAGTCTGGATTGGAAAATCGAAGCGACTTAGACCTTCTGTAACAGCATCGAGCATGTCCTCTCTCATGGTGTCGATGTCTCTGGGTTCTGGTGAAGGAGCCGATGGGAATTCAAACTCCTCTAGGCATTCCCTCACTGCGTCAAGGATTTCATCCCGCGAAAGGCTTGCCTCCGTCTCGACTTGAGGTGGCGTAAAGTGTTTCAGGCCTTCGACAACAGCTACAAACACCTCTTCTCGTGTAGCGCCAACTTCGCGACCAGTGTCTTGAGGCATATACTCTTGGATGCCTGTTTTAAGGCATGATAGCATCTCTTCACGCTCTAATCCGAAGTGCTGTAGCTCGATGTCTGGTTTGTAGTTCTCCCATGCTTCCCGGACAGCATCTATGACATCTTCCTTCGCAACTCCACCAGGCTGGGTGTCGGTAAGAGCACTTCTGACGGCGTGGTATACCTCTTGGCCATCAACATTGCTTCGAGATATGGCTGATGACGATGATTGCCGGCGAGCTTCTCGCAGTACGTGATCCAGATGCTGTTTGAGATCCAGAAGCCCCTCGTTTATAATCTGAGCTACCTGTTCGTTCGAGGCGGCTGCATCTTGGGATGAAGCGCTGGGGTCAATCCTTGCTTGTTCGAGTTTCCTCCCAATATCACGGCCCATTCCAAGAACTTCACCCCGAAGCTCACGCACGAGAGCCTTGACTTCAGCTGTAAGCCCGCCTCCCTGTGCCACGCTATCTTTAATGCCTTTGATTAACTTCAACACGTCTTCGTTGATGATGTCAGATGCGCGAGACTTCCCACTCCCCTTCGATCCACCGCCAAGAAGATTCTCCACACGACTAACCATAGGCCCTGAAGGGAGTCCGTCGTAATCTACTTCCGATTTTGGAGGTTGTTCGAAGCTGAAGTCACGAGGTCTATTGGAATTGTTGCCGCCACTCTTGTTGACAACCAACGCACGGTGGCCAGAACCCTCTTTGATTAAGTCTAGAACCTCGTCCATCTTCTTCGCTGTCTCTATCCCGTCGTGAGAGAGTAAGTTGGAGACTACGGTTAAGCGTGATATAAGCAGGTCCTGGCCTTCTTTGGTCCCCATTTCTCTCAAAACCTTCTCCAGGAGGGCGATAGATGCAGAACCGTCGGGGTTGTAAGAAGTGGGGGCCGGGGTCCCAGTTAGTCCGCGGTCAATTGAAGCCGAAAACGAGGTAGGACTTGGTATCCGTGGCAGGGAAATGGATTTCATGCTCCTTGATTGCGGGGTATGGGGTTTATCGTCAAGCATATAGTTCTCGCTTGAGCGTAGCATGTAGGGCGATTGAGATGTGGGCGTAGTCAGATTTGTAGACAAGTCTCGAAGGCTTTTCCTGATATCTTCGTCTCGCGCATTTGTTGCCTCTTTCAGGCTCACCAAGTCCGTGGCGTTATCTTTGCTTCGGCGATTTAGCTGGGCCATCTCACGTTGAAGGCTCGTCGCAATGCTCGTAAGACTGAGAATCTGGTTTGATATAGCGTCGAAACTTTGCGGAACGCGCACCATAGCAGTAGAGTTATTAGTGGTCGCAGGAGGTGGCGGGCTTGCGCTTTCCCTGATTTCTCTACTTTCTCGGCTCTCTCTGTTGGACATTGATTGCAAAGCCAGCATCGTGGCAGACTGTGGGGAACTGCTGTCGCTCAGAATGCTGGATTGTGGTCGGCGTAGCGATGGCCGCACGTTGAAGTTTTCTCGTGGTGTAGGAGCCGCTGTAGGTGTAGCTGAGCGGCTACTTTCCTTCTCTGGTGATCTCGCCATATCGTTATGTTCCTCGTCGTCCTTCTTGTCTGGAGATGGAGGACGTTGAGGCGTCCTCTCGGGTGACTTCGTCGGCGACAACCCCCCACCATCTATGAAGTTGCTTAGGTCTCGTACATGGCCTATTTGTAATGACTGCATGCGCTTGTGTGCAGCACCCTTGATAAGAGATCTCTCTGGGGTTTCCATGCGCTTTACTGCACTATTTGCGGCGAGTGGGCCTTCTCGGCCCCTCTCTGTGAGGGCTGCGTGTGCCGATTGTATAGCAGTCGAGGTATTCGGCCGCGAGGTAACACTTGGTGATGAAGGGTTTAATGGAAGTGGAGGAGGTGCTCTGTCCGGATCAGAGCTATCCCACCTAGCAGTTATTGTCAGCGACGTTTCAGCATGTTGCGTAACATGGAGCACTCTTACATAGGGATCATGGCCTTGCCAAAATCGATTGAGCCGGAATTCTGGTGCCTCAATCGCTTCTCGTTCTCCCACGAGCTGTCCATCTCGTTAGGCGGCATCGTTACTATCGCAAGGCGAGAATTGTCACTTAGATGTTGACATCCGGCTGTAGTATGGAATGGTTTATATTTGTGAGGTTCGAGTAATTTGAGAGATAATCGATGGTGCCGCTTTGGGCATATACAATTGAACCCTCGCACCTCTGACGTGGTTGGCCCTTGCAAGTTTTGTTTACTATCAGTTCGTTACTCGGCAACCATATCTACGCTAGGCCGTATCAGAGTAGCGCATTTGATGCGGTAACGGACCAATCGGAATTTTATGGCGCCAAGACTTTCCGCCCTCCGCCCCGCCACCACTCCGCTCCTTCCACACATCTATCTCTAGGGTTTGCGAGCCCTTGCGGCTCTTTCCAAGCAAGCGAAACTTTCGAAATTGGGTAGTGTGCATTTCGACGAGGGACTCTACGAATCGACCCAACAACTCAACGCCAAACGAAAGCCGACATGAAGTGTAAGTAGTTATACTGGCCACAAAACGAATACTCCAGAACCTGTCGCTGATTATGGTTTTAAATAGTCCTCAAGGTTGGCCGTGTTGCCATCATCACCCGGGGCAGATTTGCCGGAAAGAAGGTGAGACGATATTGCTCTTCCGTCCCTCCACTCCCAGATACGAAATCCAATACTGCGACGGCTTGATATAAATCGATTCTGCGATGCGACTGAAAAATATTGAGCGCGAATTGGGCATTGGCAGAGCGTGGACATGGAGTGCGAACATGAGCAAATGGCTAATACAGGTCCAATAGGTTGTGATCATCCAACCCCAGGATTCCGGCAACAAGTCGCACCCATACCCTCACGCACTGGTCGCCGGTATTGAGCGCTACCCGTCTCAGATCACCCGCCGCATGTCCAAGGCCCGCCAGACCAAGCGCTCCAAGGTCAAGCCTTTCATCAAGGTCATCAACTACAACCACTTGATGCCAACACGCTACACGCTCGAGCTGGAGGGACTCAAGGGTGTTGTCACTGCCGATACCTTCAAGGAGGTTTCGCAGCGTGAGGAGGCAAAGAAGACTGTCAAGAAAGCACTGGAGGAGCGTTATACCTCGGGCAAGAACAGATGGTTCTTCACTCCTCTCAGTACGTACCAAGCGAGATGCATACCAAACCAATTGCTGTATGCGACGAGATTGGAAGAGTAACCACTAACATTAATTGCAGGATTTTGAACGGTTTATTGTCGGTTGGGGTTCGGCATGGGGTTCGCATAGCATTTCTGTTCGGAATACGGGCTAAGGATTGTTGCATTTAACAAATGAAAATGCTGATGAACCTTCCATTTCAGAACTGCGTGCAAACACTGTGTGAAGTGATCACATAATATAGTAGATGCAGTTCTGCAAACCTTTCGTGTCCCTTTGAAACAGTTCTAAGTAAAATCAAACCTTTTATTTGCCTTCACATCCCATCAAATTCCTTATCGTTGCTGCTCTCGTCGAAGGAGCCTCTGGCAAGTGAGCCACGAACCCACGGTCAAAATCCAACCCATTATTACCTCCCACTGCTTTGTATTGCTTGTTTTATTCTTAAGTAAGAAGAGCTTCTGGCATGTAGTTCTGCCAATGCAGTTGTCGTTCTTAGCAAGGGGTCTCTGGCACGTGGTTCTGATATACTGAGCCGCCTCATAAGCCAGCCCTATTTTATCATATTCAAACTGCCTCGAAATTATTACAGTTTCTACTCCACGCAGGAAGAGAGAGAGCCTCTTGTCCTGTGGTCTTGTTATGCTCAGTCGTTTGAAGATGATCTCTTTTACTTGTCTTCACAGGCCTTTGAGGGGATTCCAATTCAATGCAGTTGCCATTATCACCAGCTAGAGTCTGTGGCACGTGGTCTGGCTGTTAAGCATAGTCACCCACAAACCAACTCTATTACTTACCTTCACTTAATGTTTCGAATTCACTTCAGTTGCTGTTTTGCTTCTGAGCGAGTTACTTCCTCGGATTTGTTCCAGTTGCTTCTTTTATCAAACACCTATCACACCTATCACACCCATCATACCACTCATCCGCTTTCATCTATTCAAGTCATACTCGGCCTTCCGTATTCTATTCATGCATGAACCTCCCTGATATTTCAACCCGATTAGATCTTCGTCGATATGGCTTCTAATTCAGGTAACGGGTCGCCATTCAATGGTCGTGAGACCGTCAAAGGGTTTCCGCACAATAGCCAAGATGCTCTCCAGGACACGGACGACTCGACTAGCCAACAACCTGCTTCGGCCACAAAGAGCAGCAAGAATATATTCAAGAATTTCTTCAAGGGGTCGGGTAAGTCAGATAAGTCTGGCAACTCAGTTAATGCCAGCAGCAAGAAGCCAGGATTATGGAAATATCCGGAGGCTCTCCCACCACCAACGCCAATGCAGATTCATCAAATCATGCATGCCTCACCAGAGCACCTTGCCAAAGTAGCTGCTGACAAGGCGAAAGAAGATGCTAAAAAGGCAAAAGAAAATGCTGAACTCAAACAGCAAGGAAATGTACAAAATCAGGGCAACTCAGAAGACAACAACCACTCAACTGATTCGGTGGTTGTTTCACCTCCCACTGGTATGAAATGGTCATTCGACGGAAAGTCTATGATCACTTACAAGGAGCCTGGCATTAATCACTTTAACCCCGAACAATCTGGAGAGCCAGGCACTGCAGTACCTCAGGGCATATGGCCAGGTCAGACTACCATCCCACATGGGGCCTACCAAAGAGAAATGGTGCCCGGAATGGTTCCCAGAATGTGGAACGAAGCTTCTGCTTCTATCAGCGGACCAGCAGTTTGGACGGATGTGCAAGAGGTTGGCGCCTTTGGGTCGTCCTTCCCTGATGGCTATCCACCGGAGCATGTTCACGAGCCTCGATCTGAGCCGCCATCTCATCCTATCGACATGAGCCTTCTCCGATCTGTATACGAGATTGCAGAGGCTGCCTACGTACAGGGCCTCTGGAACAAGGCTGACTGGATCGAGTTTTTGGAACAACTCCGCGCGGTATTATTCGGAAATCCATTTGTCAAACTATTAACTAATGTGCTGGCAATCTAGGGTGTGTTTAGTAACACCAGGCCTCCTAAGCCTCCCGCCATAGACCCTCTATTTTCATTTTTGCCAGCTATGGATCCTGTGAACGAGGAAGGAAGGCTAGCTTCATTGTTCAACATCGAACGTGTTTGGACCCCTCGTCAAGAAAGCAGGGCAAAGGAGCTTGTGAAAGCCTCGAAGGAAGAATTCGCAGTCACAGGAGTATCTATCAGCCTAATCGACAACAGCAATGAAATTCTCAAGGCCGAAACTACCTATAATTGCCGAATGATAAAGCGATCGGTGAGCATTGCAGCTCATGCTCTATTGACCACCGAAGTCTTGGTAATCCTCGATACCACAAAGGTATTTCAGTTATCCAATGATTTCTACCGAGACTGACTGTTTTAGGACTGGAGGTTCGCAAAAAATCCGCTGGTGTTAAATGAGCCAAAAATCAGGTTCTTTGCCGGAGCACCCATTCTTTCCAAGAACGGTGAAGCCGTTGGAGTATTCGCCGTCTTCGGGCGCGTGCCGAGAGACTCTTTCCCGGCGCTGCAGCGACACAGCCTGATTGACTATGCGGCCGTGTGTGCTGCCGAGCTCAATACAATTCTGGAGAAATCGTTTTCAGAACAAAGCCTTCACTCGCTTCAATCAGAAGCTATTACTGAGGTATGGGATCCGACTTGCCTCCAGGGCGAACCAACGCCCAGACCTAGAAGTCTGTGGATGCATGAAGAAACTCATCGCTTGCTTTGCGGAGAGCCGCGAGAGGATGAAAAAGACATCAAATACCCTACCACGTTCGAAGAGCTTATGGCGGGATTTGCTACTGAATCCGAGGACGAGGACACAGCACGTGACTCCGAAGAACAGCTCCTGGCACCATATAAGAATGGAGCCCATGCCAATGTCACATATTCTTCTGTTGATGTGAACTCGAGTACCCCAGCAAAGGAGAGGTATACTGCGGTATCGGATTATGCACTCCTCGGGAGTGATAATGAGGGGCCGGACTCCCCTCTTGGAGGACGCTCCAATCGGGGATCGGATTCTCCCGCTTCAGAGGGTTTTGTTTGGAGACCAGACTCCCCCACTTCACAAGGTCTCACTTGGGGACCAAAGTCTGCTCTTCCGACTGATTACCTGGTGAGACCACAGTCTCCCATAATGAGGAGTTGCACGCCGAGGCCGTACTCGGTCTCAGATCTTACTTCGACGGCCGGAGAACCCCACGAGAATACACCTGCAGAACGCGAATTCGATAAGCTGGAGGCTTCATCCCAGAAAGTGCAAGGTGTCGTAGACGGTGCTATTTCAGCTCTCCAATCCGAATTTCCGGACGCACCTATCCGAAGACAGAGGAAGAAGTCGATTCGCAGCATCTCACAGTATGAAGCAGAACTCAAGAGGCTTAAGATGGAGAGCGATATCCGTGAGGCTCACATTCAAGCAACAAAGATTGATGGCTCCAGTTCAACCGTCGTTACTGGAAGCTCCAATACCTCCGGACAACCATCGACGCAAGCAACAACTCTTCCTACTTCGTTCAACACTCGGATGTCTACGCTGGAATTTGCGGATACACACAGGCGCCCAGAAGCTGATGCCGCTGCGAAGTCTGTTGCTCTTAGCCTGAAATTCGACAGAGTATATGTCGCTGAGATTTTTCCCAGCAGCGATCTCATGACGCCAGGCAGAGCGGCTGTCACGGGTATGGGTGTGAGGATACTAGCATCCCACAATTGTCCCCATGATATGATCCTCGATACGGACTTTCATTTGCAGGTCCTCCGCAGCCCGCTCGGTGCTATGAGTTGGCACGACAAAGATGCCCTTCCTGGAGCCACAGACAAAAGCCTTTTGATCCGTCTTCATTCCAAGGGTCCTTATGGTGTTTCACGAGACCTCCACACTGGAGGCATTGTATACGGTGCAGTTCATCTGGCGCAGTCGCAGGGTGGGGATGATGCTGGGATCACCAACCAGGAGCAGGCTACAATCTTTAACGCGGCCAATGCGATGAAACTAATCTTATTCAAGAAAAATGATAAGAGAGAGCGCAAAGATAGCTCATGTGTCAATTGCAACACTCCTTCTCATGTGGGCACTCATACTGCGCCTGCTGCAGCGAGCAAGGCCGAAGGTGCTGGGCCTGAGCACTCTATTCCATCGACAATGGAGACTCCAAAGGCTAAAGACGCTGGACCTAAGCTTCCCAATCCTGTTTCGGCATTTGAAGCTGAATATGAAGATTACCCCAACGCGATAAGTATGGAGAGTGTGCAGGAGGCTACCAAAGCCGTGGCAGAGGTTATGAAGTTCAATATGGAGGAGATCTTGTCCCCTCAATGGTAATATTCGATGTCGGCGTATATATACCTCCCAGAATCAATGGGGGTCTTTCGTTTCGAGCGACTATACCGACTTATACCAGCGAAATGCACCTTGTGTCCAACTAGACATACTTTTATTAGCAGTTTGTCATGATGCAAACTTGCTGGGGTTTTAATTGTTTGGCTACTTCGGTGTAATGGGCCGAGAATCATGTTGCTGTGTTTGCTACCAGACAACAGCAACTGGGTGCAAGTTTACTGCGCCGCCAATGACCCAATCGTCGACATACATCGCCGGAAATTCACTTGTACAGATTACAACTTTACTTTCATTTTCTCATTCTTTCTTTACTGTTCATGGTTCGTGGTTTATGGTTTACGTTTTATGGTTCATGGTTTATGGTTCATGGTTTATGGTTCATGGTTTATGGTTCATGGTTTATGGTTCATGGTTTATGGTTTATGGTTTATGGTTTATGGTTTATGGTTCATGGTTTATGGTTTGCGGTGCATGGTTCTTGATTCATCTTTTGTTCTTTCGTTCGAGGGAAATGCCTTCATGATGATGTCGGAGAGGTGCTATGGAAGTTATATGCGGGGAGTTATCTGGAGAGTGTATTGGAGGGTTTCTATATGGATGGTTCTGGGAGGTTACGAAACCACGGGATAGACGTCAACAGAGTATTGGTGGGATACATTGCAGTGGGATAGGTGTTCAGGTGGAGATGATTTGATGGGTTACATTGCAGTGCCTCGTCTGAAGGGCGGGCGTCACTGAGTTCATTTGCTTTTTTGCACTATACCCGATATTTGAGACGATGGCTGAGGAAGGAAATGGGACGAATTGATCAGATGGTTGTGAAGATGGATGAATATTCGCGGAGGAGAAATTGACAATGGGAGCATGGGAGAATGAGGTTCATAAAACATCTACGGACTAGCCACTCTTTTTGGTGAATAGACACCAAATGATGAATTACAGAAAACGGTTTTTGAGAAGGCTCGATACTTGAAAAGGAATAAATAAATTGTCACAATATGAGCTGAAACCAAACTGTTGGTAGCATCTCCGTGAGACCGACCATTGCCTCTTGGTCAAACCTCACAAGAACCTCGATGAAAGAACGCCCCAGGTAGAATACACTACAAAGTAGAATTGGCTTTCGAATATTCACTCATCAATGACACAGTAGAGACTCAGAAGAAGAATCCTGAAGAGTAGAATACTGAAAACTTATGATCGACTGTCGAATCCAGGATCCCCCAAGTATGCCGAAAAGACAACTTGACACACAAGGCCTCAGCCATTGTTCTTGATATCTAGCTCCCAGTGACAATTTTTGCAGAGGTTATATTGTACTCCAGCCAGCTTTATAAACTTGCCCAGGGTAGATGGTGCTATCCCCAAAAACCAAGACACAGACGGCAAGCACAATGGCCACGCACTTACCCGGACTTCACAACAATCCAAACGGAGAAAATTCAAGGAACCTCACATGGGATCACGCAGAGGACCGCGGACAGCTTCACAAACTATTCAATTTAAGGTAACAATATCAGATCACACACTCCAGTTTCTAAGGTAGATGTTTCTATTTTACAGCTAATGCATTACCCCCCCTCGTGCGCGACAGCTCGCAACCGGTCGCCTCGCCGCCAACTAAAGAGATAGATACATAGCGCGGAAGTGAGGGGATCTAACAAACACAGGAAATCAACGCGCAGGTGTTGGTCTTTTATGCGACGAAGGACTTGGTGAAGGAGACGACGGACTCCTTGAGGCGACCCTCGAGGTCCTTGCTCAAGGCACCCTCCTTGTCGAGAGTCTCGAGCAGGCTCTGCTCGTTGGTCTTGAGGTGGGCGAGGAAATCGGCTTCCCAGGTCAGGATCTTGTCGACGGGGACGGAGTCGAGGTGACCGTTGACACCGGCGTAGATGAGAGGAACCATCTCGTTGACGGCCATGGGGGAGTACTGCTTCTGCTTGAGGAGCTCGGTCAACTGGATGAGAAATTAGCTTCTGTACATTTTGATGGATAGCTATGTGGGGATACTTACACGCTCACCACGGGCGAGGGTCTGCTTGGTGGCGGCATCCAAATCGGAACCGAATTGGGCGAAAGCGGCAACTTCACGGTATTGGGCCAAGAAGAGCTTGAGCGAACCGGCAACTTGCTTCATGGCCTTAAGCTGGGCAGCGGAACCGACACGGGAGACGGAAAGACCGACGTTAATGGCTGGGCGGATACCCTTGTAGAAGAGCTCGGCCTCCAAGAAAATCTGTCCATCAGTGATGGAAATGACGTTGGTAGGAATGTAAGCGGACACATCACCACCCTGGGTCTCAATGATGGGCAGGGCAGTGAGGGATCCACCACCGTGCTTGTCGGACATCTTGGCAGCACGCTCCAGAAGACGCGAGTGCAGATAGAAAACGTCACCGGGGTAGGCCTCACGTCCGGGAGGACGACGGAGGAGGAGCGACATTTGACGGTAGGCAACAGCCTGCTTGGACAGATCGTCGAAGATGATGACGGCGTGCTTGCCGTTGTCACGGAACCACTCACCCATGGAGGTGGCAGTGAAAGGAGCGATGTACTGGAGAGGAGCGGCCTCGGAGGCAGTGGCCGCAACAACGATGGAGTACTTCATGGCGTCGTTCTCCTCAAGAGTCTTGACGAGCTGAGCAACGGTGGAGCGCTTCTGTCCAACGGCGACGTAGACACAGTAAAGCTTCTTGGAGTCATCGGTACCGTTGTTCCAACGCTTCTGGTTAAGCATGGTGTCGAGGGCGACAGCGGTCTTTCCGGTTTGACGATCGCCAATGATCAACTCACGCTGACCACGTCCGATGGGAACCATGGCGTCGACGGACTTCATGCCGGTCTGGACGGGCTGGTTGACGGAGTGACGGGGAAGAATGCCAGGGGCCTTAACCTGGGCACGACGCTTCTCCTTGGTGTTGATTGGTCCCTTTCCATCAATTGGGTTTCCGAGGGCATCAACGACACGGCCGAGAAGCTCTGGTCCAACGGGAACATCGACCTGTGATGGATTAGAAGGAGTTAAGGGTCCTGTAGTATGGATCTACTTACAATCTCTCCGGTACGCTTGACGGTCTCACCCTCCTTGACGAGACGATCGGAACCGAAAAGCACAACACCGACCTGGCCGGCCTCCAAGTTCATGCACATACCCTTGACACCGGAGGCGAACCTATTGTTGTTGTTAGCATCGAGTCGTCACACCATAAATCGGGAAAAACTTACTCAACCAGCTCCTCGGCCTGGACATTGCTCATGCCATGGACACGGGCGATACCATCACTATATTCCAACTATTGTCAGCCATTGATTCCCATTGATATCACGATATAGATGCCGGGCTTGACATCGAATCGTGATGTCGCATTGTTGTTGACATACCCGACGGAGAGGACACGTCCGGTCTCGGCAAGGCCAGCCTCTTCTTGGACACCACGGATCTTCTGCTCGAGGATGGAAGAAACCTCAGTCGGGGCAGCCTTAGCCTCAGCGTAAGTGCGGGCCTGGATGGCGGAAGCGTTGAAGGCAGCTGGTGCAGCAATTCTTCCCTACGCGGTTGACATGAAAGTTAGCCGAAAGCCCGAAAAAATGCAGACGAAGCTGTTAGAGCTCCCAACAAAGCTGTCAACCATCATAATCTATCACTCAGCGAACTCAATTGAGTTCACCGAGTATATATCGATGCATTAAGATGACTTCGAGCTCCGTTGGACCCCGTTGGATATTTCGTGGTGGACTTACTGCAGCGACTCTGCCGGAAGCAGAGATTGCGCCCACCGTCCGGCTGGACTGTCGGAGAGCGTTCCTGAACATTGTGACCGTCGTCTATGCTACAAAGACACAAAAAGGAATTAATTGCTTCAGCAATTGAGGAGAGGAGATTGTGAAGGGAGGTGTTTTGGAGATTGGATCAATCGTAAGAAGGGAGGCTTGAAGAACACAGAAGATCGATGCGAGAGAGCCCGAGCCAGAGTCTTGGCATCTCGCTTGTGAGTGGTTGGCCTGAAATTCAGTGCACCCACTCGGAAAGAAACGAGGTATCCGTAGCGATGAGCCGTGGGAAAAAAAATCATGTGCCGCCAACAATATAAACTCTAAATATTGATAGATAATGGTATATTATTTACAGTGACTGGGGATTTATATTTTGATTTTTCCTGGTTTTATTAACTGCTGTAGTCAACGGTAATGCCGCTCACGATGCAGAGATTAATTGCCGGTCTCAGCTTTGTTGGCCGCTCATTACATATTTCTCTCCTCGGATCGGACCACACCGGAAGGAGATAAAAAATAGGAGAACAGGCAAAATAATGCAGCACAAACAGCGGCAACAGCACTAATTGAGTACTTTTATTATAGAAATCATTAATACTTTTCAAAGTCAGAGAGGTTTATAATGGTTTTATTTATCCATATTTAATCTACAGACTTCTATCAACCTCACACGCCCTGTAGCACATGACCGGCAATCAGTCTCCTTCCGGCCGGGTAAGCCGCCATCATAACCCTTGACACCGAGATGCTAGAACTGTAACCTCCGCCCTTATGGAACCTATATACCCATCTGCACATCTGCAGTACTATCTATCCTGCTCTCTCCACCGCATCTCATCGTTTTCAAGATGGTGCCCCCTTTGTCATAAATCACGTGATACGCACAAGATTGAGGGCTTTAGGCCATCTTGTTACTTGAGCTCCCTCAGCCATCTACTATCGAGCCAGGGTATTTTCTCATTTTTCCTTTACTCCATCACTGGTATCATCAACCCCATGGCCCTAGCGTCCAGCTCGACTGCTCTGCAGCCGCAGCTCTCAGCCCGGCTGGACCCATACTCTGCCTCGCCTTCGCTGCCGGGATAACTTCCTTGGCTTTGGAAGCACCAGCGGCACCGTACTGCAGCCACTGGTCTTTCTCGACTATTGATACAGAAGGCAATCTTAATTGAGATATAAGACTCGCACCGCTCCAAGCACCCATTGAGTCAACCGCGCTCAGCATCCCATGACATGGCGGAGGGGCGAGTTTATCTCGCTCTCTCTTTATCTGGCTCTCAATAGGATCAGGCTGTTGATTCTGGAAGGCTGCTTGCCTGTGGTGCTCGTCCGTTTCTGGATGTGCATGTCCATCAATTTTGATAGCAACAGGACCCTGCTGTGCCTGGTTCCTTTGTTGGGACCTGAGCTTCTGGTTTGCACGCAGTTGGTCAAAGGCTTTCCCGTGAACAGGCTCCCAGCCTCTTGAGTCAATGAGAGACTGGACATCACCCAAGATGCGGCTCTTAAGGCCGGGAATATTGGACCCACCGCCAACTAATATCAGTCGTGACATGCAAAATGACCGCACATCAACTGGGAGAAGTAACAGGCTTCTATAAACCAACAGATGCAATGGCAGTTCTTCGTCGTCCAGGTCGCAAGGGTTGATATCCTTGACGAAAAATGCTTTCTCACAAGGCTCGGCCAATTCATTAAATGGTATCTTCAACGTCATAGGCGGCTGTGTTGATGATACAGGTATTGATACAACGTCTTGTTGGTCATTAAATCGTAAACTCTCCATTGCAGCTGATAAGGCGTCCGATGTTTCGGTCCCAGGGGCGGGCTGCGATGGTTTGCACCAAGCGATGCGTGTGACGACCTCCTCGCATTCTTCAAAGCTGATCAGCTTGCTGTCTCTCTCATCGTCTTCTTCGTCGTCATCTTGAAACAGCAGAGATTTTATAGCACGTCCAAGGACCGTCCGCATTTTTAGGCCCAGTAATCTGCTTGCTCTCACAGTTCGGCGGCAAGAAATCTCGCGGAATTCGTACACTCCAGTGACAGTTGTCTCAGCCCAGCCAATATCTATAACAAGAGCCGATCGAAGTCCAGCTGCTACTGCGGATAGCACAGGCGCAGAAAGAAGCGAGATAGTTGGAGGTTGGAAGCTCGTGAAAAGGGTATCGAGAACTGTTGAGAGAAGCGGTAGAGGAAAGTCGGGCGGCAATACCAGGGAGATACGTCGAGACCCAGAGCCGGTTACTAGATATCTTGGAAATTGTCAGTTACTGTAACAAACAAACAAACGCCATATGGAAACGTACTTCGTAATAGCCTCTCTCATCGCCCGTTCAATCCTGTCGCTGACGAGCCCCAGGTCCACATGCCTCAGATCTGGCCTCCACAGCTCATGTTCCTCTCCCCAAGCCTTGCCCGACGCCCTCTGCCGCCAATCAGCCCCATAGCCAAGCTGCCATTGCCGGTAATCGCCAGCTCTCCTCTGTGTATCAGGTCCGAAACCAACGACCGCCTTGGGCAGTGCGTCTCCTGCTAGGCCTGCTCGGAGATAGCGGCTGCCGAATTCGACAATGATGCAGTCTTCTTCAGCGCGCAAAGCTGACGGGGAGCTAAAGTTCGAGATTGAGACTGGACGGACTGGAGTGCGGGGGCTGGTCGATGGAGCTCCTGCGGAGCGGATCTCAGATACTGGCCGAATGTTGGCGACGCTACGGTGGGCAGGCGTTGCCATTGCTTGGCATTGTCTGGGGCCTAGGAAATAGATTAGATTTGGGCCATGTTTTTGCGTCGTTGGTGTAGCGTACGAGGCAACAGCTTGGTTCTAATGATATTTCTGAGATATCAAACGCGATATCTGCAATCGACACTACTGCGGCCTTTATTTGAAGGCTGCCATCTACGAATTTGTATCGAGGTACTCATGTTTAGGAAGGTACGACTGAGAGATGTCACTTAGAGTTTAGAAACATCTATAAGTTCAGATTTTATATTTCTTTTGATGTCAATAGAAACTGTAGATAAAAGCAATGCCTTCCATCACTCTGAATCTATGTTTCCACGTACGGAGTACTCCGTACAGCGTCCACGCTTCAGCCACCCCTGCGTCGCTGGGACGACTTCGGAGCTAGTCCTAACATAAAATAAACAAGAGGCTTAATCAACAACGCCCTTTCCGTCACAATGGATCCAGTAGGCAGCCCTCATCGATAGTACCCTAGGACTCCAGGGAATAGCTTTGCCTCCCAGCTAGGTATCATCATTTGCTACTTTGCATTGCTCATTCGGGGCCATCGCTCTAAGGAATTAAGTTTCGGCTGGTATTGTTTTTTGCCCCACAATATTATGATTATAACAATGAAAACATGGGAATCCCAGGGTATGTTAGGACCTACGACCTATCATTGGAGACACAGTTACTGACGTAAATAAAATCTAGAATATACAATGAGATAGGTCCAGGTCAAAGAGTGTCTCTGACCAAGCTTGCGGTGGAGAAATTCGAGCAAACTGGGAGGCCGTTCAGAATAGCTGTTGACATTTCCATATGGAACTTTGAAGTCCAGGGAGGCAAAGGTGAGTTTGAGTTTCTGTTTCTGCAATTTTAGAACACAGTTCTTACGAATTAAGGTGGCCCCAATCCGGCACTGCGAACCCTGTTTTATAGGCTCGTAAGACTTGCCGGAACATCCGTTCAGGCAATATTTGTCTTTGATGGGCCCGACAGGCCTCTCCTGAAACGGAATAAAACCAGACGCAAAGGAGGTTCCGCATACCTGGCCGACGTGCGGAGAACTAAGCTTTTGCTGCAACTGTTTGGCTTTGAGTCTCACGATGCTCCAGGAGAAGCAGAGGCCGAATGCGCGTTGTTGCAACAACGGGGTTTGGTCGATGCCGTCCTCAGTGAGGACGTGGACACTCTGATGTTTGGCAGCGGTATAACTATCAGAGACTGGTCGTGTGAGGGATCTGGAAAAACTCCTCCGACTCACGTGTCATTATACGATGCCAAAGTCACCAAGGAGGGAAAATCTGGCTTGGACCGAGAAGGGATGATCTTGGTCGCCCTAATGAGTGGTGGCGACTATGATACCGCCGGTGTCGCTCGCTGCGGAGCAAAGATTGCATGCGAAGCCGCAAGAGCAGGTTATGGCAAATCACTGTGTGACCTCGCCCCTGATGACAGTCCCGGGTTATTGGCCTGGCGCGAAAATCTCGTACACGAGCTTCATACGAATGAGGGTGGCTATTTCAGACAGAAGAACAAGGCAATCACTGTACCAGACGACTTTCCGAAGGAGGAAATTTTACAGTACTATATGCATCCTATTGTCTCTTCGGAAGCCGCCCTGTTAAATTTGAGGTCGCGGTTACAGTGGGATAGGGAAATTGACTCGAAAAGACTGAGGATATTTGTTGAGGAATGTTTCGAATGGACTGGCAAATTGAGCGGAAAGAGGCTGATCCGCCTCCTTGCGCTGCCAATGCTGATCTATAAGCTACGAGAAAGACCTAAGAGTGTCGACTCAGGACATGGCAACTTGGTTTTGATAGAGGCCCAAGAACGAGAGATTGTGCAAGAGATCACAGGCGAGAGACAACACTTTTCAACAGATGGCATACTTGAATTACGCTTAACTTTTGAGCCGTTTGGTATAGTCGGGCTAGACATTGAAGCGGAGATTGATGATGAGAGCAACCCGGACCAACAGGATGAATACCTGGCTGTGGATGAAGAGAATCTTGAAGTTTATCAATCGGACAACGAACCGACAGGAAAGAGCAGATCCATGAGCCCTATGAAAAATAGACTGGCTGTTTATGACCCCACCAAACCCTCTAAGACCTGGGTTTCTCGGAGCATTGCGAGAGTTGGTGTTCCTCTCAAGGTAGAGGATTACGAAGAGTCATTAATGCTGAAGCAATCGCGGGCAAACGCGCCGAAACGGAAAGCTGCCCCGAAAGCAACAAAGCATGGCATGAAGCAAGGAGCATTAGATCGATATTTTGTTACAAGCAAACCGGTCGCCACTGGTGCAGCCTTGTCTTCGGAGTCTCCTAATAAGAAATCTGATCATCAACCACAACTGCCTCCGGTATATCTAGCTCCTTCTCTCGACAAGCCGCCGTTGCAGCCGAAAGGGACAACCAAGGAACCTCTTCGGCCACGCCGCGAGTACCGCAAAGCTCCTTCTGGGGACCGTTACTGCCAAGTCTCGCCCAAGCCAAGCAACCCTTGGGCAGCCACACAGTTTCGCTCGTCTCAACCAGTGAGCGCCAATGTGTCAAAGTCTGGAATAAGTCAGTCTAACAAAGGAGGGTCATCTCAAGCAAGTTCAAGCTTAGCGTCCCAGATGATATCATCATATGATATTTCTTCATCCCGTAACTTGTTTCCAAAGAAGCATTCGAGAAATGGTTCACCGCCCCTTTACGTCTCGTCTATTTCCGACGCTGAAATACCTACCGGTTCCGTACCGTTGCCTTCAGTTAAGAAACGGACAGCAGTGACTGGCGATCAAGGATATAGTGGAACATCAAGAACTACTCAATCAGATGCGCCAACATCAAGCCTGCAAATCAGCCGCAAGCTTGATATAGATCTAGGTGACCAATATCTGCCCACTCTCTCAGACGAAGAATACGACGCGCTGCCCCCTCTTGACTATCTACTTTCGCCACTCCAAACGAACACCTTCTCAACTGAAGATAACAAAGGGACACAGAATGCAATTGACCTCATGTCCTCTTCTCCTCTCTCACATTACACCACGACAAAACAAGCCGAATCGCCGCTGGCCATGGGCAAACCCTCTTCTCACGCAGACGTCCTGTCATTTGCCGACAGCAAAGTCCCTCAAAAGAGATTCCTTGCACCCCGAGAAAGTTTGCCCGGTGCCTGGAAGAAATATACAGAGAAGGAAGTAGAAGACATGGAGCGGAAGGGCAGAGGCAGGCAGAAATGGAGGGTGAGCCAAGTTGAGGCCTTAGATTTGACGCAGGATTAGCTTGCTATTGAAGATGAAACGGATAATGACGAAATGTTTTGATGTTCAAAAGAGTATATAATAACACAAAGCCCATGCAATAATGTCACATATTACATGTTATGATCACGTTGAGAGCAGGCTGAGTGGTGGCTTTAATATCATTCTGAGAGATATTGTACCGTCTGCGTCTACTTATCTGAGTGGTTTGGTTCCTATTGGCCTTGTATTGGCACAACCTCGCCCGGTATTATCTGTATTGATCTTCAAGACAGCCAAATATCCCAGTATTCCAGCTCCACATGGTGTCGAGTAGTGGTGCGACGCAACCAACTCTCAAAGCTTTCCATATCCATCGCCGACGCGTGCACTCGCACGTGGTATTAGGTATACCTAGGTCGTTCACGGCGGTGGCACACTGTTGTAGTTTAGCACAAATACTCTTGCGGTGGGAACTGGACCAGACTGACCCGAGGTAGTCCTCCTTGATGCTACCAATCGCGTACATGGATCCAACATCAGACCGCAGACCGATCAACTTGACCCGGACCTGCGCACCCTTCTCGATCACTTGATCCTCATTGTCGGTCCACTGCCACGGCGTCGCGTTCGGGTCGAACTTGATGTCTTTGGAGATAAGCTGTGGTGGGGTGCGATTAGCATCTTGGGAACTTGGCCTGGGTCAAAGTCCTTACTTCTCTGGAGACGAAGAACTCGAGAGGTCCAGCCATGCAGTGGAAGCCAGCTGGGTTCACCGCCGTGACGATGGCATCAACCTGTGCATTGGAAATCAGCTCTACTATGAGGTACAAAAGCACTGGCGTGCCTTACAGTCTCATTCTTGAATGGACGCCAGACGACCGCTCTGTATCGAACAGTGAACTCCGCGAGGCCGCTGCCAGGGATGATGCGACCTTCGGAAACATTGAATGTGTCCATCACAGAGATGATGTAGTATTGTCCGGTACAGGTTCCCTCCACATCGCTGAGGAGCTTCGAAGTGACTAACTCGTGCATGTTCTTGCCGAAGTACGACGGGTGCAGGGTGACCTGACGCTCAAGGTTGTGTAGGAAAAACATGTCGCCGGTTTGGGATCTTGGATGAGCGGTGCAATGTCGGTTGAGAAGGCACCAATCTCAAGATCCACGAAGCTGCCGTGCTAGACTTTCCACAGACACCTCCAAGGCAATTTAGCACATAGAGCACTAGCCTGGCCTGGGATTTCGGCAGAATATGCGCTGTCTTGAGGTTGGGTGTCTCTTGGAATCCGACGGACGCGCAGTGAAGCGCTTCTCTTGTCCTGGCGCAAGCAGATTCTCTTTATAAACAACGGTCAAACACTCTGGCAAGCTCTCTGATCTGGATCGCGGAGCGTGCACAAAGGTTGTCAATGTTTGAACAAGGCAATAAATGAGTGTTGCAGATCTCGTCGAGGTCGTTGGTAGACGCCGATCGCAGTAAACGCGCCCCAATCGGTCGCGGCGCATTTTTGTGAGGCTCAAACACAGTATCGCACGTGACAAATTGATCATGTGATGTATTGCGGAAACGGTGGGTCTATGCACCGGTCCGAGGTCCGCGTTGTGAACGTGAGCTGCATCTTATGTGCGGAGCGTCTCGGATATCATAAACCCCTCAACGCAACAAATATATTTCCCTGTTCGCCGTCGCTATTAATGGTTTTGCTCCCTCCCGGCTGTGGTTGACTTCTGATATTCTACATACCTGATATTATTCCCTTTCTCCTCTCCGCCTAAAGATGGGTGGTACTCTTGACCTGGAGAAGCAGCTATGCTTCGTGAGTATCTCTTGCTGTGAGACCACAACCTCTGGCTGATGTGTTCCTTCTCCAGTATAGCTCTTATCACCAGCACCCGGTCAATGTGGGAATACACATGCTATGCATCCCAATGATTCTGTTCTCATTCATCCTCCTTGTACGTCAAATACTCCGAGTCCGAAGTTTCCGCGTCCCAAGCTCACATCTACGTAGCTCACCAACTCCCCCACGATCATTCCCTTGCCAGAATGGGCCACGATCACGAACCTCGACCTTAATCTGGGCACCATAATGGCTCTCTATTACTCCGTCTTCTACATCCTCCTCGAACCAGTGGCCGGTTCCATGATAACGCCTATCCTTCTCGCCGGAACCGCATACTCCAAGCACCTTACAACCGTGTCTGCGTACCCAGCAAACCAGATTGCCTTTGGCGTTTTCATCTTCTCTTGGATCGCCCAGTTTATCGGCCACGGCGCATTAGAAGGTCGCGCTCCCGCCCTCTTTGAGAACCTCCATATGGCACTTGTTACAGCCCCATTTTTCGAATGGATCGAGCTCCTTTTCAAGCTAGGATATAGGCCCGAGCTGGAGGCAAGAATGAGAAAGAGTGTTGCTGAAGAAACTGCGAGAGCCGAGGCGGCTAAGGCTGCTGGGAAGAACGGGAAGGCACAGTAGTGAAACACGGTTGTGAGACTCTTAAAGAGGGGTTAGCGAGAGGTCGGTCTGGGCTGTACAAAGTTTCGGGGGTGGAAAGGCTTCGGACAGTACTGTCGTCGTCGCATGAATGCGGGTGAAGGACGGAAGTGAAACAGGTGCTGGCAGGAAATTGAGAATACCATCCTGGAGAAGAGCGACTGAAGCAGATTCGCTCGGGGATTTCCCTAATATGGCAAAGCGGAAGGCGACACGTTTCTTTGTATATTCCTTTCGTCAGTAATGATCTGATATGAATTACGATTTTCCATTGACAACGGGGTCTCACATATCACTAATTGCACCCAGAGACTATAAATTGTGCATGATAGCTTTGATTGCTACCAAAGGCTAACCTAATATTATGTCAGAATACTTAACTATATTTCGAAGAATGGGTATGGAAAGAATCGGAAACGACAGAAACAATCGAGCATACTTCCAGAACTGGCTGCGACAAGCGCATCGCCTATATTTCGAGTTAGCGACAACAAAGTAACTGTGAGGGAGTTAACAAAGGGAGATCAGGCATATTTACCGTCTCTCTGGCTGCGATGGCGGCGTGGAGCGGTCAGGGAACCCATGGATTGGCGGTCAACAGGTCGCTGCTGGGAAGACCTCCTGCCCGCATTGACCCATGCACTCTCAACCGACTCGATCTCCATGCTCATCCGATTCAGCTCCTTGTCGGTCGGCATCCCACGATGGTACGATGGGCTCTGTGGGTGGCTCTGCGGTACGTATATTGCGAGACCTAGCTGCTGGTTGGATGACTGGGATGGGCGTTGTGATGAAGAGCGCCAAAGCTCTAGCTGCCGCTCGTTGTTGGGTGGCTGGGAAGGACGTTGCGAGGAAGCACGCCTGGAGTCTGGCTGCCGCTCGCTGGATGACTGGGCGTAGCGTTGCGATAAAGAGCGACTAGGGGCGGGCGGTGGCCTGGATGTGGACGTCGAGTTTGTCGTCGCTCTGTGGGGCCTGAGAGGAGCAGGTGGCAACGGCCTGTCCATGTATTCAAAGGAACCATTGTCGTGCGGATGTGGTGTGTTTGGCAGATGCCGGCGGCTATTAGAACGGCCCCGAAGCCTGCGGTTCGCTAACGAGTATATCGGCGATTCCTCGAAGACAGCAATGTTGGGGTCCTCAAATGGGACACCCGAAGAACCAAGGTACTGGCGAAGCGTGTCAGGGTGGAGGTTCTCCGGCTCGCGAAATATGGCTGTGGCTCTGACGTTGGGCAGCCGAGGAGCCTCGCCGTGGAACTGGACGGCGTTGCTCCTCTCTAGGCCCTGCGGTCTTCGGTCAGCAGGTCGGCGCCTGGTATTACTCCTCTGAAGGTTCGGGTGAGAAATGGGGTTACCAATGTCGAGGTCTGTCTGGTGCCGATAGACTGGGCGCGGCGGTCTTCGCTGGGCGCTGTCGCGGTCTTTTCTGAGTTGCTCATAAGTAATACCGCGAAAAGCGCAGTCAGGACATACCTGGACCTTGTTGCAGTCTCGAGTCTGCTGTGGCCTTCTGCAGTTCCTGGGAGGCGAGCTGAACATCTTCGAGAAGAAGCCTTTTCGGTCCCGCTTCAGCTCTCTAGCTAGGAGATCGGAACACTTCTGTATCTCGGCATGCTCATGCTCACAATGAACATTGAAAATGATGACGGTGCGGCACATCTTGGCGGATGTGCCTCAGCGCCTGGGTGGTTGTATGCCGCTGCCTGCGCAGCTTGGAGTCGGAGTATTGGAGAACCTTGGGTAAGAGTCGATGCTGTCGTTTGCTCTTGGTAATGCTTCTCGAGTGGTCTGAAGAGGGGAAAAAAAGGTTGGGAAGAGACATTCGAGGCCATATTTATATAAAATATTGGCATGGCGATGGCCGCGCCTAAAATTTGACAGTCCGTGGATAGTTCTACAGTTTAGAGACATATATGAAACTAACAAATGAGGCTATTCAGACCGAAACGAGTGTTTCTTTGTGTTCGTTGATGTTGAACAATGCATTGTTGTCTTATCATAGAAAACAGTGAATGTTTTCCTTTAACCTTTGACATGCATCGTGTGTTTATTCTGAGGTTTCAGGCACAGTTTGGACGATAGGCTGCTTCCGCCACGGAATATTGTATGAGCTATATAACTTAGTCTGTAACCTTCAATGGCCGTCTTCGTGAGTCAGAGTTGCCATTCGCCGTTCCGGTCCCGTTCATCTGATGTTTGCTATGTTATTGATTATACCAGGCTGCAAACTGTGCCGTTGTACGACGAGCCTAAACAATTATCGTGCCATCCAAAAGTCTAGAGCATGACCATGTGTCCTAAAGACTGATGCCAGAAGCATAAGCTAATAGAACGCATGTCCTTAGCTGCATTCATCACTCTCTTGTTGATTATCTGAAAATTGTCACACGCGTGGATATAAAAACCTTTCCCACTGGGGATGGAGGCTGTAAAAATGTATTTAATTGAGAATAACCAGCTCTAGTCTAAAGAAAGTATCCCATTTTGGCCACTCAGTCAAGCTGGCAGCATATGTAGAGATATGCCCCCCAAACGCCATGTGCCCCTCTGATTGTCCTTTAGTGTAGGTTCAAACCAGGCACAACCCATCCCGCCATAATCAGCAGTGCGCCCCAATCCCAGTCCGTGTCCAAACTCCCATCGTGGTATTATGCTCTTTGGCAACCATCTCACCGGTAGAACTCTCCCCTCTTAACATTAACCCCGTACTCTCCAACCGCCATCCCCAAATCCTCCATCGTCAGCACAGTCCTCCCCTGTCCACCACCCTGTCCACCTCCTCCATATCCCGGCCGCTGAACACCCAACGCCCCTCCACCAGCTCTCTGCGTCTTCCCCTCCGTGCCCACAGGTGCCGCGCTGGCGCCTCCAGCAGCCCCGACGAGGTTTCCCATCGGGTTATTGGCTGAGGAGCTGTTCGACGAGCGGATCCGCGAGTATTGGTATGCATCGGCGGCGATGTCAGCAACGAACTTTTGGGTCGCGAGAGCGAGGAGGCGAGAGAGGCGCGGGTCGGTTGTGGGTGGTGGGGGAAGCCCGGCGCGTGTGAGGTAGTAGTTTGTTACTGCGTCTGGGATCTATCGGTGCCAGTTAGAATTTGCACAGTAGGCTACCATGATGCTTGGTAAAGGGGAGATAGGCATGGGAAGTGATATAGAAGAATGCCGAGGAAGATGAAAGGCGTTTCAAGATAGAAGTGAGACTAGGATCCGTTGTGGCAAAAGACAAAGGAGGCATATGGGAAAGCAAAACATACAATAGGAGCATAATCATCCATCTTCCCCAGGAACTCCTTCAAGCTGGCATCTTTGCGGCTTGGTAACTTTGGCTCAGGTGCCGGCGCAATTGCCTCTGGGGCTTCTGATACTGGCTCGGCAGGGCGTGCCGCGCCGCTGGCTTGGGGTGAATCTGGCATAATTGCAGTGATTTATGAAATAGAGGTCTGATTTCTTTTGCTTCAGATAGAATTCACCTCAGAATGTCAGATCATTGATGTGGTGATCGATCGTGACGAGGTTGATTATGAGACCCGCGCGGTCGGTAGTTGACTGGTGACGCTAAAGGGTCCAACGGTGGCGCTAGAAGCGGTTATTTATTCCGCGCGCGTGAATGAAGTCCCGATAAGAGATACTATATAGAGCGAACTGCGAATTGATATCTGACTTCGTTTTTTGAGCATCTGGTTCGTTGAAAGACTGTGATATAAGAATTATATTTCTATGTAATAAAGAGTCCTCATTATATTTACTGCTAGAATCTTCTAAACGTATCGATGGTGGTGTTTGTTGGCATTTCCTTGCCTTTATGTGACTGTTATGTAGACCCTTCCTCAGACGCACGAGCAGCATCTAGTACATATTACAGTAATTGTACAAATAACCCCTATCCATTTACCCACAAAGCGCCAGTTCCCATTCCCAACTATATTCACGGCGATCTCGCCTCCTGTTCCTGTTCCTTCGCCTGATCCATGCTTATAAAAAATGCCAGCGCGCGCTCATATGTCCACACCGTCACCGCGCTCGCCGGCGCCGCTTTGACCAAACTAACCGTCAATCCCCTGTACAGCCCCCTCCACCCCTCTCTCCTCACAGTCGCCTTCATGCTTCCTCCAACGCCTCTATAAGCCAACCCACCAACCACATACTGCCGCCTTGTAGGCCCCTGCACCTGCAGCCGCTTCCTCACTAGATCAAGCGGGAAGACGGCAGTCTTGGCAAACACGCTGGCCGCCACACCCGCTACCGCATCTCCGGACCCAAACGGCAGCGTCAGTGTCGCGCTGTAGGGGCGAAGTGTCTCGTAGACGGAGAAAAAAAGGCCCATGTACGGCACGATTTGGATTATTCCTGCGGACAGGCCGCGGAAGAAGCCCGCGGGACCTTCGTTTGTGGCGATGGAACGGATGCCATACCAGAGGCTAGGGTAGACTTTCTGGGTGCCTTGAGCGGCGAACCGGGTGCGCAATAGATCGAGGGGGTATGTGGCTGTAGTAGAGACGGCGCCGGCGGTGGCACCGGCAACGAAGGATTCCGTGGGCGGGGAGAGGGGATGCGTTGGGAAGAGAGACTGCAGGCCGAGTGTTATGAAGCGGTAGGTTGTGAATTGCACGGCGGAGTAGGTGATGTATAGGGCTTCGGCGGGAATGTTGCCTTTCCAGAGAGCAGTGAGGCCTTCCTCACGAAAGATTCGGAGGAGAGTCTGGAGGGTGCCTTTGTAGAGGGGCGGTTGCGTGGAAGGAGGTTGGGATAGGATGGTCGTGCGACGGGGATGGGTTTGGAGTTGAAGGCGGATTTTAACGACATCGAGGGGGGCGATGACAAAGCTAGAGACAGTTAGCTTCTGCGACTTACAGTATCACAGAATTCGAAAGCCATTGGAGATAGTATGAAGAAAGGGCTGCTTGTTGAGGATAAAGACTGGGCAACGTGCTTACCGTGCAATTAATCCGGCCGTGGCTCCAGCGAGGACGACTTGAGTCTTGGAGCCCTCATCCTTCAGGCGGTGGTCTGCGCTTCTGGACATACATCTGGATAGTCCCGTACGGGGGACGTTGCCGAGAGACTGTTTGTTTTGTGAAAGTTGGGGATTTAGCTATTTATTTCGTTGAATTTGGAGATTTGGCCGCTTAGAGACGAGAGGCGTCATAGCGACAGGGGTGGTGCGCGGGAGAAGTTCGGGACTTCCCTCCCCCGCCATAATCGGTGACCCGCTACTCCAGAAGCAGCTGGACGAGATCGATGCCTGTGAGCCGAGGCAGCACTTCTTTCAAATGTTCAATTGCTTCACTTCTTCTAATTTCTGTATATATTTATATATTTAAGAAGTGTTCCCTTATATCCCTATACAAGTTTCAACAGCACGTTTTACTGCCATTGATCGCTGCAATACACTACATATTCTCGGCTGCCAGTTACCCCTCCCTCCCACCCACGGCTTTCCTCGCCGCTGTGGGAAATACCGGCGACGATGTCGCTTTTAAGGAATGCAGTCCTAGGAAGCCCAATTCGAACCGCAGTTCGCAGGAGGTTTGCTAGGCCTGCAGTGCATATCTGCCCTCAGCAAGCGTATGCACCGGTGCAGTCTCGGAGATCAGTATCCACAACGACACGTAAGTTTCTCACAATGCAGTAAAGCATAGTAAGGAGGGTGCTACGTGCCATCCTGGCGCAAGCATCGGATATAGTGAATTGGTGCTGACAAAACCAGAGAAACAGGCAATAGTTCTCACCGGAACACAACCTGCGTCGACATACAAAGCACAAGGAACAGCTCCTTTGACAGGCCACCAGACAACAAATGGCTACCGACTATGGCTCCGTGACGCCTGCTCCTGCATCCTCTGCGTCGACCCATCAACAAGACAGAAGGTCTTTGAAACACCCAAGATCCCAGCCAACATCTCCTACAAAAGCGTAACAGAGAGCAAAGATGGCAAATCCATCTCCGTGACCTGGAACAATGACATCCCCGGATTCGGACCTGAACATACATCCACGTACGAAAAGAAGGAGCTAGAGCGATACGATAACAACCCCGTAGCGGTCGAGAGCCTTCAAGCAAACGAAGCAGACACATACAAGATCTGGAACCGAGACCAGGTCACTGAGAAAATTCAATTCATCGACTACGACAAGTCCATGGAAGACGACAAGACCCTCTTCGAAGTCCTGGAGCAGCTGCGACTCTACGGTCTGGTGTTCATCAAGAACGTCCCCGGCGAGAACGGGCCCGCCGCGATGGGGAAGCGGATCGGCAGACTGCGAGATACGTTCTATGGCGAGACGTGGGACGTCAAGTCCGTCCCGCAAGCTAAGAACGTCGCCTACACTCACCAATTCCTCGGCTTCCATATGGACCTCCTATACATGGCCGACCCGCCCGGATTCCAGCTACTGCACTGTATTAAGAACAGCTGCGAGGGTGGGGAATCTATGTTCACCGATGCCTTCTACGCCGTTAACGAGCTGCAATCGAGCCATCCCGCCGAAACAAGCGTATTAGCAGAGTTCCCCGTCAACTACCATTACAAGAACGCCGGGGAACACTATCGCCACTCCCACCCCACCATCATCTACGACACCACCGCGCACGCCACTCGCGCTCCCCGCCCCCTAAAATACGTAAACTACTCCCCCCCCTTCCAAGGCCCCTTCAACCTCGCGAACGGGACGTCCGACAGGACATCCCTGGCGCGTCTGGCGAAGTACCATGAGATGGTGGGGAAGTTCCAGGAGATCACGGAGAGGGAGGAGAACATATATAAGTATAAGATGGGGGAGGGGGAGATGGTGATTTTTAACAATAGGAGGGTGTTGCATGCGAGGACGGCGTTTGATGTTAGGGAGGGGGAGAGGTGGTTGAAGGGGGGGTATATTGATACGGATGTTGTGTTGAGTAGGCATAGGGTTTTGAGGGAGGAGTTTGAGGGGTAAATGTGGTTAGAAAAGCCGTCCAAGGGGTGGAGTGGATGGTGGAAGAGATTTAGAAGTGTAAACTCGTATATAGATGGCCAATACATCCAAAATACTGCACATTTCATGTCTCCTTGGCTCTTCTTAAGATTGTTTGAGCGGCCTTGGTATTATAACAGAACCCCCAGGGTCAGGCACATAGAGTAGAATATGATCATCAACGATTCAATAAACCACGAAAAGCGCTACGAAGTCCCATAAATCTTACAAGTACATCCCCCCCTCATCATATATGTTCTCTGCAACATCCCCCCCCCAAAATTACTCCCAAGCTTTTCACTTTTCCTCCCACCCATGCACCCACTCCCTCATTCCTACTATATATATTTTTTATCCTCCCCCCTATTTTGCAAAATGCAAATCATACCCCAACCACTTCCTCGCCATCACCTCCTCCACACTCAACGGAAACCCATAAGTCAACGGCACAAAAAACCACCACCCCCCCACCACCGCGACCATAATCACTCCCGCCGCCGCCCAGCTCGCCAGCAGACTCTGACCACCCAGCCTCTCGCGCGCAGGCAGCGCTCTCGCCGCCATGGGGGATCCGTGCTTGGTTCCCGACTCGGCTTCCTCGAGAGCGACGGGCTCGATGGTGAAGATGAATTCGAGGAGGGCGCCGGTGACGAGGCAGGAGGCGAGGTGCGCGGGGAGGTAGTGGTGCAGGAAGAGTTGGCGGCCCATGAGGTAGAAGGGGAGGTAGTGGAGGGCCCAGGCGATGAAGAAGAAGCCTGTGGAGTTGTAGAGGCGGGAGCGGGTGCCTAGGGGAGTGGGTTAGCTTGTGCTCAGGGATAAGTGGGGAGGGGAAATGGGGGAGGGGTGGAGGAGGGGGCTTACGGATATCAAGCGCATCAGCGCCGCGACGGAGAGAAAGCTGGTCCGCAGCAATGATACCAACGTACACCGCAAGCAGCGACGACGCGAGCCACCACCCAACCGGGTTCCCGAGGAAGTAAATCTGCGAGCGCGTATCATTGTGCGTCCAGAAGCTGACACCACGAAGCAGGAACGGCCAGTGGAACGGCTGGCTAGCGTACGGGTGGCTGCTCGTCAGGGCGTTGTTGTGGTGGAACATAGCGCGCTGGACCTCGAACCATTTCTTCAAGAACGGCATTGTCTTCACCTGGCGGGCTTCGCGCTGGAGACGCGGGCTGTCTGTTGGGATAGACGGGATCTCATCGACGAACCAGACGTTCGAGGACTGCGCGACGTTCTTGTTTCCGTTGATCTCCTGCTGCTTGTAGGCCCAGTCCGGGAGCGGGGTGGTGTGGGTCCACATAGCGACTTTGCTGGGGTTGTGGATGAGTTTGAATTGCGCGGCGAGGCTCTTGAATTCCTGGTTGGGCTTGCCGTTCTCGATGCGGATCTCGAAGAGGGTGTCGTTGTGGCGGGTGCCGTGGGCGTCGTCGAGGGAGACGGTGGAGAATTCTTGGTTCGTGGGGTAGTAGGGCGAGGCGACGTCGTGGGAGAGGAGGATGGTGTTTGTGACGACGTGGCGGAGCTTGACGAGCTCATGGTTGCGGACGACGCGGTCGAGGGTGTCTTGGCCGTCGGCGGGGAGGATCTCCCAGTGGTTGTTTGTGTCGTTGAAGGGGTAGCCCGTAACCTGCTGTCCCTGACTGGAGACACGTCCGTCATCGTAACGAAGAGGGTACTTATCCGGGTGGCTGTGGAGGTATGTCTTGGTCTCCTTGTGTCTGAGCACGATGTTGTCAAAGTAGTTAATCGTAACCGCATTGGTCGTCATGAGGTTATCACTCAGCGTCTCCTGGAACTGCGGGGTCATGAAGTCATCACCCGGGCCCGACTTGGTGAGGATGGAGAAGTGAACCTGGAACCAGAAGAGGTAGAACAGGAACGGGACGAAGATGAGACCGAACGCGCGGGCTGCGAAGTGCTTGCCGAAGTCGATCAGAGACAGCGCGCCCTGGCGACGGTTGACATCAAGCAGATTCCACAGGTCAATGGCGACAGCAGCTCCGACAGTGAGGAAGGCGAAGGTGCCGACATACTTGGTCGAAATAACGCAGCTGAGCGCAAAGCCGGTGAGCAGGAGCCACTTCCACCACTTCCTCCCGAACGGCTGGTGTCTCAGCTTATAGAATCGGATATAGCAGAGCAAGCTACACGCCATCGCAAAGACGAGCGTCGCATCCAGAAGGATCAATCTCGTCTGTCCAATATGCGCGTTATCGAACAGCACCAAGCCAGAGGCAACGATACAGGCAGGCAGTGTGTATCCCGACTCCCACATGATATCGAAGACGACCGGGACGGTGAGGGCGCCGAGCAGAGCCGGCATGGCGCGGAAGGCAACGTAGGGGACTTTGTTGGCGATGTACGAGTCTCCGATGTTCTCGAAGTGGAAGTGTCCATCGTAACCCACGAACCATCCCATCAGCGCAAAGAGCAGCTTTCCAAACGGCGGGTGGACATCGAAGAAGTAGGTGCGCTCGAGGTAGTACGATGCGAACTATCCATTCCACCACTCGTCAGCTTACTGCTTCCTCGCTGGGCACCAAACCATCATCCCTAGAGTTTACTCACCTTCCCGAAATGCACCTCATCGAAAACAACCTCATTCGGATGGCTAATACCCCAGAACCTCGTCGCAAAAGCCAGAACCGTGATGATGACAAGCGCAAGCTTATAATCCCACTCCGACGCAGGCGCCTTCGCTTTATTCGCCCTGACCAGCTTCTCGAGCCCTTTGTCGGCGGGGACGGCGAGCGTGGCGGCCGCGGGGGATTTCTCTTTCTTCGGGGCCGGGGCGCCGCGGTGCCGGACTGAGCCTGCCGGCGAGGGAGACGCCATGGCGGGCTGGAACTATAGATCTATTGATAATGATGCGTCAGCGTGTGCTTCGCGGTGGATGGGAGTTTGCAATCCAAGGGGAGAAAGAGCGTATCAGCCTCGCTCGAAAACGGGGGTTAACTAAGGGGCCACGGGGTTCAAGCTTACTTACTTAGAAGAAGAAGATGAATAAAACCAACCTCAATGAGTTGAGGCTCGAAGTAGAAGGAGAAAAGAAATGCAAAAAGGAATGTGGTCGTCGTCGCAGCTCGTGAGGACAGATTCGTCGATTGCCCCTCCGCTGGTGATTCGTTCCGTCGTCTCTCTCAATGCGAGCGAGGCCCTTTGGGAAGGTTGGCGGCGCAAGTGGTCGAGGTGTTCTTTCGCTTATCAGGTTGGGTGGAGCTTAGTGTGGCCGGGCCGGGGTAAACACGTGAAGGCGGCAAGGGGGATGTAAAGGGGATTGGGACTTATCGTTTCTTGGCGTGGGCTTTGAATTAAATTCCGAATTTCCAATGTTCGGGCGCACAGAGTACAAAGATCATGAAATTGGTTTGGTTTGGGTTACTGTGTTGTATATTTTCGTGCTAATGTAACCCTTCAAGCCTCATCGCTATGGCAATCTCCACCTGAAGCGCTCAATGCTCCAACACCGAACAATAAACACTCTCTCTTTCTCTGCTAAGCCACTCACTCACTCACATCCTCCCAACCCCATACTACGAAGTCGTAACACTAGCAGCCCTCTTATCATGATCCTCCAAACTCTCCATCAGCCTCGCCCCTAACGCATCCTCAAAATCCAACTGTGACACCTCCTGTCCCTGCCCTCCCGTCTGCTGCTGGCCCTGGACCCCACCCTGCTCTCTCTCACAATTCACATCCCCCTGCTGTCCAAGCTGCTGTCCAAGCTGCTGCCCATTCTGCTGCGCATCAAACTGCTGCTGCTCCTCCCCCCTCTGCTGCTGCTGCAACCCCTCCATCTGCAAATGATGCCCCCCATGCATCTCCCCCCCCACCACCCCCTGCTGTCCAAGTCCCCCCTTCTGCATCCCCCCCGCCAGCGCCATAATCCCATTAAACCTCGCCTGCTCCTCATCACTCGCCAGCCTCGCGCGCTCCTCCGCCTCCTTCCTCGCCGCCTGGCTCGGCGCCCTCGTCTTCAGCTCCCCGGTGACGCACTGGAGGTAATACGGTACTTCAATATTACTCTTCAAGAAAAACAGTTTGAGGTTCCGCGCTTTGTCTTTGAGTTGCACTTGGTTCCTGTCTTTGAGGATCTCGCTAACCTGCCCCTTTGCGCCGTACAACGCCAGGATCTGAGACCAGTGCGGACCCTTGACTTGGTCTAACCCAGCCATAAGCGCGTTTTCCTCCTCGGTGGACCATGGCCGGCGTTGGCTGGGGAGGCCGGGACGGCGGCTGTGCGGGGATGCTTTGGCGACGGCGGCTTGGCGGGCTTGTTCGTAGAGGACTTGTGTGGGTGCTGTCTGTGTGTGGTAGGGGACTGCGCCGGCGGGGTATTCCGGGGCGTAGCTTGTCATTTGTTGCGGGTGTTGTTGGAGGTGTTGGGGCTGGGGTTGTTGTTGGCGGTCGTATTGGGAGTAGCCTATGCTTTGGAGGGCGTGTTGGGTTGCGGCGCGGGTGGCTTGCTCGATGTCGAGGTCGCCGAGGTCGAGTTCGGGTTCGGGGTGTTGGGGTTGTTGGGGGTCGTGGGTGGGTTTGGGATCGGTTTGCTCGGCGGTGGGGTTTGGATGCTGTTGGTGCTGGGTATGGAGCGATGGAGGTGGTGCGGTTAAGGCATGCCGCCTCATGTATGGAGCTATTAATGGCTCGTACGCCTTCTTGAGATGATCGCTGAGGTTCTTGAGGAAATCTTCCCAGGCGTATTGCTCCGAGAGGATAGCTACAAGATTAGAGCGTGCTTCGTACGATGGCGATGGTTGACTTACATATAGAATCTGGATCGGTAGAATCATTCTGAAGGTATTCCCTCCGCGCATTCGCCTCCTTGACAAATTCAATCTCACTCTGCGTAAGATCCGAGCCCGGATGCCTCGCACGAAGCGTATCCCCAAGGCTAACAGGAAACAGATCATCCAAGACCTCATCTTTCGTCCGCTCCTGCTCCTCCTGCGACACCGCAGAGAGGTACATCTGCGTCTTAAGATTCAAATACAACAACCCCGGCTCCGTCTGCAGCTCCGCCCCATCCGCCACAAACGTCTCGATAAAATGATCATTCAACTCATAGAAGCCCACATCCTGCCCCCCCACCACCGAGGACACAAACGTCGCCAGATTCGTCGTGCGTATCGTCCCGCGGTGCTCCGGTTCGCGGATATTCAGCTCGTCGGCAGACAGGAACGGTTTCTGCTGCGAGTAAATCTTCTTGGTCTGGTCAAACAACGACTTCAGCGTCGCGTAGGCCTGGCCCAGCTCTGACTCGGGCTGCGTCACGATCTTGATCGTCTCCGAGTACGGGCCCTGCGCCAGCGTCGACAGGATCTGCGTAGACAGGCTCTCCAAGATAGGTAAACTCAAAATCCGCATGTACAGATGCGGATCCGCCAAAAACCCACTGCTGATCTCCGCTGCTGCCTCCCTCCCCCCCCCAAACTCCCCCGCCTGATACCCCTCCACCGACGGCAACGGCTCCTGCGGCGCAAAACCATGTTGCTGGTGCTGCATCTGGTGCTGTTGCTGCGGCGCAGGTGCACTAGCCTCCTCAGACGCCGTAGCAGCAGCCGCTGCAATCATAGCAGCGAAATCCATGTCATCCCCTGCCAGCGCTGGGGGAGACGGAACCTCGATGCGCTGGCGCTTTTCATCTGAGGCTGGGGCGTGGGGTGTCGAGGGGGAGAAGCGGCGTTTGAGGGGGGAGTGCTGGTGTGGGTCGTACGGGGGGGGGTCGGCGCTGTACGGGGATTCGTATTTGATTTGGGGCTCTGCGAGGGAGGGGAGTTAGTTACTGGTGGTGAGGAGATGGGGTAGGGGAGGGGGGTGGTGGTGAAGGGGGTGGATGGACGGGGGAGTCGCGTGGAGTGGCTTGGAATGCGCGCGGGTGAGAACTCACGTTCGATAGGCATGGTGGCGGTGATTGCTTCCATATCGGTGGTGGCCAGCCCTATGCTGTCTCGTTTGGAGGATCCGTAGACGTTGGTGTTGAGCGAGATCGAGATCGAGGGCGAGCAAAAGCGGGTGAGAAGTCTTTTGGTAAGGAACTGCCGACATCTCTCGTCACTTCTTTCCCACGGCGCGCAAACGCCGGGGCCGTCCATTAGCTCATAGCCCCAATCAGCGAGACCTGTCGCTTTTGCCCGTGCCCTCACATTGGAGATACACCAACGAACAATCCGGGGAAGGGAAAAAAGAAATTTATTTGAAGAAAATTAATTGATAAGTCTGTAGAGTTGGATGTAGAATGTTTTTATTAAATATATATTGAGGCTCTGAAATTTACTTGGGCGTTTACAGCTACGATAGATATCTTTGCCCAGGAAGCTACAACTGGCGGGGTCACGTGACAATATTGAGTTGAAATGCACGTGATGATATAAGCGAATGTGCACGTGACTATTAATTGACTCTTTATATCCGACTCTTTTCTCCTCCTCCTTCTCCTCCTCCTTCTCCTCCTCCTTCTCCTCCTCCTTCTCCTCCTCCTCCTCCTCCTCTCTATCAACCAAGTGCGACTCTGGACTGTTTGGAATTTGGATATTGACCCATTTGACCGATTGTTCATGCGAAGTACACCGGGTATAATACTGGTAATACTGGACATGCTATACAATACAGTGCGACTCGCACTTGTATATGATTTTCTGTCGGATATCCCTCTTTTGATATGTCTCTGATATGTCTCGGATATCTCTCTTTTGATACCTCTCTGATATCTCTCGGATATCTCTCGGATATCTCTCGGATATCTCTCGGATATCTTTGATACCTCTCCCACTGATATCTCTCCCACTGGACACTCCATATACTCTCCATATACACTCAATAGTCGTACCCACGTACTCGCCATGGCCATGGCATCGTCGCCGATTGTCGCCGCTGTGTCCTCCTAACTGCTGCAGCTTCATCCCGAGCCAATGAATGCCATCCATCAATGCCGAGGACCAACGCCGTTTACCTTGTATGACTAACTAACCTGTACACTGACTACATACAGACGTCATCGGTACTTTCTCATCCACCTAAAGTTAGGTGGAGTACAATGTATCCCCTGTACCTTGCTCAGATGACCCCCCCGCCTTCAACGTACACACCACCTTTATCGCTCCCCCCCCCGTCCTACCCCTCCCCTCCCCCTCCCCTCTCTTATGTACTTCTCCCCAACGAATCTACTTCTTCTTCTTCTTCCTCCTCTATCATCTTTCTTCCTTTATTAAACAACCATATACCCCAAAACTTCTTTCCCATTTCATATCAAGCTATCCTACGAATTTCACGATATCGACGACGTAATGGCTACTACCATCGAGCTTGAGACCCCGTCCAACGGCAAGTACCAGCAGCCAACTGGACTGTACGTTTATCCCCCCCGTCCCGACCCTCCCGTTCCTCCCGCATCAAACCTAGACCCCTTCCAAAACATCACAAACAGCCAACTGACTTCCTTCCTCACAGCTTCATCAACAATGAGTTCATCGAGGGCGTAGACAAGAAGTCCTTCGAGGTCATCAACCCCGCCACCGAGAAGGTCATCTGCTCCGTCGCCGAGGCCACCGAGAAGGATGTCGACGCCGCCGTTGCCGCTGCCAGGAAGGCCTTCGAGGGCGAGTGGAGACAGGTCACACCCGAGGCCCGTGGCAAGCTGCTCGTCAAGCTGTCCGAGCTGATGGAGGCGAACCTCGACCAGCTGGCTGCCATCGAGTCGCTCGACAACGGAAAGGCCATCTCCATGGCCAAGGGTGATGTGGCCGCTGCGGCCGGCTGCTTGAGGTACTACGGCGGCTGGTCCGACAAGATCGAGGGCAAGACCATCGACACCAACACAGAGACCTTCACATACACAAGACAGGAGCCAGTAAGTTGTCCAAGGAACCCGACTTCTCCCTGTCCAACATACTAACAGCCGCCAGATCGGTGTCTGTGGACAAATCATCCCATGGAACTTCCCACTTCTCATGTGGTCGTGGAAGATCGGCCCAGCCATTGCCACCGGTAACACCGTCGTCCTCAAGACCGCCGAGCAGACCCCTCTCTCTGCCCTGTTCGCCGCCAAGCTGATCAAGGAGGCTGGTTTCCCTCCCGGAGTCATCAACATCATCTCCGGTTTCGGCAAGACCGCCGGTGCCGCCCTCTCCTCGCACATGGATGTCGACAAGGTCGCCTTCACCGGCTCCACCCTCGTCGGTCGCCAGATCCTCAAGGCCGCAGCCGACTCCAACCTCAAGAAGGTGACCCTCGAGCTGGGCGGCAAGTCGCCCAACATCGTCTTCGACGACGCCGACATCGACAACGCCATCTCTTGGGTCAACTTCGGTATCTTCTTCAACCACGGCCAGTGCTGCTGCGCCGGCTCCCGCATCTACGTCCAGGAGGGCATCTACGACAAGTTCATCGCCCGCTTCAAGGCGCGCGCCGAGGCTAACAAGGTCGGTGACCCATTCAACCCCGAGACCTTCCAGGGACCCCAGGTCTCGCAGCTGCAATTCGACCGCATCATGGGATACATCGATGAGGGCAAGAAGGCCGGCGCGACCGTCACCACCGGTGGTGGCCGCCACGGCGATGTCGGATACTTCATCCAGCCGACCATCTTCTCGGACGTCACTGAGGACATGAAGATCGTCCAGGAGGAGATCTTCGGCCCCGTGTGCACCATCTCCAAGTTCAAGACCGAGGAGGAGGCCATCGCTAATAGCAACGGCTCGAACTACGGCCTCGCGTCCGCCGTGCACACCACCAACCTCAACACGGCGCTGCGAGTCGCGAACTCCATCCGCGCCGGAACCGTGTGGGTGAACTCGTACAACATGATTCACCACCAGGCGCCGTTTGGAGGGTACAAGGAGTCGGGGATGGGACGCGAGCTGGGCGAGGCGGCGCTGGCGAACTATACGCAGACGAAGACGGTGTCGATTCGTCTTGGGGATGCCCTGTTCGGTTAAGTGTGTTTGGGATGGGATGGGACAGTATGGGATGGGACAGTATGAGATGGGGGATTAAATGAGTACGATAGCTTACGGATTGTAGTAGCCGGGCAAATTGAATCGATGACTTTTTATGAGACTACGAGTTTTTGTGGGTGACTGAGTGTTGTTGTGATAAGTGTAAGGTTCTCACAAGTGCCGCCGATCCTTTGGGATTCCTTTGGGATTCAGGGGTTGTTAATACTACATAAAAATACTAGCGAAGTATGGGCGAGACTTCTTGTTAGGAAGTTGACGTTGACACCACTATTGTGGTGCCAACGTTCTAACAATGAAGCTCGCCACATACTTCGCTAGATCAAAACATATATTGCATGACCGCCGAAATCACGGCGGCATTCTCCCTCAAAAATCCCCCTACCCCCCAATTCCCCGCAACCGCAACATCCCCCCCCGCCGCCCGCGCCCCAACCGCAACATTTCCCTCCCCACCCCGCACCCCATCCCCCGCCCCATCCGCCCCATTCCCCTCCATCCCCCCAGCTACCGCCCTCACCATCCCCTCCACACCCACCACCTTCACCTCCACATCCACCACCTTCCCCAGTAACATCCTCACCCTCGAATTTGTCTCGGCCATGCTCTTATCAAGGGCGGCCAGCCGGTTCTTCACCCACTCCATCTCCATCTCCCTCTCCCTCTTCTCCCTCTCCCCCTTCTCCCCCTCCCTCTCCCTCTCCTCGTTCCTCTCCTTCTTCTCCTTCTTCATCCCCTCCTCCAACTCCTCCCTCTTCCTCTTCTCCTTCGCCAACTCCTTCTCCAAATTTGAAATTGCGGCCGTTCACCGCCAGGGGCAGGAGAGACGACGCTGGAGGCGGCCGCGGCAGGGTCTGCGCTGGAGATGGTTGCAGCGGGGTCGGCAGCGGCAGTGGCAGCAGCACTGAGTTGGTCCTGGGAGGCCCCGGCGGCAAAGCCAGCGAGGGCAGAGCACTGCCCGGGACCCCCCTTTTTGCGGACGGGAGAAGCAGACCGGGAACCACGGAACTGAGGAGGAGGAAGGCCGGTGCCGTCACTGGGGTGGGCTTTGGAAGAGGGTGCCGCAAACGAGCCAGTGCTCAGAGGCGGAGGAGCAGAGCTGCGGCCGCGGGCGTCCTCGGCGTGCTTTGGCGGTGTGTGAGCCGGGGATGGCGGTTGCGGGTTTGGAGTGAGAGGGAGTTGAGGTGGTTGGAGGGGGTGTGCGCGCTCACCAGAATCGGGGGTGGCGGCGGCGGCGGAAGAGGTTGATTGGGTGGTGGTGGGAGGAACGGTGGTGTTGGCAGAGTCTATTAATGTTAGCTGCTAGTGACTCTCTAAAAGTGTCGAGAAAAGGGGGAAAACTTACCAGACATCATGTAATTTTTTTTTAAAAAAAAAGCAGGCCAAAGAAGTCTTGGTGTTAGTTTTTAAAGCATTTTGACAGGGGAATGGGAAACTTATCTTGCCAGAGTCGCCCTCGGATTCTTCAGCGAGGGAAGGAGTCAATGAGTGATGAAGTGAACGAAAGAAAACGATTACTTACCTGTTGTAAGGAAGGAGCGAAAGGCAGAAAAGGTCAGTTACAATCGGTACCGACAAGAAAGTCCGTTACAGGCAGCACCTACCTCACGGAGAAAGATAACCCGCATTGTACAGTACACGATGGAAAAAAAAAAGCCATATGAAGTCTATTTCCCACCTTATACTACCTGGTTCCCCTTCTCAATACGTACAGCTACCGTGCCTCATCCCACCAGCTACTCTCCTCCGTACTCATCCTCATCCTCCTCCACCCCAACAACCGCCAGCTCCGTCTCAACCAAAGCCCTAAACTCCCCCCTCCCCATCCCCGCCGCCCGCGCCAACCGATACAAGCTCTTCACACTCGCCCCAATATGCTGCCTCACAGCCGTATCATGCCTCCCCTCCCTCTCCACCTTGTCCTCCAGCACCTCCACTGCCGCCGACCGCCCACTCGCACTGGACGCCGCCGACCGCGGTCTCGGCTGCTCAATCAGCGCGTCCCTCTCCCTCCCTGCCCGCTCCACCTCCCCAATACCATTCCCATTCCCGTTCCCCAGCACCGCAAGGCTCGCAAACTCCCGCTCGTGCTGTGCTCCTAGACTCGACTCCACCTCTCCATTCGCGCCCGCCTCGTCGGGATCATGTGCGTCGAGTGCGGGCTGCACACCAGCGTATTGCGCGAAATAGGCGTCCTCGGCGCTGCCATCGACTTGGGTACTACCATTGCCTGGTACCCGGCGCACGCTTGCTGGAGCAGGAGATCTGTTGTCCGGCCCTGGTGTCGCAGCGGGGGTAGCATCGTATTGAGCCCAGTACGCTGCATCATCATCTTCATCCCCATTATCCTGAACCGGCTCCGCCACCGTCGGAATCCCCACCACCGCCTCCCGGTCCACCTTCCCCGCCGTAAACGCCTGCTCCGCCGCCTCCAACCCCCCAAACCACTCCCTCTCACCCTCCCCCGAGTTTTTTAACACTCCCACCTCCCCAATCCTCCACCCATCCACCGGACCCTCCGAATCACCCACACAGTACACGCAGCGCACCCACAGTCCGAGCCCAACAATCTCAATCCGCGCCCACATCGTCTCCGCATCCACGCGTCGATACCGCACCGCTACGTCCCGTTCATCCTCCCAATCAACATCCACCTCTATCTCCCCGCTCACAGGGTGCGGTTCAAACTTATCCCCGTGCGCGAGCTCGATCAGCTTATCCCCCGTGTCGTCGCTGGCGTAGGTGAGGAGGGGGAGCCATGGCTGCGTTGGTGCTGCGAGGAGCTTGACGCGCTGTCGGAGGATGGGGGAGAGGTGTGGGAGGACGGGGGGTGGGGGGTGAGGAAGTTGGCCGGTTGGGAGGGCGGAGAGGAGGGGCTGGAGGATGGTTGTGGGCTGGGGGGGTTGGAGGGGGAGTGGGATGGCGGATGGCATCGTTATGTGTGGTGCGCTGAGCACGGAGAGTCGTTGGAAGTTGAGAAGGTACGCTAATGGGGTAGGTCTTTTGTTTGAGAGTATAGTTATAGTTGAATTCGTGGTGCGTTTTCGTAGAGTTGGATCGGCTTCAGTTGGCTTGTGATCGTCCTAGGTTCGTCTGGAATTTTCTCTTCCCCCTTTGTCTTTCTCTTCGTGTCTCAGATTCTTCTCTTCTCTCGTCAAACCCGTCAACAAAGAAGACAAATCAGGAGATATCGTTAGTCGGACAAAGATAAGTCTACACGGAGCACAAGCGTCCCAAGTTGCTCCATCCATTCTCCCTCCCTTCACCCGAAGGATAAACGAAAACCAGGCTGAACTTCAGCCTTGTTGGTCCCTGTCAGGTGACGTAATGTCGGCGCGGTGATTCGTGGGTGCGTGGTTGCAGGGGTGGGTGCGGAATGGATGAGCGGAAGTGCATGTTGGTCCGTGCGTTTTCTTGGCTGCGCCGGCGCCGAGGGAGAGCGGCAATGGACGGGAAGGGGCGGCAGCCAGGCCAGGACAGGACAGGATTATAGTATTTTAATCGAATTATATATGGTTGTTATAGACTACCCTCACTCTCATAATTGATGCACTTATAGGAGAGATTCTACTTTCAGATCTAGAATTCCAGAATTAATGTCCATTAGACAGACACAATGTATTACAATGTAAACCAACCATCCAAACACCTAAACCCGATCCTCAACCCTCACCGGCTCCCTCATCGGATTAACCGTCTCCTCATCCTCATTCCTAACCTCATAATCCGCTCCGCTCCTCACCCTCTCCTCCTTCGCCCCCCTATCCCCCATCTCCCACCCCTCCTCCTTATCCCTCACCTCTTTCCTCCTCCGCGACCTCGCACAAAAAACCATCACCAAACCCCCAAACACCACCACAAACCCGGCCGCCCCAAGCCCAAGTCCCAACTCCAACGCCGTCGTCCCCTTCTTCTTCTTCTTCCCACCCTCCCCATCCCCATCCTTCCCTTTTTCTTCCTCCTCTTTCCGCCCTTTATCCAACCCCTCCACAAACGCAGGACAAAACACCGGTCCCACCCCACAAACCTCACACCACTCCCCCACCCCCTTCCCAATCGCCCCCATCTCCTTCTCAAACTCCGAGAAGCGCATATCCATCTTACTCCTCCCCCGTCCAAAAAGCGGGTACCCCACCAACCTCGCCCCCTCCGCCGTGCCATTCCGATAAAGGAATCTAACCCACAGATCCTCCTTCCCCGGTCTCCCAGCCTCGGGGTCGGTATAGGAGAAGACTTCGAAAACCATCATACTCCCCGGCTCCACCACGCCTTTAAACCGTGCATCCTGCTCTGCAAGCCCGGAGATGGAGGAGAAGCCCACGAATGGGGCGGAGGAACTGAAGAGCAGATTCAGCGCCCCCGGCCGCTCGGAGGTTGTCGTGCGGGTTAAGAGGTAGAGAACGCGCTCTGCGAATGTGCGGCCGGCTATGGGTTTCAGAATAGCGTCTTGCTCGCCATCTCCCTCCTCCCCCTCACCCGTGCCTCTCTGCACACCGTGAACCCCCCAAAACCTTTTCCCAGCCAACGCTCTCAACCTCGCCAGCGCCGACGCAGGCAGCGTCTCAGCAACAGTGGAGTTATGCAGCGTAGCGTACGCAGCGTAGTCGTACAGCGCGGGGGCATTATGGTACGTCACCATCATCTCCGGAACCACCCCCCCAAACACACTTGGGATCATAGACGCGAAAAACGGCGCGCTTGCTTCGGTAGTGTCGATATACACACTGCTGTTGATCTGCGCCGCAGTAGAGGCAGCGTGCAGAGCGCACCGGTCAGACCCAGCGATCCAGATGTTATTCCAATCCCTCCCCCCCGCCGTCTCAACCCTCCCGTACTGATACCCCCCCAACGGCGCCTCCCACCCCCCACCCCCGCCTTCGGACTCCCCCCCACCATCGCCGGTGCATCAACAGGAGGATACAAGCCCTGCAAAAACGCCCACGCACTCGCGACAACCGGTTGCTCCGGCGCCGACAGGACCTGGACTCTCTGGTTATCGATGTAGTTTTTGTGGAATCCGTGGAGGGGGACGAAAGAGGTGTTGTACGCGGAGGGACCGGTGAGGTAGCGGCGGCGCAGGAGGGAGCCGGAGGAGTGGGCTTGGTGGGCGCCGAGGGGGGTGAGGGTGGAGTGGGGGTGGGTGAGGAGGGGGCGGCGCTCGCCGTGGTGGGTGAGGATTAGGGAGGTCCAGGTTGTGAGGGGGGGGCGGTGGAGGGGGGGGGGGATTGGTGGGAGAGGGAGAGGAGGAGGAATATGATTAGGGTTATGAGGGATGCCATTTTGGTGGTTGTTTGAGCGAGTGTCTGTGGTGATGATGGGAATGGTGATAGGAAACTGTGGTGGGAAGTAGGTGAGAGAGAGGAAGGGAGGACAACGAAAGGCCATAAATGGGGAACGACTAGACGAAATGAGAATCACAGACCAGACCTCAATAATCGTAACATACCTTTCCAAAAATAGGCCATGTTGTGATAGCTTCACGCGATTGTTAGTAAAAACTAACAATCGCGTGAAGCTATCTCTACGCCAGCGACGTTACTAAGTAGTAGTTAGAGGCATATTCTCGTGCCACCCCTCTTATGCCTAATATCAGTCGAGTACTAAATCTCGCTAGGATAGAGTTCTAGAGTTTGTAATAGGAGAAGTATGAAGATCTGTAGAGGCCATCTCTTACCTATATTAGTAACTTACCGGTCTACTGTTATATCTAGTTTCTAAAGGATCGCGATGAGGTGTCGCTAGGGGTGAGGAGGATGGTAGAGTAGATAGATGGAGCTAGAGGAGGTAGAGCGGGACAAAGAGGTGTGACTGATGGGCGATGGGGAACGCGGGCCTAGTGGTAGTTGTAGAGACAAGGTGCCTAAAGCTGCGTGTTTATGTGGTTTGTGGTTTGTAGTTTGTATGGTTGGATGATTGTATGATTGTATGGTTGGATGGTTAGATGATTGTATGATTGTATGGTTGGATGGTCGTATGATTGTATGGTTGGATGGTTGTATGATTGTATGGTTGTATGGTTGGATGGTTGTATGGTTGTATGGCTGTATGGTTGTATAACTAGTTATAACTTAGCCTTTTACTAGTTTTCTATTTAACGAAGCATATAGCTCTATGGCTAGAGACAAGTGTGTTTATAAGACACTAAAATTAAGAGGCTTTTAAAAGCCTATTTTAGTAACCTAAAACGAAGTGTCTAGCTTTGTAGCTAGCAACGTTAGTGCACATAACATGTGATTAGGTTTAATTATCATGCAATTAAGTATTTCCTATATGATTCATCCGCCCTTGCACTACTTTCTTTGCGTTACATCTAAAACTACACAACTAGTCGTGACCTTTGCAAAAATACAAGAGGCACAATCATTATCACCTTAGCAGCAGTTTTCGCTCAATTACTCTGCTACAAACATGGCAAAACACAGCTGGAAAGAGCATTTTAGTCGCCAAGAGGAGACAGCGGCGCTACAACCTTGTACAGATGACGAGCAACTACCCAGATACTCGGAAAGCAAGAATCAGGAGAATGTCTATGGGACTATGGGCCAGTCTCCTAGTAACGTAGAGAAGTCGAAGGTCAACCAAAGGACCGAGGCCGAGAAGTGGGAGGTTGACATAGTTGAGAAGTGGAACTCCGAGACCGAAGCTGAGAAGGAAAAAAGGCGACGATTGTACAGCGGTCTCCAAAATCGACTTAACACGGCATCAAACGAGTCACTAGAGAAACTTCTAAAGTCAGACCTAATAGAGCTTCTTGACACAGTACGAGAAGATGCTTTAACGCCCCGAGGGCCAAATCTCGCGGAGGAACTCGACATAGCGCGAGGCAAATCTTTTACTACGCCGTCTATTAAGGCACAGAATATGCCTTTTGAGAAACTTTCCAAACTAGGCCTTATGGAGTTGCTTCGCGTAGCACGAGCCACTCCTTACTATAGGATTCCTAAATCAGTGTTTATGAAGGTTCCCAACTCGGATCTCGTGAACTTACTTCGCGAGGCACGAAGTGAGGATTTGAAGAAGTATAGAGTAGCCGACTATAAGGATCGAGTCTCACGCCATGTGGAAAAAGAGAAGTCTGACAAAGTTGAGGGGCAGGTGAAAGCAATGAAGACAGACTTCGTTGAGGGAAGATGCGTAGGCTCCGGGAATGTCACCCCAGAAAGTGATATCGCCACAGGCAGTTGCACAGACTCGAGCAGCACGGCAGACAGCACCACCCAAGTCGACAACAAAAATGAGCCTCTCAGACAGGCTACGATCCAAGCAAGACTGGAGACAGACACTGCAATTGAAAAAACTCGTGATCTACACCATTTGTTGATCCGGTTGGAAACGGACATGGAGCAGCAGAAGAAGACTTTCGGGATTCAGGACTTCGACAATGTTAGGGTGAAGGCGGTAGAGGTAGGCCGAGATCTTGATGATTCAATATTGAGGGTGCGAGAGATGATCTCATTATTGTAGGGTCGATTGTTACTTGATTTGTCATGGAGCGCGTGTCCTCATTGCCAGGTTTGAAGGTCGAAAAGGAAAGGCAATATCAGTGCAATGCGGGCTCACTGCTGTATGTATCGCGTTAGTTTATTATCGGTGCGTTTATTTTATGAGAGGTTATCGTTAGGTTATTCGTTATAATGCTAGGTTGCAATTGACAGTTCGCAGCTATTATCCGAGTAACATAAGCGGCATGGTTTGTGACAGGTGCATGAGTTCACTAGGTGTCCATATATTTCACGAGAATATATCATTCGAACTCGTCATAATGACTGAATCACATTCGTGGTTAGTAGCAGAGTAATATAATCATGGCCCCCAACACCCAAGCCAGCAAACAGCCCACCCAGTCATACATCATAGCCAACCCCCTTTCAGGGTCAAAACAAGCAAATGGGTATGGCGCCTCCCAAATATCACTCCTCTCACTTCCTGATAATCTTCAGCAACGGCGCAATCCGATTCCTCTTACTCAGCCCAACCCTATACGGCACCTTCCCACTCTGTAGAGGACTATGCGGTGTGCATGGCTTGCTCGGTGTCTGCAATTCCTTCGTCTGTTTCGGGGGTGGCGTTGACTGGGGCGGTGCAGGAATGTTGGGTTTCGTGGGATGGTTGCGACTTGGTGCGGGGGCTGTGCCGACATCACCAGAATCTTCATCTTCATCCTCATCGCTCGCTGCTATTTCCTTCGATTTGGATTTTGATTGGGTTTTTAGAGATTTATTTCCCACAGGCTTCTGTGGGGCTTCAATCTCATCGTCGTCCATGTCAGAATTTTCGATTATTGGCGCCGATTTCTCCGCAGGAGCCTTTGAAGGTCGTCCCCGGCGCTTATCGGGCACAACCTTGTCAATCTCAACAATTTCATAGTGTGAATCTGTTCCAGACTTGGGCGTATCGGGGAGGGCATGTGGTGCTTTGCTCTTCTTTTTTGGCTTTTCTGTTTCCTCCGCCTGATGCTGTGCTGATTCGTTTGAAGGGCCGATCTCATCAGCCGAAGGTTCCTCTACGACCTCCTTCGCCTTGGTAATTTTACTCCTTTTTCTCTTCATAGGCAACCCCTTCGCAAACTCTTCGTTTGCAACGATATCTGCTTTGGCGCTCATGCTCTTCGATCTCCTGGCACTGAGACGCGGTTGGTACATTTCTGTTATTTGGCCAAAATCCTGCGAGCTTTGAAGATCTGCATCGTGCGCTTTCCGCTTTGTGGGCGGATTGACGGCGATCGTAGTGTCGACAGCTGTAATTTCTTTATCATTCAGAGGCTCAATCGACACAGTATGAGAGGCACGAATGGGAGAAATTTGGTGTTGCGGCTGCGAAAGTGAGAGTTCATCGACAGAAACTTCCCTATCGGAATAGCCCATAGACTTGTGACGAGACAGTTTCAGCATATTCGGCTTACTTGCCGAGGATGAAAGCCCAGTCTTTGACCTCTTGACCTTCCTACCCGAATTGACGACAGGAGATGATGAAAGTGGAAAGGTTGCTTCTGTTGAGTTTATTGCGGAAGAAACGGCCGAACGGTCTGGGCGAGGAGTCTGGTTTGGAACCGTGCTGGATGCATCTGTGAGTTTTAATGCTCTGGCTGGTTCCATCATATCTGGCAGTGAGTAGATGTGGTTGTTATCGCTAGAGGCCGCCCCATAGTGCATATACTCCTTATTTTGGCTACTTGTTAACATATTTACCATAAACGTCGTAGTAATACCTCTATCAAATGAAGGTAGCTCGGAAGACTCATGACCAAGATTATTGTCTGGGATGGCTAAGGCATCCTGTGAAGTATCCCGAGGGCTGTTTGGAACAGTTCCTGTTGGCGTTTTGTGGGCCGTGAGATCTGAACCCACCTTGTCGGAATTTGTTGCTTTCACGATTGAGACTTGCTCGGCAGAGCCATCGCCGATGCCGACATCATTTGAAACATGTTCGTAGTCATAAGTTAATTGAGCTCGAAGTTCTTGGCTGATACTACGAGGAACTTGAACGCTGCTTGGTTCCGTGCTGGCCTTCTCGATTTCATAACGGAGTTGCTGTGACAAGGACGTTGGGAAGGCGCTAAGCCGTGGCAGCTGTGGCTCCTCATCTACGGCTACGCTCGCATTGTAGAGAGTCTCGTCGTTGGCAGACTGGACTCGTTTATTCCGCTTAGGTTTTGGCAGCATGGCAAACGGTTCTCCTTCACCCCCTTGCCTAGTTTTCCTCTTTTTATTTTCGACGGCCGTTTCGCTGTCATCCTTTGTTCTTCGTCGTGGCTCCACGTACGGTGACGAACTTGGCACTTGGTTGCCCATTGTCTTCGTCCCCCTCAATTTTCCATAAGTTATTAACCCACTGCTTCCGGTCTCTGTGCCCACATTATTTATTTCTGAGGGCCTGGCGGATGGAATGCTCCGCAGAAGCTCCAACTCGTCCGTTCTCTCAGCCGTTGTTTTCTCAAGCCGCGTATTCCTCAGAACCGCAGCTGTAGCACCCGGACCACTGCTGCCTGGGAAGTCCCACTCATCCCTTACTCTTTCTTCTCCGCCTCTGTTCTCGTGTTGAAGCTCTTTGGATTGGTCGGGGCTTGTAACTTGTGTCGTCCCTTCCCATGCCTTCATACTTTTCGAGCGCTTTGCCTTCCTATTTGAGGTAGTCGGCTCCGAAATAGAGGCAAACGACGAGCCATACATTGTTTTGCTCCGTTTGAGCTTCTTGACACTTTCCTGGGATACTGAAGAAGACATTCTTTGGTTTATGATTCTTTCGTCAAGCCCTGGCGGACGTGGGGAGAGTTGTGGTGTCGACTCGTTTGTGGATGTGATGTCAAGAACACCGCAATAATCACTGCGGATTCGTTCAAAGAGTACAGAATCTGTATGGGTTGTCAGTGCGACTGGGTACTGGCATCAGGGAGCATTGGAGGCAAACCTGTCGAGCCTGTTCCTAGCCGTAGGGCTGGCTCCAAAACCGATGGCGGGGTGGCTTCTGTTACAGTGCCATTGGGGAGTGCGACTGGGGCGACTGGCCTGTCTTTTTGAGGGGAACTCTCGACACTTATTGACGAGCAATCATCGTCTGAGTCAGCAATGACTCGACGCGATTCCATCGTATTTCATTGGAATGTATGTTTATGTGCACATTGAGTTATGCGACAGACGCGTCAATGCAAGGGTGGTACGCGTGGTCACATGATGTGAATATTAAATTGTGGGAGGGAAGGACGCACAGACATATAAATTATACTCCTCTCAAAAGTCTTGACTGACGATGGACAATGTATAGCTCAGGCTTTATATCAGCAATTTAAAGTTATAGAATGTATCACTTTAGTTCTATTTGTGAGCACTGAGTGACTTAACGCTGTTACTTGAACTATAGTTCCTACGAACATTATTGCTATGTATAGCCCCTCCTTATACTTTTGGCGTCGGGAGTTTCACACATTTCGATATCACATCCTCTCACTGAACCAAATTTATTTTTAGTTGAGGCTATAAACCAGGACTTGTGGAGAAGACTTTCGGTTTCCTGGGCGGTATGCGATGTACTGGTGGGCTGCTTCTTTCCTTTTCTGAACAGCGTTTTCTCTGGGGCGCTGTAGTATGGATGCACCTTTCCTCTCTTCAACGTCATCTCCTTGGGACTCCTGTAGATCCACTTGCCCGGCAACAGTTTGTTCCTCCCTTATTTGGCCACACTGAGCCATCCTCCTCTTATTTGTTACTGGCTTGATAGCACAGCCCTACCAACTCGGAGAATTGTAGGAAGAGAAGTCCGATGTCGAGATGTTTGAGAGCTGTTTTGCCCAAGGCAGTCATCGAAATCTGTCTGCGTCGAAGCATCCTCTTGGTTATTATTTGATTGCCTTGGAGGAAGCTCGGCTGGAACTGCAACATTAAGCGTTGGCAGACGGCCTGTGATTGCTGTTGAACCACGTCTGATGCCCCAAGCAAGTGTCGATCTCGCTGGCCGAGATGCAGGAGCCGCATCAAGTTCAGGAATGACTCCAGCAGCCGAGACAGGTTTTATCCAGTCATTATCTTTTTGTCTGTCCGTGGTATTCGCTTCCATGGTTTCATCCGCTGGAAGATACAGACAGCATATGACGCGGACAACATCTCTCATGGTGATTCTCATGTTTGAACCGGGTTAGTACGTTGAAGATGGAAGACTTTGGTCGAGTGCACTCAATGAGCTCAATGCCGAATACCAAGCGGGTTGTTTTAGGCACTTCATTTTTCCGTCGCCTCTTGCCTCCGGCTCGAGGATGCCTGGCCACCAGTCCTGTAATGATGTACGGTTACGCTCGCGCTACATCCCACTGAGCCAAAAAGACTACAATATTCCGGCTCGCCCGGAATACGCGTAACACGCTATATATACTGTAACGGTCGGTCATCACCACCCCGTTACAAGTCCCCAGGCAAGATACATTGATTGGTAGGCTTGCACTTGCAAACCTGGATTGACAGGCGCTGTTCTACTATGATAACCGCCAGTCTCCAGGCAAGATGCATCAGTTGACAGGCGCTGTTCTACTTCGATAACCGCCACTCTCCAGGCAAAATGAATTGGTTGCTGTGTGAGCTGCTCCAGACTGCCTTTGACAGGCGCTATTGTTTGCAGGTTGTCGGTGAGATCTCATTTCAACAATGCTCCTTTATCCATCCAAACAAAGTGAACTGCGCCGCAATTCCATCCCAATGGCATAAAGGATAGTGTCTCTCACTGACACATCTAAACAATGGGACACAAAGCACTCAATGAGTGGCATTGGATCCATTGGGTCACGCAGCGCTGCATATTCATTGTGCTAAATTGATAACAAGGCTCCGAAATAATTGAATTCAAAACAGGTGGCGAGATGATCAGAGGTGAAAGGACATGTTTGTAGATATAAGGTCGACCTTTCTCCCGAGAAAACACACTCACAGGAATCAAGCCAGCCCACACAGAGATCAACAGAAAAGGGCAGAGAGAGAAGTGCAAGAATTACTACTGTGTTTTGCTAACATTTCCACAGGCTTACCCAGATACCTGTGCGAGGAGAAGAACTGTTAGAACTGCGTTCCTAGTAGTACGCTGCACATGCGTACCCTGTATACCAACTGTATATATATGGGGGCTTCGCCCCCTGTCGTTTCTCCAATATGTGTTCGACAAGAAACATATTGGGGTGAGAGATGGCGTTGGCTTTAGCACTCGCCTGTGAGTTTCCCCCACTGTGACCCATACGCTGACGAAATACAGGGAGTACCACAAAGGACACTTGATTCCCAATTCAGACCCCCGGAGCGAACAGTCAGCCATCTCTAAGTTGCCATCAAAAGCAAATTGGGATATAAAATTGCTCAATCCGGTCAGTGCTCCCCCCTCGCTTGAAAGCTAACACATGGCAGACATTGGGAATAATAAACCCTGCGGGACGCTAGGGGATCGGTGGATCTCTGTCACCCCTCAAGCAGGGTCCAGCTAACTTCCCAATTGACGGATGAAAGGGCCATGTAAGTCTGTAACCCCCATCTGCAAACATAACGTTGGCGCAGCAATAGGTTTTTACTTACGGATTCTCACATGATTACATCCTGCCTGGACTTGCGGTTTTCCAGGCGGGTCATATAGAGAAAGGGAAGCCTGCGCATTCGGTCAATTGGAGAAGGATGAAGGGCAACAAGGGCTGCTGCTAAGGCTTTCGGTTCTTGTGTGGTTGGAGTTTGGTGCTCAGAAGGCATTTCTTTATTGACGGCGACTCTTATTCGGGACTCGGACATGAGCGGCCCTTTCTTTTTCTTTGGGAGGGCAGTGCCCAGGTGCCCAGAGCCATTTTCTTTAGTACAAGCAGCAATGGTCTGGAGCTCGGACATGAGCAGCCTTTATTTTCTCGCCGAGGGGATAAGCTGGTTCCCTTTCATCAGAAGCCAGATAGTATGATATACACACTCACTCTTCATGTAAGATAAAGAACAATTCACATTTCAACAGTCTTCAGATGACTTTTCTCGCCCGTGATTCGCTTGTTTTGACGCGTCGTTCGATGCTAGAATATACCAGAAAATCCAAAACATTAGCACATGGCAAATTTTGGCTCGTTGCTAGGCGTTGCTAGGCGTTTCGACATTCCGTTGCTAGGCCACTTCGAGACGTGATAAGGGTTGCCAATTTTGGAATCGCAAAAAGAGACGAAACAATCCAGGCCAAGCTAGGCTCTCCCCTTGAAACACCTTTTTCGAATTAGTCCCCTGTACATTGTAAAACAATAAATACTGTTTGGTCTCCTCCTTCTCTGCCCTCACTGTGGTGGATAAATATTAAAGTTGATATATTAACTGCGGCGGTTATAGCCACTAAGTCACGTCGCAAACGAATAACACGTCTCCCCCCCAATATCCCACACACAACCCGCCATTGTTTCTGCCATTCTGTCAAAGAAGAAAGCGCTCACCACTCTATCTGCTCGACGCGACTCTTCCAATTACATCGGGTAACCAAAGGGATACTCTTCCCTTCTGAGGTCCTTCTCACACCGTGGACAAGATGGCGCTTCAAGCTGCCTACCAGCAGTACTTGGCGACGCCAAACTCCAGCTTTCTGGCTGAGAATGCCTCGCTCCACTACATTACGACGCTCACGACCTTCCACGGCCCAGCCGAGATCATCAAGCACCTGAACACCCAATCGAAAAAGATCAAGAAGAAGTCTGAGAAGATCATTGACGTTGTTGATGGATCAAGCTCTCTGGCTGTTGAGACCGAGTTGACTCTTGAATTCCTCACTGGAGGAGGAGGATACCTTCCCGGGATTGACGACAACTTCCTCGCCGATCGCGAGGTCACATTTCTAGTTGTATGTTACTCGATTGATTCCACTGGGTTGCTGTATGATATGTGTGCTAATAAACTTGGCTGTCTAGATCCACATTGTCTCCTTCGATGCGGATGGCAAAATAACTCAAATCCGACTGAACTGGGACCAAGGCTCGCTCCTGAAGTTGATTGACGTGATCGGAAAGACTGGACGAAACTGGCCTATACGCGATGGCAAGGACCAGGTCAAGCTGATCCAATCCAGCGTTGTTGCAGCCGCGAAGCCTGAGGCGCCATCAGCTGCTCCGTATCAGAAGGAGGGCGAGGTCCTCCGCCGGTCCCGCGAAAACTCCACGAACGTTACTCGCGACCCGCATTCGTCATTAGCCCTGTTTGCGCCCCGCGAGGCGGATGAGGAGCCAGAGCTATTGCCAACAGTGATTGCCCCACGCTCATCTGCGAAGCCCCCACCACGCGACTACCATGATCTATTTGTTGGTCAAGATTCAGAGAACTCGGATGCGCCAGCGAACGAGAATCGCTCGGAGTCTCCATTTAAGCACTCGGCTGTAGGCGCCATTGCGCCCAAAGCCGGAGCCGGAAAGAACTACAAGCCATCAAGAATCTTCGACAATGGTGATGACGACGAGGAGGATAACTCAGCTGCGTCAGCGAGGGATAGCCGCCCGGAATCCTCCCACAGGCACTCTGCTATCGGCGCCATTGCCCCAAAGATTGGAGCGGGAAAGAACTACCACCCCTCGAGGATCTTTGAGACCGATGAGAATACCCCTATCAAGCAATCGACCGGACACAAGTCTACTATCAGCCTCACCAAGCCGAACCCCAAGAAATATAATCACTTTGACATTGGTTCGGGAGTTGCATCTGACGATACCACAACCGCAGCAAAGCCAAATGAGACCCAACAGCTTAAGAACAGGCACGGATCGTCATGGGGTTTCGATGACTTCAACACACCTGCAAAGTCCGTTCCAACAAAGGGGCTCGCAATCCGGGCACAGGATGCTGTGCACTGGGGCAACGAAGACGATGAGGTTCCAGACTCCCCAATCCGCAAGCCAAAGCTGGATCAGCCACGCAAAGATGCGAAGACCCACTTCGAGTTCCAGGATGACGGAATCCCAGAGGGCCAGCCTAGACTGATCGGTCGTCCTCGTGGGGCAGGCTCCAACAACGGCCTAGGCCTGTATAAGAACAACTTGTACACTGAGGATGGCGCATCGCCGGAAGTCAGCAACAAGCGCGAAGTCGGCAACCTGGCCAACGTGAAGGATCGCAGCAAGGACTTCGACCCGCACTTCACCATGACTGACGAAAACACACCCATAAAGACACAGGGCCAACGCCCTCTCGGTAACATTGCAAACGTTAAGGACCGCCACAAGGACTTCGATCCTCATTTCGCGATGACCGATGACTCCCCTGCCCCCAAGAACTCTGCGGGTCACCAGAAGGAGAACATCCCCATCACCGCTGCATCTTCAATCCGCCCCAAGCCTAGCGCGTTGAGCGAAGAGATCACGCCTTTGGGTTCGCGCGGTGGTCAACAGAAGCAAAAGGGCATAGTTATCGGTGGTGACGGCATGGGCGGCAAGAAGGGTGCAGGCCGCAGCTGGGGTTTCGGAGACGACTCGGATGGCGAGCAGGAGGGAGGCATTAACGGCGCCGGCACCGCATTCAGCAAGGGTGTTGCGCCGAAGAAGGCCGGCTCGGCGGGACAGACTGGAGGCGGCGACTTCTGGGACTTTTAAGCAGCTGGGTGGTGATACGGGTGTTTAGCGGGATATCAGTGACTGTAGGAAGGAGCACGAGACGGAGATTATGATATTTTATGAGCCTACGGCTGCTTTGTTTTTTTCTTTTGTGGCTATGAAATGGTTGGGTGGGTTGGCACGGTGTTCCCGATGCCACTGCGTTTAGTACGGAGGGGACGAAGTGAAGGGTTATGGGAATGCTGTGTATGAGACTCGCTTCAGATTGTTCTCTTCGTGTGTGTGCTCGTTGCTCGATTCGTTGTTTGGCCTCTCGGGGTATTGAGGATGGGAAACATTGTCCGAGGACGTTAGACAGGAGGAGCCGATATGTGTGTCGATAGAGTAGTGAAAAATTGAGATTATTGAGAATTAATCTTTGACAGTTTATGCTGCCCAAAAGACTGGAGAGTGACTGCGCAATCTCACAGTGTACAGCAACTATACCGCCCAAAAGACCGAAGAGTGACTGTGCGCAATGGCACGGTATACAGCAACTAAGAATCATCATTGCTCTCGGTCACTCAGGGCCGTGTTTTCCAAGTTAGTTACTAATTTTATATCGACTGGGGGATGGTGTATTGTACGGAGGCTGCTGGTAACTGATGTTGCCAAAAGGTCCGATGGGCAGGCTTTCGGGCGGCACGAACATTGTGCTACCATAAACTGGGCCGCTGCTGATGGACAAAAAGCGTGAGCGCACACACGTTGGTGCTATTGTGTTTCGGTGGTATCACAAGTGTGCAAAGAGTTCTCGGTTGCTTGGTTGTAGTCGTATTCTGTGGATTCTTTTCTCTTCTTACAAGCTCCTAGTGTACCATATCGTACATAACGCTATCATACAGCGACCTCCCAAACGCCATAAAAATTCCCATCTATACACCGTCTATTTGTTCTTGCTCAGCTTGTACGAAAATCGCTTCCTCGTCCTATTGCCACAGTTAGTCCAGGTCTTCAGTTCATTCAGTCCTCTCTCAGTGTCTTCATCCAGCTGCCAACATCCAGCCCATCCATCTGCATGCGCCACTCTCATTCCACTGAAGTAAGAGGAAACTTACGTGCTAAATTCACCCAGCTTATGTCCCACCATATCCTCCGTGATCGTGACATCGTGGTACACCTTTCCATTATGCACCTGGAACTTCAGCCCCACGAAGTTCGGCAGGATCGTCGCCGAGCGCTGCTGCGTCCTGATGGGGACCACCTTCTCGCCCTGTGCATAGCGCACGATTGGAAGTCTGGCTTGTTAGTCTTGGTCCGCATTGGGAGGTCGCTGTGGGAGGCTTACGGAACGATATGTGGTCCTGCGAGCGTGAGAGTTAGTGAGGGTTCAATTGGGGTGAGCGGATGGGATGACGAAGAGCATACCTTTCCAGACTGACCGCGCCAGCAGAACTCGTGTCGGGAGCATGGTTGCCAGTGGTGATTGACTCGAGAGTTGGATGAGGTCGTCGCAAAGGAGCCGTCTCGCGATAAATTTCGGAAGGGGTGGGAAGATTGACAAGGATTATCCGCGCTAGTGTTCGGAGGTCGCGTTTCCCCAGATTTAGACGCTTTCAGGCAGAGAGAGCTCTTGGGAATTGATACAACTTTTTTACATTTCGTCTCCGAATTCCTCCAACAAATAGTATTGAGGATTGTGCTGGCGTGGAATTTGAAGAGTTATTTTGTCCATGGAGATTTGAAGCAAAATTTGCGCAGTGGGCATTGAGTGCCTGCGACTAGGCAGGCAGCAGGATGTCTGAACTTGGAGGTAATATTTCTCCTTTGCTCCAGAGATTCCAGTGAACAAACCTAACATCATGGCAGATGCCGATACCATACGAATTTTGGTTGCAACGGACAGCCATGTTGGCTACGAGGAAAGAGATCCGATTCGCAAGGATGACAGCTGGAAGAGCTTCCATGAAGTTTTGACCCTTGCGAAGACACAAGATGTTCGCACCACCTTCGGTCACAGAGAGTCATAAGCTGATAAGTGCAGGTCGACATGGTTCTTCTCGCGGGCGATCTTTTCCACGACAACAAGCCCTCCAGAAAGGCAATGTACCAAGTCATGCGTTCTCTTCGAATGACCTGCCTGGGCGATAAACCATGCGAGCTCGAGATGCTGAGCGATGCAAACGAAGTCTTTGATGGGGCATTTAATCACGTCAACTACGAAGATCCCGATATCAACGTCGCTATACCGGTCTTTTCTATACATGGAAACCACGACGATCCGTCTGGAGATGGACACTTTTGCTCCCTCGACCTTCTGCAAGTCTCGGGGCTTCTGAACTACTTTGGGAAGACGCCAGAGTCGGATAATATTGCTATAAAACCGGTTCTACTGCAAAAAGGGCAAACGAAACTGGCATTATATGGCATGAGTAATGTCAGGGATGAGCGACTATTCAGGACTTTCAGAGACGGGAAAGTGACATTCTTTAAGCCTGGGGTGCAACAGGATGATTGGTTCAACATCATGGCAGTCCATCAGAACCACCATGCTCACAGCGAAACGGGATATCTGCCGGAAAACTTCTTGCCTGAATTTATGGACCTGGTTGTTTGGGGGCACGAGCATGAATGCCTCATTGACCCTAAATATAACCCGGAAACATCATTCCATGTCATGCAGCCCGGATCTTCAGTTGCTACATCCCTGGTTCCAGGAGAAGCTGTACCAAAGCATGTGGCAATCTTGAACGTAACTGGCCGAGAATTCACCGTCGAAAAGCACCGCATCAAAACAGTACGGCCGTTCATTACGAAAGAGATAGTTCTCGCTGATGACCGGCGTTTCAAAGGCCTGGACAAGAAGAAGGAAAACAAGCAGGAGCTCACGCGGCGACTAATGGAGGTTGTCGAAGACCTAATTGAAGAAACAAAACGTGACTGGCTGGAAATCCAAGACGGAGACAGCGACGAGCCAATCGAGGTCCCCCTTCCCCTCGTCCGCCTCAAAGTTGAATGCACGGCTCCCGAGGGCGGGCGTTACGATTGCGAAAACCCACAGCGCTTTTCCAACCGCTTTGTAGGCAAGGTTGCCAACGTGAATGATGTGATCCAGTTCTGGCGACGCAAGAGCAGGAGAGGCGCGAACAGCAAGAAAGATGGCGCGGCTGACATGCCTGAGGAGTCCGTCATAGCTAACCTCTCCATCGATAATATCAAGGTCAGCAAGCTCGTTCGAGAGTTTCTCAACGCGCAGAGCCTCAAAATCCTCCCTCAGGCGCCTTTCGGCGACGCTGTCAGCCAGTTTGTGGACAAGGATGATAAGCATGCCATGCAAGTCTTTGTGGACCAGTCTCTGGAGGGGCAGGTGCAAACACTGCTTTCCCTCGAGGACGACGAAGAGGATCTTGACTCTGCCATGGCACGCTACGCTGCCCAGATTGACAAACAGTTCCATGAAGGGACGCTTGCGCGTCGCGGCCGCTCATCCAGGAAGCTCAAGCCGAGGCCGAACAATTGGGATTCGGATATGGACGGCGAGTGGGAGGACCAGCCTGGCGCCTGGGAGAAGGGTGATGAGGATAATACCCCAGCGCCTGCCGCAGCTGCACCAGCGAGGCAGAGAGGAAGGGTCGCGAGCCCAATTGTGGAGGATGACGATGACCCATTCAATACCCCAGCCCCTGCACCTGCTCCCGCAAAGCGAGCCCCAGCTAAGCGTGCCGCACCCGCTGCTCGCAAACCAGCAGCGCCGAAGAAGACGCCTGCGCCTAAGAAGGCACCTGCGAAGTCGAAGGTAAACACAGGGATGTTCGTCGAGGATGATGACGATGAAGATATAGTCATGCTCGACGAACCGCCAGTTCCGAAAAGCCAGCCAAAGAGGGCTGCATCGACGAGAGCGAAACCTTCGACACAGTCGCAGCTGAATTTTAGCCAAATGGGAAGCCAGGTTGGTGGGAGGGGAAAGGGGAAGGCAAAGGCAGAGTTGAGTGATGATGAGATTAGTGATGATGATGATGCTTTCGAGCCGGTTACTAGCACGCGGTCGTCAAGGAGGAGATAGAGACGACTTAACGAATTTATGGGGGGCGTTTAGTGGGATCAGGGAAGCTGATAGGAAATCTGGCTACAAAGGCGTTGATAGGGCTCATAGCAATCAATACCCGAATTTTATTCGAAGATGTCGTATATCCGTATGGAACCACTAAGTGTCTCTGCTCTCTAGGCCTCATTGTGATATCTAAAAGCCCAACGTCCATCGTTAGGGCCCAATCCGATGACTTCTTGCGATAGAGCCTATCGGGCGCGGAGTCACTAGTTATTTATCCTTAGACTCGTCTTCAAAGGAACCGGCTTCCCGTTCACATCCCGAGGTTCGAAGTCCAGCGCAAGGTATCCAGTCTCCGGGACATCCTGACCACACTTCTCAGTGACCCAGTTCTCAAACATATCCATTCCAGCAATTGCTCCGCCAGCCGTCCAGAACTTCCCATCAACAGCCCACTGCTGCGATGACCAGTTCACTTCCGGTTTCAGCCTTTGCCAGATACTGATGGTTCGTAGTCGCAGTTTTTCCATCAAGAACACCAACTATGGCGGCAACCATTCTACCACTGCATGTTGTGAACAGGCCCTGGAGTCCATCCACTCGATCCCGAATGAAGTTTGCAAAGACGTCCGGTACGTTGAGGAATAAATCGGCGTACGGCTCGCCGATGAGGAGGTAATCGAGCTTGGGACATGTCGCACAGGTGGTGGTTGGCTTAATTGTGCAATTTGCCGTTCCGGTGATCCCATCCATGGTGTCCCCGATATAATGGAATTGAATATCAAGGCCACGGTTGGCGAATTCTAGTGGCTCTCCGATATGTTCCTGGTTTTTCTTCAGGTACGTGATTGAGGAAGACGAGAGAATATCAACTGGTCCAACGACGTCTAGGACTTGGAAAGGGATCAAAAGAATCCCGAACTGGATGGGTGCCATCTTGGATAAATCGGAATCGAAAGGGGGCCCCCTTAAAGTAAATGTTCTTCGTCTGTGAAGTGAGCTATAAAGACAAAGGGTAGCATATGAGTTGTTATAGGAATGTGAGCACGGGCGCCACGGAGGATCTCTGATGTTGCAAGTGATAAATCGCGGGTCCTAGACCGCGAATCGCAGAGGAGAATTACTGTCAAATCGCGGGTCGCGGGTTGTGGGTCGAGCCAGCCCGGAAGAAACTCAACTTCTCTTGAGTATCGAGCTTATTAACAGGCTATAATATGATAATTATAGCCCCGAGCGATTGAGAGCCTTCATTTTACTCATAGTTGTTATTATCGCTGGCTGTCATCACGGATCCTAAATCGCGGATCGCGGAGGAAACCTACTATCAAATCGCGGGTCGCGGGTTCTGAATCGATCGTCACTGGCGGCGCGGAAGAAACTCAACTTCTCCAAGTACCTAGCTCATTGATAGGCTATAATATGATAAATATAACCCTGGGTGATTGAGAGCCTTCATTTTAGTCATAGTTACTATAATTGATAGCGGTCATCACGGTCCCTCTTAGGACTTTTGGCATCATAAGGAGATTTAATCGAAGAATGTAACACCAGTGCCCACAAGATACCAAGTAGTCGTGATCCCCAAAACCATATATATATATAGGTTCTAACGGATACACGTCTCCAGCCCCATGGTCGTGCCATCCACTGGTGGCGTCAATCAGTCGTGTTGGATCGAGTGACCTGACAAGATTGGTGAGGCCAAATTCAGGATACCCATCAATCAATTTCCCCAGCCTTCGTTATAAATAACCTAAGAATTGCTCAGTAATTATCGGAACAAATAACCACTGCGCCAAAGTTGAGTAGGAGCTGCTGTCCGGACCAAGACGATGGAACATTGAAAGAGGTGGAGAACCACAAATATATCGTGTTACTGCCTAGGATTCCGCAAAGGCACTCTCGAGGCAAGAAGGGATTAAGACTTCCTGAGCCAACTCTTGACCAAATGGAGGGCTATTGAGGGAATTTAAGCTGGCAGCATCTTGATATTTCCAGATTCCATTCAGGTTTTGCCATTCAGCGCGCTCAAGCTGAGGTCGAGGATATTCGGGCCAAGGGTTTGTGCCAACCTTGAAGTTCCAGTCCGTTGTCAACGGTGGTTCCTTCACAGCATACGAAGCGGCTCGGTTGATATTGGGCTTTTGATAATCCCCTGAGAGACTGCGCGCCAGGACAGCATCTGCCAACAGCGGCAAAAGAAGGCCGGCTTTGAAATGCATCTTGCCAGTAGCAAGTATAAGAAAATAATAGTAACTTCAAAACACAGGGGCGTGAATCTTGTTGGAGCGACAGAGGCAGTAAGAAGTGGGAAGAAGAAAAATTCTTGGGCGTTCAGGACCGACCTTTTAAGAAGGTTAGCTCTCACTTGAGTCCGCAATAAATGTCTGTCATCTCTCGCAGCAAGCAGCCAAGGCTAGCTACCTCACCGACATGGCGAGTGATACCAACTCACCAGGATGATATTGCAGATCACAAAATGAGAGAGGCAGGCCGGAGTGCTCGGAAGTATGGCGAGTCCCGGACACGCGGTAGCCGTCTTCCTTCAAACCTCTGTCTTAGGAGGACGCGGGCTAAGACAGGGCTCCCCACTCTGCGGGATCCTCCAGAGACACTTTATCCCACCAACCCACAGTCAAAGCTTTGCATCGAAATACATGCGAAGTTGGTTTCTAGCTCGGTAGCGCTACCCGACAAGGTGGAACCAGAGAGTCTAACGTTATACTGAATCTGCAGTCAAAGGGAAGACCTTCGGGGACCAAATTTCTGCAATTTGGCCTCCAAGAAACCAACTTTTGACCCCGCACTCTCTCACATTACAGCTTCAATGCAGCTCCAACAGTGATGGCGCAACGTTGTACGACTATCCATGAGCGAATGCGGGGTCGCCAACATTGGTCACCCTCGAAGGATTCGGGATCAGCAACTATTGCCAGTGGCATCTGGGGTTGCCCCTCATTCCCCAGGTACCCGGCTATATCATTTCTGCAGGAATTGTAAAAGCAGAAAGATCGCCGTGGCAGTTCGTATACCTGTGCGGAGGTATATTCACAAATGCAGGTATTCCTTCCGGATCGTCCAGTGCAAGTAGGAGCTATATGTTATTTAGACTCGTAGTGTTCGGCCCTATCATTAGATGTCAAGCCATATATACGGCCTAGATTACTTTTAGAGCAGGCGCCGACGGCGAGAAATTAAGCGAGAAATTCGAATGCCGCCTCGGAGATAGCCCGGAAAGAGCCTCTCACATGGCCGTTCACCTACAAATGCAATAGTTGATGATTTGTTCAATGCACAACCTTATTTATTGACTGGCACCATGGATAACAGCCCAAGCAAGCCCAGGAAGACCGAACGTGTGTGCAAGACTTGCCGCGGCCTGAAAGTTAGATGCCTGCCTTCTTCAGACGGCGGAAATATTTGCCAGAAATGCCAGAGGTCAGGTGCATGATGTGTGTTCGAGGAGCTAAAATAGTGGAAGAAATGGAAGGCGCCCGATGACCCCACTACTGTCGAAGCCCTAGAGGCAAAGCTATCAGATTTGGCTAAGCAGCTAGAGGCGAGCAACGCCCAGCTCCAGTCCCTTCAAGGGTCGACTTGTGAGAATCTCAGTCCGGATAATCCGAGTCTAAGCAGCTATGATGCGCCAATCGCATCAAGTTCCTCGAGTACCCAGATAGCGGATCAGGACGAGCACGTTATTGGGATGTGGTATTCTTACCACAGACACTGCCAATGGGTACATATTGAAGTACCGGAAAATGTGTGAATACTCCCCACGTTGTGATACCCAAAGAGGCGACAACTGAGTCACTGAGGCAAGACCAACCGTTCCTCTTACACGCGGTGATTGCCGCAGCATCCCGTTAGAACCCAGATTTGCAGAACACGCTTGAAGCCTCCGCGAACGGTTGCTAAGGACAGTCATGATCGAAGGAGAGAAAAGCATGGATCTGCTACAAGCCATTCTCATCTATCTCACTTGGCAACACTTCTTCCACGTCCCGAAGAAACGACTCTTCAATCAGCTTCTTCATGTTGCTATTAGCATATGCATCGATATGGGACTGGATCTCGGGCCTTGCGGCCAGCGCTAGAAAGGCTGGGTTGCAATTAGATCACCACTGCGCAGCTGGTGGGACGCCAGATGATATATTCTTTAGCAGAGCAGCGAGAAGAGTGTATATTGGGTGTTACTAGCTTTCTTCGGCCTCGGCATGGGTCTGGCAGAAACCCAACAACATTCACTATACGAAGTATATGATGCAATGCGCTCAATCCCTATCAAAAGACCCAGAATATGAGACAGTTTCTCTCATCCTGCCGCTTCTTCAAACCCAGAGACTCGGCGACGAATTTCATGATTTACTACTCGCCGTCAATCTTGATTACCCATGCTCATCTAGCTCAGAACAAGTCCAAACACATCTTAGAACGTTCCGAGCAAAGATAGATGAAGTGCTGCCATACGGGCCCTCGGATTGCTTGCCGACAAGCCTAGCATCTCATCTTGCAACCTTACATGCCTATGAAATGGAAATCTTTAAGTAAAAATATGGTGAATAAGGAGAGGATAGGGGGCAAGAATGTGCCCCCCACGTCCAGTCAGCTCGACGTGATAATGGCCTTCCTTAACTCCGCGCGATGCTACGTAGAGACATTTCTTTCCTTCTCCCTCTCCAAGTATCCCAAGCTTGCGGTGCCTCAATTGTGGGGCTTGATCGGTAGTGTCTATATTTATCAATGGGCACTCCACAGCTTCCTCTGTGGAACGTGTGCGTTGCCAGAGATAAAGTCAGGTTAGACATCTACCTCGACCTACTTTGCTACCGCATTACTGGTTCGACTACATAAGCTCCCGCTGGACGGCACCTGTTTTCGCTGATGAGTCCTATATTCGCAAATGTCAAGGCGTCGTATGAACGGCTTAAGAAACTGCCTCGGACTGCGAGCTCGATTGATGGAGAACCTGTCCATGGGACGGCGTGGGCGAAGCTAAGCCTTGTAATAAACGGATAAAACCCGGCTGCTGTCCAGCATTCCCATTCTGGTCAAGGGCGCAAAGCGTCACCAGCCCGCCGGTTGAAACACCAAACGATCTGTTCGCGGCATTTGAATCGACAGATCCCAATATGGATTGTTTTCAGGATTGTTCGTGGCTCGAAGACATGTCCACTGTCAACGCGAACCTGGGCTGTAACACAAGTAATTGGAATCTTGATACGTCATGATAGGTCGTCGCCGTACGAGGTAGTTAACGTAGCCCCTCGGGCGGCACAGTCATAGCATGTACCAAAAGAAAATGTAGAAATTGAACAGAAACTGTAAATTCTAAAAAACGCATCGAGCTATCTACATTCAAACTCTCTAGCTCCAATATGTACATTTCCGTCCCCATCTACTTCAACTCCACTCCCGCCTTGACAGCCGCAACAATAGCATCACAGCTCGTCTTCGCATCCCCAAACAACATGCGATTATTCGGCTTATAAAACATCGGATTGGGCACATCCGCATAACCGCTCCCCATCCCCCTCTTCATCACAATCGTATTCCGACTCTTCCACGCATGCAGCACCGGCATCCCCGCAATCGGACTATCCTTCTCCAGCGCGATCGGATTCACCGTGTCGTTCGCCCCAATCACAATCGTCAGATCCGTGTCGTTGAAATCGTCGTTGATCTCGTCCATCTCCAGTACGACGTCGTAGGGCACGCTCGCCTCGGCGAGGAGGACGTTGCATTGGCCTGGCATGCGCCCGGCGACGGGGTGGATGGCGAAGCGGACGGTGGCGCCGCGGGCGCGGAGGAGGGCGGTGAATTCTGCGATGGCGTATTGCGCTTTGGCTACCGCCATGCCGTAGCCGACAACGATGATGACGCTCTCGGCCTCGAGGAGCTTCGTGGCGACTTCGTCGACTGTGGTGGTGGTTAGCTCACCCTCGAGTTTGTAGTCTGTGCGTGCGGGCGCGGAGGAGATGCCGCCGAAGAGGACGTTGGTGAGAGAGCGGTTCATGGCTTTGCACATGATGTACGAGAGGATGCTACCGGAGACGCCGATGAGGGAGCCGACGCTGGTGAGGAGGGGGTTGCCCAGCATGAAACCCTCGGCTACGAGGGCGAAGCCGGAGTAGGCGTTGAGGACGGTAATGACGACGGGCATGTCCGCGCCGCCGATGGCGGCAGTGGTTGTGTATCCTTTGGCGAAGGACAGGATGGCGCTGCCACTGAGGCACATAGCAGCAACCGCCGGGGCGCCTGGCGCCATTGTGACGAAGGCACCCATTGTTGCGGCGTTCAGGGCCAGCATGCCGCCATTGATGAGGTGCCTGCCAGGCAGGATTGTGGGCTTGGAAGACATACGACCGGCGAGCTTGAGGAAAGCCACAATAGACCCGGTGAAGGTGACACCACCGATCAGGACACCAAGATACCCAGTCACCATATGAAGCATCGAAATGTGGTCACCACTCACGGCGGCCAGAACGGAGCCGATGGAAGTGAGGACGGCAGCGAGACCTACGACGGAGTGCAGTGCAGCTACTGTCTGGGGGAGCTCCGTCGCGGTGATGCGTCGTCCGACTACTCCTCCAATTCCAGAACCTAGGCCAGCGATGGCGAGAACTTGGATTAGCTGTGGGGTGGTGAAACCGCAGGCTGCGAGAGAGGCGAGAATTCCAGATCCCACACCGAGGATACCAAGGAGGTTACCCGTGCGAGCAGTTGCCTGCGATGCGAGTCCAGAGAGAGATCCGATACAAAGCATAGAGCTAGCCAGGTACCCAGCCTGAACGAGTCCAGCCATGCCAGTCGAAGCAGCAGCGATATAACCACCACCAAAGAGTATACCCGGGATGGCGTAAAGCCATGGGTACTCCGGGGGGTCAGTCTTTCGACGGAACATATCGAGCATGCGCTTCGTGATGACGAAGCCACCGGTAACATTAACAAACGCAAGGAGCACAGAAGCCGCGCCGAGGAACTGCGGGATCGTTTCGGGTAAATAGTTGCCGCCCATGATGAAGAAGCCACCGACACCAACCATTCCTGAGATGGCGTTGGTGACGCTCATGAGCGGGGAGTGCAGGGCGGGCGCGACGCCCCAGACGACGCGGTAGCCGATCAGACCAGCGAGAGAGAAGGTGAAGAGGTTACCCATGAAGAGGGGGCCGGTTGCTTTTCCGAGGGCGAGGACGGCGCCCATGGCGCCGGTGACGGTCATGACTTCGCGAGAAGCCTTATGCCATGGGGTCAGGGCTAGAACTTCTTCCTTGACCTCGGCTGCCTTTGGCGCGGGTGCGGGAGGTGGTGCGAGGGGAGGCAGGGCGGGGAGGAATTCGCCGTTGTAGGTGACGATGGAGCGGCGGACTACTTCGTCGTTCAGGTCGATACCGAAGTGCTTCTCTTTGGGTGACATGGACAGGAGGAATTTGGTGATGTTGTTGGAGTACAGTGTGGATGACTGTGTCGGGAGACGAGATGGGAAGTCCGTATAACCTTTCATACGTTAGTGTCTATACAGTGAATCAATATATGAGAGCGTACCAATCACAGTCACGCCTTTGTGAGTAACCAGTTCGCCTGGTACAGTGATCTCGCAATTACCACCGGCCTCAGCAGCCAAATCAACAACGACGGAGCCAGGCTTCATCGCGGACACCATCTACAAAACTTGTCAGCTGTAAGCTACTAAAATCGCAACACAGGATTAACGAACCTCTTCAGTAATCAGGGTAGGAGCCAGTTTGCCAGGAATCAGCGCAGTGGTGATGACGATGTCAACCTCCTTGCACTGCTCGAGGAAGAGCTTCATCTCTGCCGCGATAAACTCCTTCGACATGACCTTGGCATAGCCGCCACCCCCAGAGCCGTCTTCTTCCATATCGACCTCGATAAACTCTGCTCCGAGCGATTGGACCTGCTCGCGTGCAGCACTTCGTGTATCGAAGCCACGGACGATAGCGCCCATGCGGCGAGCCTACATATGTCAGAACTGTCCACATAACGAACTGCAGCTAACTGCTTACCGTAACAATAGCACTAAGTCCAGCAACACCAGCTCCAATAACCAGCACTTTACAAGGCGGGATCTTCCCCGCCGCAGTCGTCTGCCCAGTCATAAATCGGCCAAAGTGATTCGAAGCCTCCAACACAGCCTTATACCCGGCAATATTCGCCATCGAGCTCAGCGCATCGAAGGTCTGCGCCCTCGAGATTCGCGGAATCATATCCATAGCAAACGACGTCAACCCCTTCTTGGCCATCATATCCACGACTGGCCTATTGCGGTCCAGACCCGGCTGCAGCATCGAGATGATAGTCGATCCAGGCTTGAACCCGTCCACGAAATTGTTCACATGGCTCGTAAACTGCGGTTCCTCGTTCGCCCATGTAGGGTTCCCGGCCGTAAGTCGCGGAGGTCGCACTTTAAGTACGATATCACTCTCGGTCCAGACGTTGCGGGAATTGGCGATGGTGGCGCCGGCGGCCTCGTAGTCGTGGATGGGGAACTGGGCCTCGAAGCCGGCGCCGTGCTCGACCATGACGCGCTTGAATCCTTTCTTGAGGAGGAGGGCGGCGTTGGCGGGGGTCATGGCGACGCGGCGCTCGCCGGGGAAGACCTCGGTGGGCACGCCGATGGTGAGCTCGGAGTAGGGGATTGATTTGACTGGGTGTTCGGGCTCGGGCTCGGGCTCGGGCTCGGAGGGCTTCTTCTCTTCATAGAGGCGTGTTGTAGAGTTATAGAGGCGGCGTTTGGAGCGGTTGAGGCTTGTTACTGTGGATTGGGAGAGCCATACTGTGTGGTTGGCCAAGGCCCCACAAAGCCTTGTGGATGGGGTTATCATGGTTAGAGTGAGTTTATGTATTTAAACTGGAGAAGGAGCTTGGTTGTATTCCTTGGTGGAAGGCTGGTAGTCTCTTATGAGCAGGCTGTCTGCTGTGTATCCTTGGTCATGTAGAAAGCGGCTTATTGGGCTGAGTGGAGATTTGAGGGTTTCTAGGCGTATCTACTACTGCTGGAAGTTAGAATAGGCGCAGTATCAGTTTCTCCATATGCTTACCGTCTTATCTGAGCTGGGTTGGAGTGGAGAGTCGAGTATACGGCGGCGTGGCCAACAGGGTATCAAGCTCTCTGGAAGCGGCTCACTCGCGTGGCAGTCTAGCCAAACCGGCGTCTCAGAGCAACAATCCCGTGGCTGCGCTCAAGTATATCAAACTCTCCTCGGGCACAATCAGAGCTATCATCCCAGATTTCGCGGCTCAGTTTCGTCGTTATCGTCGTTGTCGTCGTCGCCAACACGTCGCTGTGTGGGGAAGAAGGATCAAATAGCCTCGCGGGCCGATAGGTAGCGTATTTAACCACCTGGGCGCGTAAGTTTGTATGTACAGCTGTACGAGAGGATCAATGCCTTGCTGCTTCTGGAGATGTCTTATGTTTCTTATGTCTCTTATGTCTCTTATGTCTCTTATGTGCAATACATATATGTACAGCACAGAACAGAACAGAAAGTGTTTGATACCGGCCAGGAGAAAAGAAAGCAGGTACTTGGTGTCGCGTGTGGTCGTTGGTAGCCGATGAGGTACCGCTCCGACTAAGTTACCGCGCCGAGTACCCCGCATAGTCCCGAGGTGACGGACCCTGAAACTCGAAACTGACTGTGCGCAACGGAGAGACCTGGGCCGCACATAACAAGATCAGAACATGCAACATCACACTGCAATATCAGAACTTGGCCAGCTAACTAACTCATGGTATCAAATTATCACCATAGCTACTACATAAACTCGGCGGCGACAACATACAAGTCTACAAGTCTTGAGGTCTGATAATCTTCTGCCCCTTGAACATCAACCAACCCATGAACCCCCCACCACATGGCTTCTCAATCTTCGTGTTGATATCAGTCATTGATATCACACAGTAGCAGCACAGTCGTCGTTATCGACTACCCTGTGTAGAGTGATTATAGTCGACTACTCCTCATCCAGTGCTCGTAGTTGTCTACTAATCGCCCGGTGATGATGCTTGACTACTCCTCATATAGCCACGGCAGCCGACTACTTCTCTCAGTCACACACATCCGCAAGCACGCTCACAATCAAGAAACAAAGATTCTTCATTCATCCTCCCTCTCTCTTCTTCTCCCCCCCCAAAAAAGCTAAGAAACCATAAACAACCAAAAAAAAACTACGAAGATCCCCCCCTGCTCCCAAGCCAGATAGATATATTCGCATCGCGCATAGCGCATCGACCAACAGAGCCTGAAATAGAAAACAAAAAACCCTCGTTGATAAAAAACAGGCGTATACATAAACGCGTACATCCATACAACCCCCCCATCCCCCATCCCCCATCCCCTGGTCATTAAAAAAAAGAAGGGGGGGGGGTATCAGAAGGGTTAGAAGGAGCCAGAAGTCATAAGCAAGGGGTGACTAGAAGCAATTCAAGCTCCCCTTCTTCTTCTTACTCGCCACCTTCCCCATCCTATCCTCCAACTGCTTCGTCATCCGTTCCGCCTCCCCCCTCTTCCTCCTCTCCGCCTCCCCACGCTGAATACTCCACCTCGCCTCCGTCCCCGTCGCCTCGCTCTTCACCTTCTCGAGCTCCCTACTCTTCGCCTCCGCAACCTGCTCCTCCAACTTCCGACTCTGCTCCTCCAGCCTCCTCTTCGCCTCTTCCCCCCCGCGCTTGGCAGCCTCAGCCTCCATCGCGCGCCTCCTCCACGCCTCCGCCTCCGCCTTGACTTTATTACTCTGCCTCTCCAGATCCGTCAGCGCCTCCTCAAGCGTAGCAGTAAGCTGCTTCTCCGCACTAAGATGCTTCTCAATACTCCTAATCTTCGCCTCCTGATCCTCCTGCATCTGCGCCAGCGCCAGCGTCGCGTCCTTCGGACTCAGCGGCGCGCTCAGGCTCAGCGAGTTCGGCGGGATGGAGATATGCGGGATCGGCGGCAGCGGCCCGGCAGGTGGCGGCGACGGGATGGGCGACGCCACGCTCAACGTCTTGCGGATGGTGGAGCTGCTGCTGTTGGACGTGCGCGCGCCGGCCGTGTTGTCAGACAGCGCTATCTCATCTAGCTTCGCCTGTGCGACGGCATCAGCGCCCGACCAGCTCCCTGCGCGCTGCGCGCGAGAGCTGCTGGGACTACTCACCTGGAGCCCTGCGTACTCCTCCCTGACGGCGTTGAGCTCCTGCTCGACGCGCGCTCTAGCAGCATTCGCCTCGTCGAGCTGGGAATTGCGCTCGCTTTGCAGGGTGCTGAGGCGGTTGTGTACGGCTTGGTGCTGGTCGAAGTTCGCGGCGAGCTGGTCCTCGAGTTCTTCTACCAGGCGGGAGTTCTTCTTGTTCTTTGTTTCGAGGGCGGACATCTCGGCGCGGAGGACTTCGAGTTGTTCCTTGACGGTTGCGTGGGCGGTGGTGGTGGAGAGGAGGGTGGCGAGCTCGGATTTGACGGTCTCGAGCTCTTTCATTACCTTGTCGTTTATGGACGACAAGTCGAGGACGTGGCTCTCCATCTCCGCTGCGCGGGTCTTCTCGCCGGTCAATGCAGCATGGGCGGTCGCCAACTCGGCGATCCGGTCCTCCAGCGCGTCGACACTTGCTTCCACCCCAAGAGCAGCAGCTACCCTCTCAGCAGCGCTGATGAGACCCTCACGTGCATCCATGAGCTCCTTATTCATAGCCTCAAGACCCACCTGATGTTCCGCCGCCAGATTCGCCAGCACAACCTCCTGCTCCGCCTTCCCGCTCTCCTTGACCCCATCCACCTCTCTCGCATGGCTAGCGTGGAGTTCAGCCAACCCATCCTGGTGCGCCTTCACTACACCCTCATGTGCGGAAATCTGCTCCTCCAACCTTGACACGAGGGACTTGTGCTCCTCTGCGTCGGCGGCAGTGACATCACGCGCCTTCGCCGTATCAGCGAGCTGCGACTTTGTGAGCGCATGCGCCTCCTCCAGCTGGGTGATCTGGGATGCGCTCGCCTGGACCGCAGAGCGGTGCTCTTCGATCTCCTTCTGCAGGCTCGACACGCGCTCTTCGTGCTGTGTTTGTTGGGCCTCGAATTCCGCGACGGGGATGCCGCGGTCGGTTTCCTTCTCTGGCTCGGGCTCGGTGTCGCGGGCTGAGACGACGACGGCTGCGCCTGCTGCTGCGATGGCGGTAGCTGCTGCGGCGGCGGCGGTAGCTGCTGCGGCGGTGGCGGCGGCTGAGGCGATCTCATTGTCCCGCTTGACGGCCTTGATCTGGTTCTCGAGCTTGGTGATCGTATCTTGTAGCTGCCTCTCGCTACCCTGCATCGACAGGGGAGCCTCCTGGTGTCTGCCCTCCCAGCTCTTCAGCTCGCCCTCCAACTCCGCGATCCTGCTCTCGCGCTCAGCATTGGCTCCATCCTGCTCTCTCTTAGCACTCTCCAGCTCCTGCGAAGGCACCGAGCGATCAGTCGACTCAGCCTCGACATCCTTCGCAGCAACAGTCGCAGCAGCAGCAGAAACAGCAGCAGCAGGCTTATCACCCGCCTCCTTAATCGCCCTCCTCAGCCCCTCCACCTCCTCACCCAACTCCGCCTCCCTCGCAGCATGCATCTCCTGCTGCACCCTCAACTCATTCTCACTCATCATAATCTGTTCCTGCATGCGACTAAGGGCGGACATATCAATCGGGGCCTGACTAATACTAGTCCTCTCCCTCGTCAACCCCGAGATAATCGACATCTTAGTCTCCATCTCCCTCTTCACACCCTGCATATCCGCCTCAAGCTCCTGCACACGCTCCGAGCGCATGTGCAGCTCATGCATCGCGGCATTGAGGTTGAGTTCGAAATTCTGCATCACGTCCGGCTGCGCCTCGAAGTGCTCGGTGGCGATGTTCCGCAGGGATGCGAAGGAGCGGTGCGCGCGGTCGATGATCATCATGCCCTGGCTCGACTTGCGGCGGATGACGGGGCTGGAGTTCTTGGGTGACTTGGGGACCATGTCCATCTTCGCCTTGTGCACCTCCGTCTTGAGTTCCTCGACCACATCCAGCGTCTCGGCGTGCTGTTCCTCGAGCTGCGCGTACTTCTCCGCAAGTGCGAGTTGTGCGGCTTCCCGCTCGGCGGCGAGGGCGCGCAGACTCTCTACTTCAGCAGCGATAGCTTCATCCTGGACACTAACGCCCCTCGGCTGCTGCTCCTCCAGCGCCGCCGACGCAGCGGTCTCCTCAGTCTGCGGAACATTAACAACCACATCCCCCCCCTCAGACGCATGCGTAATCAACGAGGGCGACTCCCCAACCAAGCACAACTCCGACGAGAGCGATCTCGACTGCGCTCCCGCGGAGTCTCCAACGGCTAAAAAAGACGTCGGTCTCGTCTGCGCCGGCGTCGCGGCAGACAGCATGCTATCCCTCTTCGCATTCCCGTACGACTGGCGACCCTCGACCACATCCTGGAGCTCGGCCAGCGCACGCAGCGCTTCTTCGTATTTAGCGGCTAGGTTCCCATATTCGCTCACCGTCGACTCGTGGGTCATGCGCAGGTCGAGAAGCTCGGCGGTCACGACGTCGATGGTGGGCTTGCGGCTCAAAGTAGGGGTGCGCGCGCGTGCATCAGAGGGGGTGAATGCCTCGTCTGCGTCGAGGGGCTCGCCGTTGTCGACGGGGCCGTCGGTTTCGGAGCGGGTGCTGCCGTCTGGGCTGAGGGCTGGGACGTCGTTGGGGGTGCGTTGTCCCTCCTTTTCGTCGTCATCGTCGAGGGAGCGGGGTTCGGAGCCTTCGATCTCGTCGCGCTCGTGGATAACCTCGGATTGTCCGTGTCTGCTCGCGTAACTCATGTTGCGGGAGTGCGGGATCTTGCCGTTGGTGGCGGGGGCGGGAGTCTCGGTGGTGGACTCGGCCTGACGCACGCTATCGAGTTCGTAGAGGAGCTTGTCTAATTTGCCCAGGCTGCGCTGGCGCTCGACGACATGCTCGAGACGCTCGATCTCACGGCGCATGACTTCAGCATCGGAGTCAGACTCAGCGAGGCGCTCTTCGAGAGTAGAGATGTAATCCTCGCAGCTGGCCTCATTCTCCCTAACCCTCGCAATCTCCTTCCTCAGCTCCGCCACAATGGCCGAGTTCTTCTCCTCTCCGCTCGTATGGCCATCCAGCTTAATCTCAAGATCATGGAGGTAATTCTCAGTGCTCGCCTCGCGGTCCATGAGCTTCTGCAGGCGGGCTTGGAGCTGCGAGTTCACCGTCTCGATGTACGCGCACTTGGTCTCGCGCTCGAGCAGCGTGGTCTCTGTGTTCGACAGCGACGCGCGCGTGCTAGATAGCGATTGCTCGAGACTACGGATCGTCTCCTCGTACTCGAGGACAACCTGCTCCACGGCCTCTGCGAACGCATTAGAGCGCTGTAGACGCTCCGTCGCGCGGTCGCCGAGGCTATCCTCCTTCGTTGCATTCTCCGCGATCTCCGTATCGCGCGCCTTGGTCATCTCGGAGATGAGCTTGGCGTGGCGCGAGCTGAGCGCATTATAGCTCTCCTGACTATCCAAGAGCTGGTTCTGGAGGTCAATCTCCGCGTCATTGCGGCGATCAGAGCGTGCGCTCGGAGTCCCTCCATGCGAGGCTGGGTGGTCGTTACAGCCCGAGCTGCGGATCTGCTCGCGCAGGAAGGCGACCTCGGCCTTGAGGCGGTCGATGAGTGCCTGCTTGTCCGTCTCGTCCGAGACCTGCTGAATGCGGGGTTTGCTCTGAATAGCGCGAGCGCGCTGGGCGTACTGAACTGTGTTGAGGGTCTCACTGAGATGGAACTCCGCGGGCGTGACGCAAGCAACCATGTAGGTGATTGCATTCCCTCCGAGCGAGTCCTGGAGCATGCGGGTGAGCTTCGAGTCGCGGTATGAGACATGCGATCCTGCTTGGCGGGAGGAGAGTTGCGAGATGACCTTGCCTAGGCTGGCGAGTCCGGCGTTGATGGAGATTCCCTCCTTAGCTCGCTCGCCCTGCGCACCAGTGTTCTTGAGACGTTCGCTACCAGCCAGATCGACGAAGTGGAACTTGCTGTCAATCGTGACCCAGCTCTCCGAGCCAGTCATGGCCTCAAGCGGGACGGAGAATCGCTTCTCTGATTTTGTCGTCGGACCGCCAGTGCTGCTCTTGCGCTGCAGGAGGTTCAAGCTGAAAACAGCGTGCGAGCGCGACGACTTGGCATTGATGGCCGTGGAATCCGTCTGTCTGATCATCGACCCGAAATTCAACGCATTAAGCAGATCCTCCACCGAATTAACATCCACCGCGTGCAAGCCCGTAAGTAAAATATGCCCCTTCGTATCCTCGCGAATCGAGACCTGTCCCCGCTCCGCCATGGGCACATGCTCCGGCACCAGCAGATCGCGCAGCTGCTCATTGTAAATCTCGACATACGTCGCCTTCAGCGTCCAGTTCTTCTCGGCCGGCTTCCCGGCATACGCGCCGGGCTGCGCAGAGTACCTCTTCGGCGCGCGCAGGGCGGATATGGAGTCGCGATTGCTCGCTGGCTTGGGGCCTTCGAGTTTCTCAAACAGCGCTGCGGCAGCGCGCGGGATCACACCTAGATTTGGTCAGCATGTTAGGCCAGCGGGGTCGATTTGCGCCATTAAAAGAGGGTGTGAGAGAATAGCACCTGTCGACTCACCCATGACATCCATGTCGCCCTGGTCGTCGGGGCCGGATGTTCCCATGGTATATGATTTCCCAGCTCCAGACTGGCCGTAGGCGAGCATGGAGACGTTGTAGCCCTGGACGAAGGCGTTGACGCTCTCGGAGAGGTACTCCCAGACGCCTTCTTGGTTGACATCCTCGCCAAAGACGCGGTCGAAGACGAAGAGCTTGCGGCCTTGTGGGGAGTCGATTGTGACGCTCGTCGGGGATGTGACTTGCACCATTGATCGCTGGAATCGCTGCGGGACAAGTTCGTATCCAGGGTCCTCTGGTCGGAGCGGCGGCCTGACGCGGATAGCTAGGAACTGTTAGCATACATCCACTCCCAATTTCCGTCTCGAGCAACAATAACAATCCCATGATAATCCCACACGACAATCCCCATAGCAATTATACAGAACTCCAAAAAGCAGGCGACTCACCAACTCTCACACTCGTCTTCCCATCCTCATCCGACGCTCTACTCCCTCCCGCTCTACTCCCTCCCGCTCCTTGCCCCCCAAGCTTCCCCGTCATGCTCAACCGGCTCGTACTCCTCGTCGACGGGCGCATCAACACGCTCATCGGCCGTTGCGCAGGGACGTCCGGCGACCCCGGCGGAGAGGTAGCCATCGCGGCGACAAAACGGGCGTTGGGTATGTGATGGTATTCTTTCTTTTTGGTATCTGGTTGCTCGTCTCCGAGGGTCGTGGTCGTTAGATGGAGGGCATAGGGTGCGCGGATTCGCGTGGTGTGAGAAGGGGGGGGGGGGGTGGGTTTGGATTGTTCGTTGGGAATTCGGGATTCGGGGGTATTATCTGGGGTGAGAAGGGGGTCGTCGACGCGTTTGCTAATTTTTTTTAAAAAAAGAGGCGTGTACTGGGCGTGTTTATCTGTTCTGTTTTCGCTGGGTTGTTGGTGTCTATGGATTTTGTTTCGTTTGCAGTCGTTAAGGAATGGATTCGATAGCTGGTTTGCTGGTATGATTGAAGACTTTTGTATGTGTATGAAAGTTGAAAGTTCTCTGGATATGATGTGTGGGTGTTTGGGGATGGATAGGTAAAAATTGGCTCTCAGACGACAATCACGAAAAAGAAGAGGAGGGAGGATAAGAAAGATGGGATGGGTCCAGTGGGAAGGGGTAGCAGGGGGGGGGGGTGTACTCTAAAGTGGGGCGTTTTAAGGGGGGGTGTAAAAGGGGGGGAGTACAGTACAGTACGGCGCATAAGTATGAATACAGGTCTGTGCTTAAATTGCAGTAACAAGTGTCTTTTTGTATGGGAGAAGCACAGACCTGTATGCATTACTTATGGCGCCCGACTGTAAAGGGGGGGTGTGGGGTGGTGTGGGGGGGTGTGGGGTGGTGTGGGGGGTGTGGGTGTAGGGGAGGTGTGGTGGGAGGTGTGATGGGAGGTGTGGTGGGAGGTGTGGTGGGAGGGATGGAGCTAAGATTATTTGTTCAGATTGTGTGATGTATTATTATTTAGTATAGTAGTGGTGGCTAGTAGTGGTGAGTAGTGGTGGCTAGTGGTGGCTAGTAGTGGTGGCTAGTAGTGGCTAGTAGTGGTGAGTAGTGGTGGCTAGTAGTGGCTAGTAGTGGTGGCTAGTAGTGGCTAGTAGTGGCTAGTAGTGGCTAGTAGTGGCTAGTAGTGGCTAGTAGTAGTAGAAATGCAAGTAACCCTGTAAATTAGAGTGGAAAAGTAGAGGTATATGCATAAGTGTGCATTAGAGGGGATTCACCTGCAGATGGAGCAGAGACAACATCTGACAATCAAGATGTACCTCTACCTGTCCCATTCTGGTGTCTCCTTGGTGTCCGTCCCGGCCCCGTCGATGCGATATGCTGGGCTGGCTGTACGTATGTCACACAAGCAAGGGGGTACACACATGTATTCCTAGTGTCTCCTCTCTCCATCTGTCCACACAAATCCCTCTAGGGGTACCAGTCCCTCTCCTCCCTATTCCTCCCTCTCCTCCCTCTCCTCCCTCTCCTCCCTCTCCTCCCTCTCCTCCCTCTCCTCCCTCTCCTCCCTCTCCTCCCTCTCCTCCCTCTCCTCCCTCTCCTCCCTCTCCTCCCTCTCCTCCCTCTCCTCCCTCCCAGCACCAGGTGTGCGGGTATCCACATGTATTCCTAGTCAATCTCCACCCTTCCACCCATACAAAATCTCGCTAGAGATACAGCACCACACATCGTAGCACCGCACCGGCACCGGCACATCTATCCTATCGGATCGGGGTTATCGGTATGATAACCCCGATCCATCTACCCCTTCCCGCCACAAAAAATACACCTCTCCCATACTAAAATAGTCCATCCACACGGGAGAGCTATGCAGCTCCCCCCCCTGGCGCTAACGATCCCATAGCGCTGCGCCATATGCACAACCCATCATCCGCCGTCCCAATCTGTCCGTCGAGCTAGCTGCTCTCGCCCATACGCAAGTAAGTTAGGAGAACGCTCGGTTTACCGTGGTAGTAGTGTAATCGATTGCACGAAACAAGCCCGCGGGGAAGGATCATATGTGCGTTTGATAATGGCGGCGGTAAGCAGCATCAGTGGTGTTGGTAGGCTTACAAGTGTTACAGGTTAGAAGTGGTGTTGAGAGCAACTCGGGCTGCTACGGAAGCACAACAGCGCGTTACCAAGTACAAACATTCTACGCACGCCATCCCACCCGCCATCACCCCAATCCAGCCCCGTCTTGCCCTTCTCCAGCACCCTAACACCACACTGAGCGATATACTCCGCCTAGATCAGCGATAGGGGCGCGACATGCCTTCTTCCCTGCCCCCACCGAGGCTTCCTCTCTCCCCGAGGAGGACTCTCCGACGGCACGGCAGAGCTGCGGTGCATATGTACGCAAGTGAGGCGTATTTTGCCGAGTAAGGATGCTTGAGACATGAGTGAGATGAGACAGTATCATGACAATGCATGGGAGACAGGTCGTTTGGGGTTTGGAGCTGACCAGAGACATCTATCGTCATCACAGCTGGCCAGGGAAGCCACCACCACCATCTGTCAAAAATCGACAACTCATTCCCCTTCCATCCTCCCTTACCAATCCCTTAGCACACGACCACGACCACGACCACGCACGACCACTAAAAAAAAGCCCCCCACAAGAAAAAGTCTAATTTCCCAATCCAGCAACCACGAAGGGTTTAATCACGTGATCCCCTCTTTTCTTTCTGCTTTTGTTTCGAATGTCCCAATGGGGAGATTAGTCGTCGTGACCAAATTTTCGTTTCGATGAAGCGATCCGAGCGGTTTCAAAATGAGCGGAGGCGATGTGCGTGGTTTCGCAATATGTAGGCTATAAGTATCACTACATAGTAATTTGTATGTAAAGGTACATAAATCAATCATTGTAAATAAATTATCACTTCACCACTCCTACGCTCACTCCTACACTCACTCTCACTCCCACGCTCACTACCGCTCTCACTCTCGCACTCACTCTTAGCAGCTTCTAGGTTGTAGTAGGCAGCTAGCTCTAAGAACACGACCTACAGGCTATTTAGTGCTAGGTTGAGGAGTCAAAGAAGCAGGCAAGCTAAAGCTAGGCCTAGCTTTAGTTCAGAGGTGAGCTCTAAGCTGCTTATGCTTACGAGCTTCAGGCCTAGAAAGCTGAGCTTTAAGCCTAGAAGCTTGTAGCCAAAGAAGCCTAGGTAGCCCGCTAGGCTAGAAACCAGGGTAAAAGCGGTAACCCAATTCCTCTAGAGGATTAGGACCTAATTCGGTAGTAAGCCAATTGTAGTAGCTCTCTTTTAAGGGGCTACTAAAGCCCTCTAGAACCTAGTGTTTCTAGTACTATAGCCCCTCTTCTACAGCCTGAAAAGTAGAGGCCTTAAGTAGGGTAGGCATAGTAGGCATAGGCATAAGCTGTAAGTAGGTGCATAGCTTTATAATAGCTGTATTACAGCTTATTAGCTAGATTCTAGCTAATAAGGAAGCTGAGACTATTGTAGACTCCTTAAAAGTCTGCTTCTAGATTTGGGTAAGATCTCTTATGAAGGATATAGGTTGTAGGTAATGTCTATATCTCATATAGCTGCGAGCACAGCTACTCTATGCTAGTGCTTATAAGGCTAGAACACTCCTACGTCTAATGGCTGTAAAACGTGTGTAAGATGTGAGGGAAAGGTGTCTATAATGATGTTATGTTCTTATACTGCAAAAACGAAGTCATGGTTTGTATAGCTCACATAAGAGTCGAGTAGTAGAACCTTTGTATCCTCTAAAGCTGTATGCTTTGCAAAATGCTCTAGCTACCAAAGAGCAAGCTGGCTATTTGAAAATCCAGAGTCTAAGAGCAGTACTAGCTCTATGCCTTTTTGAGGTTTGTATAGTACTAAGAATCCATATGTATTTTGCCTAGAATGACATGTATAGGTGGTATGGCTTTTCCTACTATAGACACAGCCTCTAGGATAGTAATAGACATACAATTTTTAGGGCTAGGCGTATAGAGATCATTTGCTATTCATGGTACCATAACCTTCTCACCTCCTAGAATTCCAATCCTAAAGCCTGTTTCATCTATATTCCAAATTAACTCTAGCTTTATACCATGCTCTAGTATAAACTCATAGTAGTCTCAAAACCACTGCGTAATAGTAGGCTCATCTTGAGCTTTCGTACGCTATAGTGTAATAGGCTTTGTAGTGATAAAGTGGAATTCCTAAAGCTCATTGTAAGGACACAGGGCACCCACAGTAATAGCATATGAGAGTGCAAGTCGGAGGCTAAACGGATGCTATCCTATAGGTCTACTACGAAGGATACAAAAAAGATGAAGAGAGGAACCCCCATTGGGTCAATCTCCTTAAGTACCCGAAACGGGTCCGACTTGGCTAACCTGCCTTCACCCTCACCACGTGACCGTGACTTGTCCGACTCAGATACCTTCCGTCACTGAGGGAGAGGCATCCTTACACTCATTCTTAATATATTTAGTAAGCCAGCTCTCTGATGGCAGAGGCTGTAGGTGTAGGCTCTAGAGCTAGTAGACTGTAGAAAATATCATACTTCTAGTAGCTCTAAGCCCTAGGTAATACTGCTTAAGGATCCATTTCTTAAGGGCTTCTGACTTTGCAGTAGAGAGCACCTTATTCCTACCACCCTTAGGTAGTAGGTTCCGAGCACGCCGTTTGAGGCTCATCCGTAGTGTTGATTTGGGGACTTTGAAAATGCGACAGGCAGCAGTTATAGACTCAGAAGGGTTTTCTGCAAGCCACTCACGGGCATTTGATATAGGAGTCCCCTCCATTAAATCAATTGTATAGGATTACAATATAAATTACTATCTACATCTATGGAAAATGGTTTGTTAAGGAGTAGCGGTGAACGGACGCACGTCGCGAAACCGCACACATCGCTTCCGCTCATTTTGAAACCGCGCGGATCGCTTCCTCCAACCTTGAAGCGAAGCGAAAATTTGGTCACGACGATTAGATGGTTAGGAGAAAGGAAGAAACGAAGGGAAAGTGGGGGCTGGGCTGGGCTGGGCGTTTTCCACGTGGGTTGCCCGTTGCGCTAGGGGTGTTGGTGGATATAGGGCATATGGATGGATGGGAGGGATTTTTTGTTGCGAGGGACGATGGACGATGGGCGATGGGCGATGGACGATGGACGAGGAACGATGGACGAGGGACGATGGACGACGATGGACGATGGACGATGGACGATGGACGATGGACGATGATGGACGATGGACGATGGGCGATGGACGAGACGAGAAGGAGGGTGTAGGTTGTAATTCCCGCTGTGGGCTGTGGAACCCGCCGGCCCTCCCCGCTATATAAAACGGCCGATATGGACAGGCATCCCGATGGGCGGTCCACAGATAAACCAGGCTTGAACCATCCACCCATCAAGCGCCCGGCTCTCGGACACCATACGGGTCAGAGCCTGTAGATGTATGTGATATGGGGATCTCTTATACCCCCCTCCGTGATGCATATGGTGTGTGTATGGTGTGTGTTCGTCCGAGAGTCTGGATGGGAGGTAGGGCATCCCTCACAAAGGACAGGGCTGCTGGATGGGAGGTAGGGATCCCTTACGATGCTTGCTTATTTGATGACCGAGCGCGAGCTGGGGATATTGAAGGAAGGTGGTGGTGGGTGGTGCGCCGGTGCTGTGGTGCTGTGGTGCGCCGGTGGTGGTGTCGGACGCCGAGTCGTTATAGTTATATCCCCAAGAACCCCTCTTCTGTCTCCCATCGCCAGCATCACCGTCGCCACGCCAGCCCGTCCCAGGCCCCGAAAATGTATACCCGAGTGTGGTTAGGGATACCCCGCGAACGACCTACAGTAGCCCCCGCCTTGCAGGTTGTTGATCCCTCACATCCCCATCTCCCATCCCCTCTCATCTCCCTCGTCAATCCCATACGCCAGTACCCCAGATCTACCCCCCCCTTCCCCCCCCTCTCCCTTAGATCCTTTCCCATCTCCCCACAAACCCTAAAGAGATATATTCTAAGAGTATAAATATTCCAAGAGTATAAATATTCCAACAGTTTAAATCTCTAGTATTAATTATCAGACTCACTCAATCACTTCTCGGCGGCACGAGTATGGGCTCTATCGCTGAGCATGGCAACGAGGATCAGTATTAGACAGTGTTCGGCAGATACTACCCAGGTAGTATCTGGGTCCTCGCCAGGTAAGGTAAGTATCTGAGCGACTTTGCTCAGGTAAGGTAGGTATTTACAGATACTTTAGCAGGTAGTTGAGCCTCAATTCCGTATACAAAAATGACGCTTTTGATATTTGAAATAGATAATGATATGTAACTAGAATATGTAACTAGAAAAGTGAAACTCGTGACAAATATAATAATAAAATAGACAGCCCCTATTCCTATTCTTCTGCCTCATCATCTGCATCATCACCGTCGCTGTCGGCATCTGGTAAATAACCCCAATTCCGTAAGCAAAGCAGATATCTAATTGTCGATGGCGACAATCTATTCCTTTTCTTAGTAATGATATCGCTACCATTGCTAAATACCCGTTCTGATGGTGCTGATGTCGCAGGAATTGCAAGATGGTCTCGAGCAACTTGAGCAATTATTGGATATTGATATTGCTTTGCAGACCAATATTTGAGAATATCAGTATGCTCACCAGGCCGTGGTTCAAGCATCCATCGTTTCCATTCTGGTTCTTCAAATGATATACCCTCTGATGCAAATAAATCTTCATCAGAATCTGGTTCTTGCACTCTAGTATTTGCATTTCCTAATGCATCTGCAAGAGCTGTTTCACGTTCAATACGCTCTGTATCAAGATGATATTGCCGTGTCTTATATGTTCTACAAACATCTTCAAACTGTGCTCTTGCCCGTGTGATTCGTACATGATCTGTACTATCTGGATATATCTTTTTAAACACTGTATGGTTCATCCGTGGATCGCAAATTGTAGCTACAGCTGAGTGCTTACATTGCTGATTTGTTGCAAGAGTATAATACGCGTGAAGCTTTTGATAAGCTACTGTGCATGCAATACCAATTGCTGAGTGCTCGCCAACTTCTTGTTGCATCTTCTTAACTTTATTTATCATTTTAAGATAAAGTGGAATAGCAAAGTTAAGTGACGGATATGTATCACTTTGTAGCCGTCTTGATGGTTTGAGAAATATTAAGAACAGTCGTTCAAGATCTTTAATAACAGCCCAATCTCCTGTAGTTAATGCAATATCTTTCATACTAATATCAAGCTGTTGTGTTATGCATACTGCTGTGATTGGTATTTGGAGTTTTAATGCTGTATCAAGCATACGATGTGTTGAATTCCATCGTACTGGCATATCAAGTGATAGTTGCTGTGGTTTTAAACCTATAGCTTTGACTTGTCGTTGTAAAGCATCCTTCCATGCTCGTCGATTACGAAAGACATAGATATGTCTTCGTAGCTTTGCAAGAGCATTCATGACTTCGACATGACTATCTCTACTAAATGGAATCCGAGCTGCACCTTGCTCACACCGGTATGTCTCTGTCTCTACATCTGGTTCTGCTTTTAAACTCGTAAGAGCGGCTTGAACTGCGAGATTTATGATATGTGCAATACACCGGACATCGCCTTCTTTGACAGTAAATGTCCAAGGTTGTTGAGTTGATGTTTGGGCGTTGCTAGCCAATTTCTCATATTCTGAGAGCATCACAGTATTTGATGATGCGTTGTCTCGGGTGCATGTAAAGATAGCGCCTGTAATAGCTATACTATCTGTTACAGCTGCTAATTGCTGAGCTAAGTATTCACCGCTATGAATAGGCTCTTGAAGATGTATCACATCAAGCAATTTTGATTTCTGCTGCCATTTATCATTAATCCAATGAGCGGTAACAGCAGCATACTCTGTATAGTTCCGTGCAGACCATGCATCTGTCGTTATGGATATCCGGCCTCCATGTATAATATGAGAATGGAGTTCAAGCTGTAGTATGCCTCGGTGATATGAGAATTGGCGTTGTAGTTCTCGGTGCAATGTTCTTGACGAAAGTGATAACACAGATGGACTTAAGAACCGTACTAATTGACGATATGAATAGCTTTCGATAATGCGTAAAGACAGGTTATTAGATACTATAAACGATAGCACTACTCCCTATATTTGGCTGGATTGTTTGTTGGTCTTGATTCATGGGTCGCTGGTCTCTGAGGCTCAAAAAATGATGATGTGCTGCTAGATTGACTTGAAGGCGCTGTATTCTTGTGTTTAAGAGCATCATAGATTCCTTTATGCTTAAGACTATAGTGTTTCCAAAGATTGCCAGTTGAAGCAGCAGCTTGAGCATGGGTTTGAGCTGCGGGCGAGTATCCGCAATTAGGCTGCATACAGCATACTTTGATAGTTGGCGGGTTGCTCTCAAGTAGTATTCTTGAATATAGTTCCTTCGTGAACAGCAGCGACTGTGTTGGCGGTAGCATTTGGCTAGGCGGGTGTAGACGGACAGGAATTGGATTTGATTGCTGAAAAGGGGTAAAAAGCCCTGGTAGGGCTGGCTCATCGTGAGGATTATAGCCATCAAGGTCCGTCGGCACGTCTGACAATGGAGAGTCACTCATTTTCACGGCAATTATCACCATATCAAGCATGAAGACGAGTATTTCAACGTTAGCATTTGTGCGGCTTGGCTACACTTGGCAATACTTGGCATGTATCTGGGTAAGTATCTGAAAATACCGGGATACTCAGGTATTTTGAGAATGAGCCCAGGTAGGTAATTACCCAGGTAATTACCTGAACACCACAGGTAATCAGGTATCTGTGCCGCACACTGGTATTAGAAATAGCACACCATAACACCACCTCGACACAACCCCCCTTAAAAAAACACGCACAGATCCGTCATTTCACCGGTATATCCCTCAATCCCATCCTATACCCCCTTCTACCGTCCTCCATCCCCATCCAATAACCCCCCCCCTTCCAGCAGCACACGCTCCCCCGCCACCTCACTGCCCCCCTCCGCGCATCACTACTAAGCTGCATCGACATCCATCTCCGCCCCGACCCCCTGCGATGCGGTGAGGAGGACCTATGGCGGGCGGTATGCATGGATGACAGATGCACTGATGACGTGCACTGGTGCGGTATGCCACGCGAAGGGCAGAGAAATGGAGGGGGTGTGATCGATGTGAGCTTGGACCGCTCGTTCTTGTCTAGGGCTGGGCTGAGAGGAGGGGTGACAGGGGGGAAGAAAGCTCGGATGAAAAAATCGGGTGGAATAGGGCTAGGCTGATGCTTCTTGGTTCTAGTAACAGGGCCTGTGGTGCTAGCGGAGATGAAAATGTAGAGGGGTAGAGGAGAGGGTGTGGTGGCGTGGAAAATGGTAGGGGAGGCTCGTGGCAAATTATGTAGCTGATGTGCGAGGGGGGAGGTGGAGCGGGTATGCGGTTGAGGTTGAGTGCGGACGTGTGCTAGGAGGGGCTTAGGGGAGAGTTTCTAGGGAAGGTTTTCTAGGGGAGGGTTTTCTGCGGGAGGGTTTGCAGGGGAGGGTTTCTACACGAGGTTGCTGATGATGATGATGATGATGATATTTATTTACGTCTAGCGGGACGCAGGTGTAACCCACGGCCCTAAGACCTCCCGAATAGTATGACCTTAGAGAGCAGTTCTTACATGTTTGCGTAGCTATAAGGCCTGTTAACTAAGTGCCTTCCCTACTAGTTAGGATGATGTTAGGTTTACTAGTAGAGGGTAGTGCCTTAAGTAGTAGTGTTGCTCTAGTGGCGTTAGGCAGCGTCTAGGGATAGTTGTGACTTAGGATTCATAGTCTAAACCACTATGTAGGTCATAGCAGACTAGGGACTATACTAAGGGTATGTTAGAGAAGGTAAGGTCTAGGACATACCCTACTTGTTAGGTTAGCATCCCTAGGGTCCTAATGTAGTTCATTCTGCTTTTACTAGCCTATTGTTACGACGGAACAAGAAGGCTGGCCAACTACAGGACAGGAAGGAGGGAGGTCGCATGAGACCGGCCCTGGTACCTGGAGGGGCAGCGGGGAATAGTAGTTCCGAAAGTATCACGTGACGGACTCGCAGGATGATGAGAAGAGTCCTAAGAGTCCAGGACTCCGAGGACTCGAGTGAGTTCCCAGGAGTCCACTAGGCACGTGATGGACTCGCAGGATGATGAGAAGAGTCCTAAGAGTCCAGGACTCCGAGGACTCGAGTGAGTTCCCAAGAGTCCACTAGGCACGACGCCACTATATAAGTAGATAGTATTTCCTTAGATAGGAGCTTCGTGCTCAACTCAATACAGTATTTGTTATATACTAGTAACGTGTTACTTGAAGCCTTTGTGTCTGATCCCCTGCCTCCTCTGATAAGTAAACCTTTACGCAAGAGAACCTCTGTGTCTTCTATCGTTTAGAAGTCAGCGTTACACTTTGAGCACCACTTCTACGAGGTACCGGCTTACACACAAAGCAACATGTCTGTCGTCAGTTCGAAGGGGAAAACCCCCACCACGCCAACTTCGTCTCAGAGGTCTAAGCCTGAGAATGAAGAGATGCCCGATGCACCCACCGTCAACGAACTCAAGGAAACTCTACGCGTCAAGTTGCCCGACACTTACTCCGGGCACCGAAAGGAACTTGAGGTGTTTTTGCTACAGGTCGAACTGTACCAGCACTTCAACGACGAGAAGTTTCCCACCCAGGAGAGCTATGCCCTGTGGACTGCGTCCTACCTTAGGGGGGAAGCCCTGCGATGGATCGAACCATTCCTCAAGGACTATTTCGAATATGAAAGTACCAATGGAAGCATGACAACTACGCAGACTATGTTTGGCAGCTGGAATGGATTCTGTAAGGAAATCCGACGCATGTTCGGAGACATCGATGAGATTAAGACCGCAGAAGACCATCTGTTTGCACTTAAGCAGACTGGCAGCGCCCTCACATACTCCACAGAATTCCAGAGATACGGCAATCAGACAGGATGGGACGCCAGCGCACTCATCAGCCACTACCGACGTGGGCTGAAGAGCCATATACGTATGGAACTTGCCCGTTTGGAACAACAACCAACGGACATGGTAGCGCTAATCGAACATACGGTCCGAATCGACAATCGACTATACGAATTCCAGAAGGAACGTCGGACCTATGACAAGCCCAAGAAAAGTTACCCCTACCGGGGAAACGAGGGCAGACGACGGGATCAACACCCGCGAGACAACCGTTGGTCGGACCCAATGGAACTCGATGCCACGTTCAAACCTGGACGACCCCGTGACCCTAAGAAAGACAGACAATTCAAGGAACGACTCTGTTTTAACTGCGACAAGCCAGGCCACATGGCCCGAGACTGCAGACAGCCAAAGAAAGGGAACGGCGGACGCAAAGTCGGCAAACAACTCAATGCCACCTGGACAGGACAGTTGAACGCAACGTTTGTGAGCAAACAGGACTGGGGAATAAACGGCGAAAACACCCCAGAAGACGAGAACTCAGACGAAGGGTCGGAGGCGGAATCGTTCACCGTCTCGGAACAGGAAACCTTCGACGAGCTCGCACCTATGGAACCAATGAGTCCACGGTGCAAGAGCGTAGTAAGACGCATGGCAAAACACGCCCACGCGAAGATTAGGG